ATCAACAAAGGCATCCAGTTGCCAAAAGGGCAATGCTGTCTTTTTTTCCCCTCAGATGGCAGCTGCACAAAAGTGAAGTGAGCTGAGAAGGGCCTCCAAAATTTTGTGCTATAGAAACAGCCTTGCACTTTAAATGGGGCAAGAAACAGAAGAAGCATTGGCATAGATAGGTTTAGATGTATTTGGAGAAGGAAAAATGCAGGGGGGGGGGAAAGAGTAGTATAAGATTCAAAGTCTTTCCATCATCAACTTAACCAATATGTAGAAGTAGTCCTCGGTTTACAACTGTTCATTTAGTAACTGTTCAAAGTTACAATGGCACTGAAAAATTACTGTTTTTCACCCTTATGACTGTTGCAGTATTCGTATGACCATGTGATCAAGATTCAGGCGCTTGGTAACTAACTCATATTTTATGACGGTTACATGATTTGGGATGATTTGAGAATCTTCTGTAACCTTCTGACAAGCAAATTCAATGGAGAAGTCAGATTTACTTAACAACCATGTTGTTAACAACTGCAGTGATTCACTTAACAACTGTGGCAAAAAAAGGTCATAAAATGGGATAAAACTCACTTAACAGATGTCTCAACAACATAAATCTTGGGCTCAATTGTGGTCGTACTTTGAGGACTACCTGTAACCTATGAGTGCATGTGACTTGATTTGCTTTAAGATTTCATTCTAATTTAACTACTGGGACTTTGAGGATAATCAAAAGGAGGGGAGATTATTGGTGATACCGTTAAAATAAGTGGAGAAGTTAGGCTGAAACCAGTTTAATCTGAATGCAGGGCTTGAACTGCTTCTTCTGAGCGCCATTCAGAATTATTGGTATTATTTGCAAAAGCCCTAAATCAGCCTATCTCAATCTGGTATATTAGATGTCAACCCTTTTGATCCAAAGGCCATGCTGTGATTGAGATTTATTGAAGTTGAAGGCCAAAACATTTGCAGGACATCAGGTTGGAGGACAGGATTTTTTGAAAAACATCCTCCAATACATTTCCCCTGGTGACAATCAACAAAGAGATACCTTTATATCCTGTTATCAGAACTATTTCCTAAATTGGGAGTCCTGGTATTCCTAGTGGAATACCAATTGCCGCTGCTATCCTTCCCCCCCCCCCCAATGTTTTTTTCCTTGCTGTGCCCTTGTCTTAGACTGTGATAAGACCTCTTCTTTCTGAGGTCTTAATAGATGCTTTCTCCGTATTTTGCCTATTTTGTTTTATAGGTTTATTTCTTTGTTGCCCAGTTTTTATATACTGCCAAATTATGAAAACTGTACTTGGCTTATAGACATAATAAATAAAAAAGCCATTTAGATACTGTCACACCACATAGATTGTAACTAACAGCAGACAAAGTTTTCTGAATGTAGACACTTACATAACCAACTGCAGGACAAGTCCTGCCAGAGGTGAGGTTTATGAAAGTGCAGAGAAAGGAGTATTTTGAATTTAAAAAAAAAACTTTTGAAGCAAAATCTTCTCAAAAAACTTTAGTGAAAATTGAGCATGCTCACAGGCAGAGACCCCTGAGAGAGAAAAAAATAAAGTCATTGGGGAGATGAAAGAGGAATAGAACAGTATATCCTGAAAAAGGGAATGGCTGAAGAGTAACATTTTCTTTCTTTTTTTTTTTATTGAAAATTTTTAAAAGTTTTTACAAAAAACAAAAAAGACAACAAAAAAAACAAAACAACCCTCACCCAACCCCTCCCAAACCACCCCCTCCATCCCCCCCCCGAGCTTCCCAGAGCTGAATATAGGCTTAATTAAAATTTTAAAAATCCTAAAAAAAAGTTAAACAACGTATGAAATAATTAACAATAAGATATATATAACAAAAAAAAACATAAGCATTAAAAAGAAAAAGTGCTTGAAAAAGAAGAAAAAAGAAAGAAGAAAAGAGATAAAAAAAGAAAAAAGAGAAAAAGTGCAATCTATAAAATATCAAAGTTTATATACAAGTTATAAAAAGGCTAAATGGTATTTTTTTATATCCAATTTGTATTGTGTAAAATTTATCCATTTTTCCCATACGGCAAAAAATTTCTCTTGCGATTGCTCCTTTAAGAAAGCCGAAATCTTTGCCATTTCCGCCAGATAAGAAACTTTAAAAAGCCACTCTTGCAAGGTAGGCAAAGATTCCTTCTTCCAATATTGCCCTACTAACAGCCTTGCGGCTGTAATCAAATTCAACATCAATATAACCTCCTTAGCATCACAATCAGTAACAATACCTAACAAAAACAATTGTGGAGTAAATTTTACCCTCTTTCTAAAAATTCTTTGAATATTCCACCATATCTTAATCCAAAAAGCTTTTATATTTTTACACGACCACCAAATATGATAATAAGTGGCGTCCAGGCAACCACATCTCCAACATTTAGGCTGTAAGTCAGGATACATAAGAGATTTTTTTGTGGATCAAGGTGCCATCTATAAAACATTTTATAAAAATTCTCCCTTAAGTTCTGGGCTTGTGTAAATTTGACATTCCTCACCCAGATAGTTTCCCAGGTATCCAGTAGAACTGGTTCACCAAAATTATGTGCCCATTTAATCATGCAGTCTTTGATTAGTTCTGATTCTGAATCCAGTTCTACTAGAACCCCGTAAATTCTCTTAATGTCAGTTCGTCTTTGATCCTTTACTTGTTTAAAAAGATTTTCATCTTCTCTAAGCAAGCCCATATTACGATCCATCTTCCATCTATCCACTATTTGTCTATATTGAAACCATGAATAGGTAATATTTCATGTAGTAAATCTTCCAAAGATTTTAACTGCCAATTTTGGCCATCCCATCTAAGTAGTTGTGTATAAGAGACCCTATCCATTTTAACTCCTCTCCTTATCCCCTCTATCGCATGCCAAGGTATAGCCCATAATGGTATTTTAAAATCACTTTTATAATATTTCCTCCAAACCCAAAGTAGAGAAATCCTTATAATATGAGATTTAAAAACCCGATCCACTTTAAATAGGCATGCCATCCAAAAAGTAAATCCCAACCCTCCAGATGGAGCATTTCTACATTTGTTAAATTTACCCAATCACTAATTAATGTTAAAACCACAGCATCATAATATAATTTCAAATTTGGTACCTTGAGTCCACCTCTCTCACGGAAATCTTGCATAATTTTAAGCTTTACCCTTGGTTTTTTCCCTGCCCAAATAAATTTATTAATGCCTTTCTGCCATTCATTTAAATTAACCTCATTCTTTAAAATAGGTAACATTTGAAACAGAAAGAGAAATTTTGGTAAGACATTCATTTTAATCACTGCAATTCTTCCCATAAGAGATAACTGTAACTTCTCCCAATTCTTCAAGTCTTTCTGTACCCTGACCCACAGCCTTTCATAATTATTCTTATACAATTTTACATTAGAAACAGATAAATTAACCCCCAAATATTTTATCTTATCAACAACTTCAAAATCAGTCAAATTAACCAAAATCTGCTTGTCCCGATTAGTCATGTTTTTAGATAATATTTTAGTCTTATTATTATTAATTTTAAAACCCGAAACCCGTCCATATTGGTAAATCAGTTGTAGTAACTTTACTACAGAATAGGTAGGTTGAGACAAAGTAACCACCAAATCATCTGCAAAAGCTCTTAACTTATATTCTTTTTTGTTAACTTCTATTCCTTTTATTTCCTGCGACTCTCGAATTTTAATCAACAAAATTTCCAATGTTAAAACAAACAGTAACGGTGACAATGGACATCCCTGTCTTGTACCTTTTTCTATTGTAAAAACCTCTGACAAACCCCCATTAACAATAAGTTGTGCCGTTTGTTTTTGATATATAGCACCAAAAGCTTGTAATATTTTTTCTCCAAAATTCATCTCCTCAACTACTCTTAACATAAACTGCCAATTCAATTGCTCAAAAGCTTTTTCAGCATCTAAAAATATCAGCCCTGCAGAGATTTGGTTATTCTTATCTAAATATTCTAATAAATTAATAATTTGTCTAACATTATTTTTCATATACCTACCAGTTATAAAACCCAATTGATCCTTATGTATAAGCTGATGCAAAACCCTCATAAGCCTATTAGCTAAAATTTTTGCAAAGATCTTATAATCTACATTTAAGAGAGATATAGGCCTATAATTCTTTGGTAAAGTAAGATCTTGATCCTCTTTTGGAATCAAGGATATAAAAGCACTGCCCCATGACGGAGGAATCTCTGAGCCCTGTAATATATTATTAAAAAGCTCACATAAAGGTTGAATCATCTCTTCTACTAAGGTTTTATAATAAATGGATGTTAAACCATCCGTACCCGGCGCTTTACCTAATTTTAATTGCTTAATAACTGTCACAATTTCCTCATTGGTAATTAAACCATTAATTTCTTGTTTCTGATCTTCTGTTAGTTTAGGAAAGTTAGCCTCACTTAGATAATTATTTATATCTAAAATTTGTACATTGGTACTCTTATGTAATTTTTGATAATAATCTAGAAAAGATTTCTTAATCAACTCCTTCTGATAGACTAATTTACCATTATAATTTATTTTATCTATAATTCTCTGTCTCTGTTTCTTTCTTAATTGATAGGCCAACCATCTCCCTGGTTTATTAGCATTACAAATGAGAGTATTACAAAAAGAGTAACATTTTCTTGATGGTTCCACTGATGGTATTTCAGTTAATGATGCATGTTTTCAGGGATGGGGTCAAGATAGTGGGAGATGGGAGAAGATCAGGAGTGATGGGAGTGATGGGATCTTCTATAGATTAGTGTTTCTCAACCTTGACAGCTTTAAGATGTGTGGACTTCAACTCCCAGAATTCATGCTGGCTGGAGAATTCTGAAATCCACACATTTTAAAGTCCCCAATATTGAGAAACACTGTCTTAGATAGTGGATGCTGGGTGCCAGAGAAAAAAGAACTATTCAGCTCCTTGCATGCCCTCAAAGAGCAATTGAAATAACCTTTTTTTTTTCTTTGCTCCTGCAGGGAGTTGCAGAAGCTGAACTGGAGAAAAATATAAACCGAACTCTGAAGATTATGATCCGATCTAGCAGGAAGGAGGTGAGTCCTCTGCATGAATGGTTTTGTCCCAAAGGGAAAAGAAGGAATCTCAGATGGTATTGGATGCTAAAAATCTGTAAAGAAGTACATTGGTAATGATGTTTTTGGACAAGTTGCTCTCTTTAGCTTAGATTCACACAAGTAAAGCCAGGCCAGAAATATGTTTTTTTCAGTTGTCCAGCATAGGAATAAGGAGCAATCTAAAATGCCTGGTGGATTTCTGGTTTTTGTTAAGAGAACATTGAAGGTATTGGTTTCTCCATTTTGAAACAAAAACAATAGTCAAAATGATTTATTCTTTAAATTAATCTTCAAAATAAAAGTATAAATCAAGATTCGATTTTTTTTAAAAAACCAGAATTTGCTCAGTTTGGAACTAAAAATAGATTTCTAGGTTTAGCATTTGTGGGGTGGCATCATGTCTCTTTATCTCCAACAGATACAGTAATACTGTAGTAGTGAGCTCAGGAGAATTTGACATATAAGGTAGTGCTACCTGGCTGCTAATACTGCATGAATTACACCAATTTGATTTAATTGGCACAATATTATACCAAATGCAAAATTAAGGACTTCCTGAATGAAAATCAGTTTAACCACTGAAATAAAAACTGGCTCAGTGTTTTTTTGTAGCTCAGTTATCAGGCTTCTCTGGTTTGCCCTAAAGTTTCTCACATTTCATTCAAAATGCTTTCCTTACAGGATAAAATTGAAGGACTTTCTCTTAGTACAATTGGAGTTAGGAAGCGAGGTAAGACATTGCAATACCTCCGCCCCATCAATGGAGGTTAAATGGTAATAATTGCAATTTTAAAAAATAGGATGGGAAAATTCTAGAAATCCAGAAATATAGACTAGTCTGGGAAGTTGAAAAACATCCAAGAAGATGGTAATGGCAAACCACATCCATATTCCAGCCAGGAAAACCCCATGGATACAAGAATTTGACCTGAGATTATCTTTACCTTTTATTTTAAAAATTATTCTCTTATCACATTGAAAATTGCAGTTGGCAGTGACTTGCGGACAGGTTCCAGGTGTTGCGGTCAATCCTTTGAGGGAACAGAGTTGTGCCTTCTTATTTAAATAGCGTTACTTTGCTGAAGCTGCCTCAGAAAGCCAAATTTTTACTCAGAATTGGAGTGTTTCAATCATTTGTATAAGTAGCAAGGCAGTCTGATCCAGTGCTGTGAGAGGGCCCGTGCATTTTGGCTTCTGCCTTTTGCAGGGAAGCCTTTTATCTGTTCTAAGGAGCCAAGCGCATTGGACAGCTCTGCCTGAAAGGCTTTGTATCTCTACCAGATAGTCTTAAAATGATTCAGGAAGAGGATAACGTTGATACTAAGCATGAAGTTTAAACAAGTGAAGGGGTTTATTCTGAAAGAGCTTTCTAGCTTAGTTTTAAGGTCTCAGCATTTGCGTCTGAGGCAGCAATACTGCAATACTTTTCATTTCAATCTTTTCTGTGATGCAGGGGGGCTGCTTGTGGGACTTCCTGAAGACCCACCTCCAACTTCTCTTCTTCCAGAGCCAGTCCTCCAGTGCTATGTACAACAATATCAAAAATCTGGATTCAGGTAATGCAGCTTTGAGTGTGTTTATTTTGGTTTTACTGGGGTGTTCAGTACCCATATTATTTATACTGAAGCAATGATTTGCCTGTTTCATTGCTGGAGACAATGAATGGTGATGGCCGTATATGGGCAAATTTATGTTAAGATACTCTTGCAGCGTTCTATTAGATGTTACTGAGAACAAACCACAGGGATTGGTAGACCATCACTATCAAAAGAGAGGATCTCTGACTTACAACTGTTGAGCTGTGGAGAAGAGGGAGAAGTGGTAAAGATAAAAAGAACAGGAACTCAAAAGTTCTCATAAATTATTTTCAGCCAGTGTCTTTCAAATTCAGTGGCAGCTGGTTTTAATTCACTCAAGGGATAACTAAAACTCATTGTATGTGCAAATACCACCTTGTTTAAATGTACCTTCAGGTCTCCTTCCTCTTTATTTCTACCCCAGACCTTCTTTTTTCTCTTGTCTGCCTATCACTTCCTTGAAGCAGGAAGCTGACCCAACCAGGTATCTTTAATGCAATGCAAAATTTTGCCTTCTGTTGGGGGATGAGAGGTGAGAGGGGAGCTAGGAAATGAGACAGCAACTGGCAGAAAACGTTTCTTTGCTCCACATGTCAGCTGAGAAAGAAAGAAAAACTACAAATGTGTCCCTCCACTATTATTGATCATGGGAGAGATGCTGGAGAATTGCCTTAGCTATATATATATTCGTATTTGGAGGACTCGGGATTTGGCGTAGATGTTTGGAGTTTGGTGGTAACCCAGAAAAATGTATGCTAAGTCCTGCTTTTTTTCTTTTTCTGCCTCTTTCAGGGGTCCACTGAACTGGTACCGAAACATGGAAAGAAACTGGTCTTGGGGAGCTTCTGCCCAGGGCAGAAAGGTGAGGGTTGAAGGGTGTATTACACAGCTTTAGGCTTTCAGGAAGGAAACTCCCATAGTTGTTCTTTTTGGTTTTTTGCATTGTACAGAGCTCAGAAACTTCCCACAAAAGCTTCTAACTGTGAAATTGTTCCCATCACCTCCTCCTGAAAGAGTTAATTATGGCCAATATTGACTGATGTTGACTAGAGTCAGATGTGGTTAATACATGGATGAGGGAACCCCAGAAAATCCCAAGACAATACTGTAGGTTGGGAAGGAGAAGCAAAAATTAGAAAGTGGTATTGACAAATCAGTTCCATATTATTGCTAAGAAAGTTACAATGACATACCTAAAAATCTAGCTCAATTCAAGAGATACATTGACCTTCCCTGAAGAATTGTAAGTAAAAGATTCCTAATAAAAATGAACAAGGCAAAGATATTACAAGCTCTTACGGTAATCTATCAAAAACAAACGGCACAACTTATTGTCAATGGAGGTCTGTCAGAGGTTTTTACAATAGAGAAAGGTACTAGGCAGGGATGTCCATTATCACCGTTGTTGTTTGTCTTAACACTGGAAATACTGTTGATCAAAATTCGAGAGTCGCAGGAAATTAAAGGAATAGAAGTTAACAAAAAAGAATATAAGTTAAGAGCTTTTGCGGATGACTTGGTGGTTACTTTGTCGCAACCTACCTATTCTGTAGTAAAGTTGCTACAGTTGATTCATTATTATGGTTTGGTTTCGGGTTTTAAGATTAATATTAATAAGACTAAAATTTTACCTAAAAATATGACCATTCAGGAGAAGCAGACTCTGGCTAACTTGACGGGTTTTGAAATTGTCAATAAGGTAAAATATTTGGGGGTGATGTTATCTGTTTCCAATGCAAAATTATTTAAAAATAACTATGAAAGGTTGTGGGTTAGTGTACAGAAGGACTTGAAGAATTGGGAGAAGTTGCAATTATCTCTCATGAGAAGAATTGCAGTGATAAAAATGAATATTCTACCCAAGTTTCTTTTTTTGTTCCAAATGTTACCGATTTTGAAGAATGAAATTAATTTAAGTGAATGGCAGAAAGGTGTTAATAAATTCATCTGGGCAGGGAAAAAGCCAAGGGTTAAGTTTAAAATCATGCAAGACTTCCGTGAGAGAGGTGGATTAAAGGTACCGAATTTGAAATTATATTATGATGCGGTGGTTTTAACATTAATTAGTGATTGGGTAAATTTGACAAATCTTGAGGTACTCCATCTAGAGGGATGGGACTTACTTTTTGGGTGGCATGCCTATTTAATATTCAATAAAAAAGTGGATTGGGCTTTCAAAGCTCACATTTTAAGAATTTCCTTACTTAGGATTTGGAGAAAATATTATAAAAGTGATTTTAAAGTACCATTATGGGCTATACCTTGGCATGCGATAAAAGGAATAAAAAGAGGTGTTAAAATGGATATGGTGTCTTATAGACAGCTACTTAGTTGGGATGGACAAAATTGGCAGTGAAAATCACGGGAAGAGTTAGCACAAGAAAATATTATTTATTCTTGGTTTCAATATAGGCAATTAGTAGATAGATGGAAGGTGGATTGCAAGGTGGGTTTTCTCAGAGAAGATGAAAATTTTATTAAGCAAGTGAAGAATCAAAGACAAACTCATATTAAGAGAATTTATGGGGTTCTAGTTGAATTGGACTCAGAAACGGAATTAATTAAAGATTGTATGATTAGATGGGCGCAGAATTTTGGTGAACCAGTTCCACTGGATATCTGGGAAATTATCTGGGTGAGAAATGTCAAATTTACACAAGCACAGAATTTAAGGGAGAATTTTTATAAAATGTTTTATAGATGGCACCTTGATCCAAAAAAAATGTCTTTCATGTACCCTGTCCTACAGCCTAAATGTTGGAGATGTGGTTGTTTGGATGCCACCTATTATCATATTTGGTGGTCGTGTAGAGAGATAAAAGCCTTCTGGATTAAGATATGGTGGAATATTCAGAGAATTTTTAGAAGGAGGGTAAAATTTACTCCACAACTATTCTTGTTAGGTATAGTTACTGATTGTGACACAAAGGAGGCTACATTGATGTTAAATTTGATTACAGCCGCAAGGCTGTTAGTAGGACAATACTGGAAGAAGGAATCTTTGCCTACAATGCAGGAATGGTTTCTTAAAGTGTCTTATTTGGCGGAAATGGCAAAGATTTCGGCTTTTTTAAAGGAACAAACGCAAGAGAATTTTCTTGCTGTTTGGGACAAATGGATAAAATTTATACAATTTAGATTGGATATTGAAAAATACTACATAGCTTTTCTATAACTTTTATTTTTATATATATATACATATATCTCAGTGTTATATTTTTCTTTTTTTTATATATATATAATTTTTTTTTAAATTCTTTCTTAATAAAGCCTATATTCTGCTCTGGGAAGCTCAGGGGGGGGAAGGGGGTGGGTTTTTTGGGGGGGTTGGGGAAGGGGAGTTTTGTTATGTCATGTTTAGTTTTTTTTTGGTATATGTTGTTTTTTGTATTGTTATCTTGTTTTTCTGTAAAAATTTATAAAAATTTTCAATAAAAAAAAAAGAAAAAAAAATGAACAAGGCTGAAATGAAAAATTGATCTGACCATCACACACTGTTTTTTGTTGCTGTTATTTTCACACACAAATACTGCCCCTAGCTATTCACACAAATGTGTAGACATTAATACTTATTTCTGTAGTTTATGTTGGGGGAATATCTGTTCATTCCAGTCAAGGTTTTTTTTTTTCCTTCAATGCATGCTGCAGGCAATGCATTCCTTTCCACTATGGCATAGAATAGCCCTTAAATTTGTAATTTCATGTACCAATATTTAATAACTTTTGATTTACTCTCCTTGCCTGCCTGTTGAAAGATTTTGAGAATCTTGAAGTAATTTTGATGGGTTCTTTACATATTTCTTTTCCAAACCCTTGGGTGTCAAACTTGGTTAAAGTCACCCAGCAATCTCCATGTGAATTGAAAGATTTAAATCCCAACTGTTCTGTTCTTCATCCAGCCCTGAGTTGTACTGTCTGTATTATTACCATTTTTCTGATGTTCAATAATTAACAGCTTGTATCTATTTCCCATAAAACATTTCAAAGCTGTTGTAGACTGTTTTAACATTTACACTTTAGGCTGTGCATCAATCAAGATTAAGAGCTTGTCTTTTCCGGGAAAACCCCAGATTCAATTTAACCAGGGACTATTGTTTGGACTCTATGTATACTCCAAATCATATTTTCTCTTTGAATCCAGCCTTGGTTGAAAGAGCAAATACAAAAATATAAAATGGAAAGAAAAAAACAAAACAATAAAACTGAATGACAGCTGCCTCTACCAATTGCATAGCTTAATAGCCAGGAATGTGTAGATTCTGTATTAAATTATAAAAGCAGTATAGGTTCTCTGCCTAGCAAAGCCTTAATCATCTCATCAGCATCTCTCTTTGTCAAACTACAAGATTAAGCTATTGTTTGGAATGACAAGAAGCTGTCATGGGGATGAGTTGAGCTTGCTTTGTGCCCATGCCTTCTGGCAAAAACATTCTTCATTCATGTAAGAGTTACAGTATTGGATTCCTGCAGGGATAGGAAATCATTATGAATTAATGGGCGTAGTCAAAATGCTGACAGCATGGTGGGGGAATGATTGCCATGGCTTGCCTGTTCATAAAACGGTGCTACATTGTGGTCGGTGAGTCATAAAAGGTTAATTCCTGTGAAGAGAAATTAAGGAGGCAGCTATCTGACTTTACAGATGATCTCTAGCACCCCATCTTGCTTTTACCTTTTATCAGAAAGAGTAAGTATAGCTGTTAACATATAGCTGAAATGGTGATACGTGTCAGTGTTTATTGATCACCATTGCATATGGATGGCTTCAGATCTCATTCATCTCTAAATCCACAGATCACAGTTCCTGCCCTGATGGTTACTGCTGGAAAGGACAGAGTTCTCAGTCCAGAAATGAGCAAGAACATGGAGAAGTGGGTGAGTAACAGATGTGTTGGCCTGATCCTTTCCATAATTAAACAAATACAATAGATCAGAGGGCAGGAAAATGTCTCTTTACACTGAAATATTCTATTTCATTTAATGGAATGGAGTTGAAGGAATTCTTGTTACTGGAAGTGCTGCAGCAGTTCAAGCTCAAACCATTATTTTTCTTTCTCTGTCTATGTTTTGAGATTGACAGACTTGAAAATTTGCAGTGCGAAAGCCAAGGTGATATGGAAGTGCCTTTTTACCTCCTGGTTTGTCTTCTCATAAAAGTCATCCCAACTTTTCATTTCACTGTATTTTAATTTCGTTCTTCTGTTTAAGAACCACCAACTATATAGTTACTCCTTAGTTATCACACATAGGCTTAGGTTTCTTGAGACAGGGAAAAAGCTCAAGAATACTACTGAATTAGGGTTATTTGTCATCTCATTGTAGATGAGATGATATACTGTAGTTCTGACTGACCTTTCCTGTTTCACAAAATAGCAAAACGATTTCATTTGGCCATGACGTCTACCTTTTTCTCCCCCTAGATTCCACAATTGACTCGTGGCCATATTGAAGAATGTGGGCATTTCACACAAATGGAGAGGTAAGTAGTGTTGAGAGAGAGAGAGAGAGAGACAAATGCAAATGATTTATTTTAAAATGCATACCTATAAAAAGCACATTAGCTTATTGTACTGCATAGGTTGCTGAGATTCATTGTTAAATAATCTGCATCAAAATTTAGATTCTACAGTATGTGGAAATGGACAGTAGAGCAGAATTTTGAGGGCAGTGACCAGCCAGAAGACTAAAAGTCTGATTACAATTTCTTATATTGGAGCTCAAAAGCTAGCATATTTATGTTAATGTAGGAGATGATGCTAAATGGTTTAATATATAGAAAATGCAAAAATCTAAATAAATAATGTTCCAAAATTGGCGTGGTCAGATAATTTCCATTCCTACTCTGCATTCTGACATTCAGACTTTTCTTTTGAAGATCAAATGAGAAAAGGCTTATTTTTATACCATGTTGAGATTCCAGAGGAAAGGCAGGATGTAAATGTAATGCAAATCCAAATTCAATCGGAATACTAGACACATTGGGAAAGGAAAGGAGACAACAGTTTTTTGCAATTTTGAGCAAAACAAATGCTTCACATTGATAAAGGTTTATAGAGCAGCATTCCCAGCCTATAACCTTCTCTCTAGATGTGTTGAATGTCAATTCCCAGTTTCTCCAATCATCATGGCTGACTAGAGGCATTCTGAGAATTGAAGTCAATTCATCTGAAAGGAAACAAGCAGAAAGTTGGTTTATAATTGAGTTTCCAGTCACCCCAGTAGATCAGATCTCTTATTCTTGTATATCCTCTTTATTTCTCTGGATGCATGAGAAAATAAGACTAATAAGCTTGCAAGGAATCAGAAAAATGTGACTTTGCATTTGATTTGGGTTCTTTGGGCACTAAATTCAATTTTCCCTCTGCATGAATATCTGCTCATGCAAGTGCACATACTGAAAAATACCCGCCTTGCCAAAATGTATAGTATTTTTTCTACAGGCCTGCAGCTTTGAACAAAATCCTGATCGAATGGCTGGAAGATGTTCACAAAAATGCTTCGCTGCAAACAACTGCCAAGCTTTGAAAACAACTTTAGCCCCCATATTGGCTGAACCATTAGCCAATTCATTTACGGAAGGAAGGAAGAATTCGTAAGATAATTAGTTATGGAGCTCTCATGGTGCTTTGGGAATTAAAATAGAGAATTTTTAGTTGATGTTTGAAAAATTCAATGCATTAGAAGGGATGGACTTTAAAAAAATAGCCTAAACAGAATGCTGAAAATGTAACTATGCTGAGATTATCCTTTGATCTTTATACTTTTGATTGTTTTGATGTAAGAAAATTCTTAATGGCCAAGATATTCATACCTCATTTGGATCATGATTTATTTAAGCAGAGTTTAGTGAATGAATCACAATTGGATGAGCTTATATAGCATATTATTATGTCCAAACCAAACAGCTCTTTAACACAATTTAAGACCTGAAGTGGCGCAGTGGTTAGAATGCAGTATTGCAGGCTAATTCTGCTGACTGTGAGGGGTTCGATCCTCACCAACAAAAGGTTGACTCAGCCTTCCATCCTTCCAAGCTCAGTAAAATGAGAATCCAGATTGTTGTGGGCAATATGCTGACTCTGTAAACCTGTTGCTAATTTGTGATCAAGTTATAGTTTCCCTAACATATTGGAACCACGTTTTAGTAATAATTTGTGGGAAGCTTCTCGGTTCAGATGAATCAGAAAGTGATTTAACAAATTCAGGATGCATCTTCTGAAGCAGGCACAAGACAGGACAAAAACATTTGATTAATGCTGTGATTGAGAATGGGGTTGCTCTCCAGATGTTGATATCAATTCTATTATGAAACATGTTTTTGCTGTGGCAGATGGGAGTTGTGCTTCAGAAATCTCTGGAGAGTTGTAATTCTGATTTGCCACCTGTACTGAACTCAGGTTTCTAATTGTGGTATTTAGTTTATTTTCATGATTATGAAATTTCAATTGTATATGTTTTGCAACAGTTTGGGTTAATTTTTGGAAAGATACTATTGATCAGTGTTTTTCAAATTGGTTCCACTGGAACTCTAGGATTGCACAAGAAACTGAAGAGGTTCTACAAGAAAGTGAGGAGAAAAATTCATTCAAACTTGGCTAAATTTCTACCACTGGAATTTCTGGGGTTATTTTTTGCCTTTAACTAAAAAAATTTGGCTGAAAAAGTTTGAAGATGCCGTATGTCTACTAGTCTTTCACGCAGCTGTATTTTTTTCCTGGGATCACAGGGAGAAAAGATGACTCCATCAAAGAGTCATCTATTTTTTGGCTTCACAAGGCAGCCCACCATCTTAAACCCCCCTGCAACTCAGACTAACCTGAGCACAACAAAGTCCCCACCCAAACAGAACACTCCCCCAGCCAATCAGAGCACAGCCAACCCCCCCAGCCAATCAGAGCACAGCCAACCCCCCAGCCAATCAGAGCACAGCCAACCCCCCAGCCAATCAGAGCACAGCCAAGCTCCTAACCAATCAGAACACACCTCCATCCAATCAGAACACAGCCAAGCTCTCATCCAATCAGTTCATACCCCCACTGGCAGTTAAAAGGAGGAAACAGCTACAATCACACATGCTCCTAGAAGCACGAAGCTGAAAACACCAGCCTGAAGATGATGAATGAGACTTCGTCAAAACGTCGCCAAGACACTTCCAATTTTACGTGGGAGAAAACCCGAATAACCAAAGACCTACATACAAACACCCGCGAAAACCTCAGAAAACACACACACACACACACACACACATACATACATATACACACACACACACACACACGCCAGCCAGCCAGCCAGCCAAACTACCTAAAACCCAGACCATGACTTGGAGGCAACCAAACGAACAAACACCATTTGCATCACACAGAAGATACTTAAATACCAGCAACAACAACCAGCCAATAGCCCAAAATGAGACCATGACTCAGAAACATCAGGACAAATAACACCCACACCAATTAACATCACACAAAAAGATATTTAAAGGTCAGTGCTCTGGTAGATGAGCACAATTCAAAGTGCACTGAAGATGTCTCTCCCCCCCAATGGAGACGTTTGCAGCCAAATTGCCAAGCTCGGAGATCAAACTAACAACCCAACCTATTTCATCACCCTGACTTCAGGTTTCTCATTCCTATTGCTCAGCTTCTTCCCCATACTCCTGCAATCTCTCCCTCCCTTGCCTAAGGAGATTCTTGAGCCCATTTTCTTCTCTCTAAATCTGATAAATCACCATGGACTCTGAGACTATAATTTCAAGCACTGTAGTGTCCATTGGTAGGCAAGTGCCTCTGTATGATTAAAACATTTTTTAAAATCCATAAATGTGTCTTTTGCAGTGAATTGGTTATAAAAGTGCTTCTTGTGATGTATCTTGAAAACTATACTCAGCATAGAATTTTAGCCAGCCAGAGAATAATAAATCACGAATGAATTCTGGAGAAAATAAAACCATTGGGCGACAAGTGAAAGATTTGGATATGGATTTCATCTCTCCCTTAAGAAAGAAGTTCAGGATAAAAAAAAATGCCTGCATATTTGGATTAGGACAAACATTCAAATCAATGTCCAGAATCAGTATGACTTAATCTTTTCCCCATTTTTTTTTATATTGGGCATTCCACTTCTCTGCAGAAGTCTCATGTTTGCTGAAGCCTCCTCGGACAAGGAAGAAGATTGGGCAGCCAATCAAGAGTGTCCTACTCTGCTCATTAATCAAATCAACCCTGTGGGCCCTTCTCTAAAAGCCTCCTACATTAGCCTCCTACAGCATAAAAGAAAGGGCAAGTGACCATGGACAAAGAGTCATAGCTGAAGATATTCTTGTGAGCTGGACCAAAAACTGGCAAGCAGAGGCATTTACAACTGCGGGTTAAATGTCAAAATGGCAGCCACATCTGTGCTACTGAAGCCCTGCCTCTACTTGCAGGAATTCAGTCACGTGGCCACAGCCATCATCTTGACTTTTTAAACTTCTCTGCATGGATGTTCCTGCTAGCAGACAATTGATAACTTTCCCTTGTTCTGATTTAGGCACTCAAAGCTGTGTTACTTTGCTTATACTTTTTGACACAGATATTAAAAGGAAAATTCGTGGTTGTATGTTCCCGGTGTCAAAGCTGCCTAAGAGTGGAAAGTTGTCTTTGCAGAAAGGGCAACCATATGTAATGTAACTATTTAAATATGTCCTGTTTTCCCTAATAACATTTTCTTGTATGTTATTTTTATATTTGCAAGGTCAGTTCATACAACTACAGTCCCATTTACATTGTTAGGGAAGCTGTTGGAATACTTCCATTTCTGTTCACCTTGGATGCCGCTGGTCCACCGAATGTTCAAGCAGTAGCTTTAACATGATCATGTCCATGTACAACAAGACAGCAAAGAAAGACCAGCACTGCATGTGCCCTCAACCTGCAGTGAATAATCGGAGTTTTCAAATGAGAGCGTGGAAGCACCTGTTTTGACTGGCTGGCAGCCAGGATCCCGTAAAAGCTAACCTTAACACCAAGGCAGCATCGTGGAAACAGTCTTGATTTTGCTTTTCAATCACATTTGAAGCTAATGCCCTTGCCCTTGTGTATGTTCCATCTATTTTACAAGAAAAGAGCATTCAGCAAACAGGATTGCAAGAAAAGAATAATTGCTCTCAGGTTTGGCACAGAGAGGGAAGATATCAGATACCCTCTGGAGTTTCCAGAAAGAAAGGAAGTTTCCAGGAAAAAAGTAAGCATCCAGTGGAAAGCTGACACATTGGTTGATGCATGTACTGGGTTGGTTGTTTTTTTTTTAAAAAAATCATTAATTCCAACAACTATCTTTCAAGTTCGGTGTTGAAATCACAAACATTGATTGAAATCCCCACGAATTCCATAAGCTTGATTGAAAAGAATAGAATTGTTTTCTTTCTCCAAAAGGAAAGCTAATGCATGCTTAAAGGGTAACATGGATAATATGTAATGATGATGATGATAATAATAATAAAGTTGGAAGGGACCTTGGAGGTCATCTAGTCCCACCCCCTGCTCAGACAGGAAACCCTATACCAAGCATGGCAAACTGCCGGTCCGCGGGCCAGATGCATCATGCCGAAACTGCGCCCACCCCATTGCTGGCAATGGGGAAAAAGTCCCAATACATCACGTGATGTTGCGAGTTTGATATGCCTGCCCTATACCATTTCAGACAAATGGCTGTCCAATCTCTTCTTAAAGACTTCCAGTATTGGAGCATTCACAGCGTCTGGAGGCAGGTTGTTCCACTGATTAATTGTTTTAACTGTCAGGAAGTTTCTCCTTAGTTCTAGGTTGCTTCTCTTTTTGGTTAGTTTCCATCTATTGCTTCTTGTCCTGCCTTCAGGTGCTTTGGAGAATAGCTTGACTCCCTCTTCTTTGTGGTAGCCCCTGAGATATTGGAACACTGCTATCATGTCCCCCCTCCTCCTTCTCTTCATTAAACTAGACATGCCCAATTCTAGCAACTGTTCCTTATAAGTTTTAGCCTCCAGTCCCCTAATCATCTTTGTTGCTCTTCTATGTATTCTTTCTGTATGAGCTTTTATACAGTTTTTATTTTTTTCCTCCAAAATGACATGGAAGTAGAACAGAATGACCATACTTGTGAGCTGGAGGGAGGAAAGGAACATTTGTATTTTATGCTCCAATCATTGACTACTTTAATCCAGAACTGCTCCCTCCTCTGAGAAGCAACATTTCTCGCCAAGTATTTTCTTCCAGCTCTCTGTAAAATGGGACTAGAGACTCTCTCAATGCCAAAGTGATGAAGGTGTTGACACCCTGATCCTGGGGCCTTCTGCATGCATCATAGGCCCTGTGTCATTCAGGGATGACCCTTTTTCTCTTCTTCAACAACAGAATTATAGGTCTCAGACTAAATTAAGGTGACCAACCGTCCTCCTTTAGGGAGGACAGTCCTCCTTTTGTGAGTTCTGTCCTCCCTTGAAAAGTGTCCTCCTACATGTCCTCCTTTTCGATATTTGAAGACTAATCTGCAGGGCTTTTTTTTTCTCATAGAACGCTCAGAACAGCGTTCCAGCACCTTTTTTGATGGTTTTTTTTTCAACTTTTTCATGAGCTGTGCTACTCCCCCTATTGGCTTTCGAAAGCCAATAGGAATTGCTGCTGAGTGCGCCAAAACACCCGGCCAGCAAACTTTGCACATGTAAGTTGTCTGCAGCGAAAGCGAATTGGCAGGAACTTTGCACCCCTCCCTGCTACTCAACTACACCATCTCCTAGTCAGTCCCGAAGATACCTGGAGGAGACTGGAGTGGCAACGCCACAGTAACTTTCTCTTGATCTTCGGCCCTGCTAGGGCAATAATGGCTGTGGACGCAAGAGCAGGGGCGGTGGGGCTGCTGTGGGTGGGGCTGTGAGGGGCGGCAGTGACTGGCTGCCCCCGTGCTGTGGGAGCCATGGGGCCTGCTCTACACGGGGCTGCGCAGGGTGGGTGGCTGCAGGCGGGGCAGCTGCAGGCAGGGTGTGTCGACAGCAGACTGCCCCCAAGGGCTGGAACTGGCACAGCTGGTGCTTTGGAAGCCATGGGGCCCACTCTACATGGCGGGGCAGCAGTGCTGGCGGGCGGCTGCTGGTGGGGGTGCGGCATGTAAGCATAATTACAATATAAAATGTTATTGTTACAAATGTTTTTTATTATGCATTTATCATATTATAGTGTATTCTGTATTATTGTTGCAATGAATAAAATGTTTCTTTTATTTACGATATTTTTTTCTTCAATTTATTTGTGTCCTCCTTTTCATTATAAAAAAGTTAGTCACCTTAACTAAATGCAATGTAGAACTGAAAAAGGAAGTGAAGAAGCTCCAACTAAAGGCTGGAGATTTAAGAAATGAACACAAAATAACCTCTCAATTTTATTAATTAGGCTGTTTCCTAGTTATAAAAGAGAAGGAATTCTTTTAGCTATGTGATTTCTGATCTTAAAGCATAAACAATTTTGACACCATTAATTGATTAGCATCCTTTCCCTCTTCATCACTCAAAACTATACATTTTCTCAACAAGGATAAATGAGAGAAACATTGTCCTTTTGCAAGTTTTCATGATTCCTGGGAACTGCACGGATCATTCTTGCCAAATGAACATAAAAAAGACAGTTGCCTTTATGTGTCATTTCTTGATATCAGGCATTGTTTTATTCCCTTTAAGCTATCTATTTTCATACATTATCTTGAAGGTCAGCAAGACTCAATTCAGGATCCTTGATCTTTTTGCTTCCTACCAAACTGCCTGATTAAATATGCTGTGATTGCTAGAAACAGCTGGCAACATTCAGCCAGCAGTTAATTCTGCCAGCATGGAGGTGGAAATCAAGTGACAGCTTATAACATAATGAAAGATTGATAGTGGTGCTAAACCTTACATGCAGAAATAAACAGTTTCATTTGCCCATTTAGATATTCTCCCATTTAGTTTATTGTTTAAAGGAGAACAATGCATCCAAAGCTATAAACCAAGACAGGAATGTTTGCTTGCTATGAACTTTGCTAACCAAGAGTCATGCATGAAACATCTCTCAACTCCCAGACACCCCAGAGCTATAACACAGTGCCTGTCATTCTCATTTGCTTTAACACCCAATTATTAACATCTGTTGTGTTAATAAATACATTAACAGAACAGTCATGCATAACTTTGCTTGTAAATAGCAGATATTCCCTATGACTGAGCTTTGTGAATAAAGATAGGATATAAATCTAACAACATCAAAAAAATCCTTACAGGCACTATTTTGCTAATCTTGCTTAACAGCTCAGTGGTGTTCTATAATCTTCCTGATTTGAGTACTGATGGCACTGAAATAATTTCTATTATTTGGGTATTGTGTTGTACATGATTAAAAAACAGTCAAGCTGTGTACAGAACAAGGTCAGGAAGTTCTACAAGTCATACATTGTAGAGTTTCTCCTTTGCTTCTGATTCAAGTCAAGGCAACAGTTTCATACTAAGGAAGGGTGCTTTTACATTGGGGAAAAAAAGCTCTTTCCTTACTTACACTTTGTATCAGCATTGAACCCCCTGGCAACCCCAATATTTTCCTGTGATTGTACAAAAATGGCCTTATTTCTCAATCCAGCACAGGTTTTAAATGGTTTTGTGATGATCCTTCCAACACTGAGTCATCATGAGCTTTCTGCTTTTCTGGATTCCTGTGAATTCCTGTGACTAGACAAGCCTTATTAAACTCACATTAACCAAAGTCTGGGTTTGCCAGACCAGAACAAAAACAGGAATTTTCAATCTGCAATGCAAAGAATATATTCTGGCCCTAAACTAAAGGTTACATGCCAACAGGATTCAAGTACTTTTAGAGGATCCCAGAATGGAGAACATTGATTGGATCTTCAGTTTGGAGAAATGATCAAGGACAGGGCTTTTTTTTTGTCATGGAACACACCGGAATGGCATTCTGGCTCCTTTTTTCGACAGATATTCCAGAGTTCCGTTCTTTTCCTATTGTTGCCCTTCCTATCCTCGTTTGCTTTTGAAAATGCCCAACTGGCAGTACAGTGGGAGCGGGGTCCCCTCCAGCGCTGTCTGCCTCCTCTAGGAGGAGCCATGAGGCACCAGAGCACCACAACCAGAGCGTGGCTTGATTGGCTGGGTTGGACCATGTGGTATGGAAGCCGATGGTGGCAATGGGAGACACATAAACATGGAGGCCATCTTTCATGAGAGGGTGAGTGAGCCTTTTGCCTTCCCTTACAGAAGGTGGGGTGTGAAGCTAAAAAGAGGCGAAGCAAGAGGGAAAAAAGGCAGTGGAGTAGAAGCTTGCCTGACAGCGAAACTTTGCTGTTTCGGTTCCTTGGGTAGTTCAAAGGCTGGGATGTCTACGAAAATCTCTTTTTAGTCTTTTATACTTTATATTCAAACAGCAGAGGGGAAGAATAAGAATAAAGCCAATGTCTTGTGATTTGGAGGTAATAATCATAATCATAATAATATTAATTATGTATTGGTCAGATGTAAAGGTAGACCTACAGTATGAGGTTTAATCAGATCTATTTATTAAATTGGGTTTATCCTAAAGGTAAATTAAAAGTAATCTATTCACTGACAAAGTTTCAACTTTAATTTGTTTCAAGTCAATATCCATATAAAACTCCAAATGTATATTTTTCCACCTTGTTTGACAACTTAAAAATAATTCAATCTTTTACAAGCAACCAAATTTTGTTTAATTGGGCCAATTTCATTCCACATAGAAAGCTGACATTTCCACTCATTAAAGTAAATGGGTATGCCAGTGATAAAGGTCCCAAAAGAATAATAAAATGCCTTCTTGTAATTTAAAGCCACACTGTGCATGATAATATTAATAGTATTAACTTACCTTGAACAAAATCCTAGTCTTTTAGATATACTAAAATTTGAAGGGTTTTTTCAACTACAAAGGTAAACCTTGTAGGGTAGACAAGGCAGGTGGTATGACGTATGTAAGTTCCAGCACCTTTTTTTTTTTTTACAAAAAAACCCACTGATCAGGGATATGTAAGAATAATAAAATATACACGTTTATCTTTCAAGAGTATGCAGTGTCATATATGCAGTTTCAAATATTTGCTGACAGTCCTGAGAACTAGAAACAAAAGGCAAAGAAAGATTAAAAGTACAGGTAGGTACAAATCTATACAATTTGTCTATAGATGTATATTATTGAGGTTCCCTTCCCAGTAGAATAGATTCTCACAAGAAATCAGATAATCAAATATATATTTTGGAGGGGTGGAGAGAAAAATCTGTCTACTTTTTAGCAATAAATTCAGCTCCATAGTGAAAAGGAGCTGATAAATCTCCCAAGGTTAATAACAGTGGATCTCAACTACAACTTTAAGCAGGGACTTTAGAAGATGGGTTGTAGGAGTTCAGTAGTATGAACTGCACAACCAAAGGGGAAATTTTGGGGAGATAGCTACGCCATCCAAGGAAATCTCTTTTCTTCCTGTAGGGCGAACAAGGGCAAACACTACTTTCTGATCTCTAGAAACCAAACTCACCTTATGCTGTTTTTTGACCGTAATAAAGATTTGATTGATTGATTATAAAAGTCCTCATGTTTTTTGGGTTAGAGAAAGATTCTGTTTTTCCTGATGCCTGAAATCTAGGCATTAAATGACCTGTGAATATTTAGCAGCAGCAGGCTCTTCCTGTGTATACAAATTAGTCCATTTTGCATTGATTCAGTGTCATGCCTTTAATTACATATATATTCCAAGTCATAGCCACATTCCCCTCACCAGATGTTGCTGTACATTCACCCTTCATCATTTATAATTATAGCCCCACAGTCACAAATGTCCATACTTTATTGTGCAGATTTGCATTTGTATATATTATGTGCTATATATTGTATGCCATTTGGCCATCCTGTCTTATCCAGCAATAGTGTTTTCCCTGCTGTCCCTGTTCAATGGATAGCATGTCATCATGGAAGCTGCTAACTGTTCAACATTGGGTTGATGGCAGGTTGCTAAAACATAAAGACTGAAGTTTCCTCGATGGGAATTAATGAAAAGGGGATCCTAAAAACTGAGGTTTTGTCTCAGATTCTTTCCAATGGGATCTCTAGCTCAGATGATACTGCCCCAACTCAGAGGGTAGGTTGGGGAGAGAGACAGCAAAAAGATCTTTGCAAATGAAGAAGTGAAAGGGGGGGGGCATTGTCCAGTTGGAGTCAGCAGGAAATTAGTTTACAGGGCTATAAACAAAGAGTGGCATTAATTGCTGTTTTGCAATCTCTCAGATTTAAGTAATTCATCTTTTCCTTAGAGGTATATGTGAGTCTGTACTGTTCTCTATCCTCTTGTACATAAAGCAAATATTGATGTACATGCAAATGACACAAAGTGATCTTATTTGCATGAAACCATAACTCAAAATGAAATCCATTTGGTTTTAGTTTAATGTGCTATGTGGATTTACAAACCTTGATTTATGGATTAGTAGAAGCTGTAGGTAGCTTGTTTGCCCAAGGGCAGGAGGGAAATATAGGTATAACTCAGCTTCAGGCTCCATGACAAGCCAGGTAATAAATAACACACACACACACACACACACACACAATACCATGAACTGATAAGCTTTCTGTAACAACTAGGAGAGCATAATGCAAAAACAAGTGGAGCTTGCAATCATGTGGAACAGACACTAAGAAAAATCATTTTCTCTCTTTTCTCTCCCATCTCTCCAAATAGTCCAGTTAGATGATGACTGTTGAAAAACCACAACATTTTCTCATTATTTTCAGTAGGAATATATGAAATCTAAAGTTTAAGCCCTAAAGTAGGGATAATATTGTAAGAAAAGATATTTCAAAAACTTCCTTCCAAATGCAGAGGAGAAAAGAGAAAAAAATTGTTTGGTGGGGAGCTCATGTATTTTTTCCCTTGATGCTCTGCTTGGTTTCTTCACTCTAATTTTTACAGTTTCTTAATGTATTTCGCTGTCAATGGTTTTTCTGCATCTGCAATATTTTCTTTCCATATTCCTGGTTTCACAGCATAATAAAATATCTATTTCTAAAATTCTAAAGCCTTCCTTTTGTAGGAAGAAGTTTGGGGATGGATTTAAAGTTTAGGGAAAAGTTTGAGGAGTTGAAACATTTCTTTTCTCTCTTAAAACTTTCAACAATGGGACAATAAATCAGCTGGGGGAAAGGTATTATTTATGTCCTGCCCATTCAGAGTATGTTCTGGGAGCTACAAATAGGGTTGATGATGGTGCTTGTCCCTAGAAACTGTGAATTGCCTACCCTTGATATAGGAAGCGAGATCATCCTGTATCTCACAATGAGCATACCTAACAACTGTATGGGCAATCTTAATCTTCTGCTATTCCCATGGCTGACTCTGAGAAGCAGAACACTCAATACTGACATAATATAAAGCCATAGAAAGCCTTTCTTCCAGAACTACTATAACACCAACATCAAACTCTCTAATTAGATATCTTTGGAAGACTTCAAGAAAAAAGATGGATAGATATTTGTCAAGGACGTTTTGATTTGGATTCTACACTGGGCTCAATGGCCTGAATCAGTATCTCTTAGATTCTGCAAAACTAGTATTCTATAAAAATCATGCAGATACTGTATGTCTAAGTGTTTGTAAATACCTTCACCTTGGAAGCTTAGTCACTATTACATACATAGAGCAGTGGAAATCTTCTGCAAAGCAATTCAACGCATTGCCCTCACTCTTGCTATGTTGCCTGTGTGGGAAGCAGATTTCTCCACCCTAAGCCATAGTGGCACAGTGGTTAGAATGCAGTATTGCAAGCTAACTTTGCCCACTGCCAGCAGTTTGATCCTGATCAACTCAAGGTTGACTCAGCCTTCCATCCTTCTTAGGTTAGTAAAACGAGGAGCCAGATAGTTGAGAGTATTGTGCAGACTTTATAAATGGAGAGGGCTGTAAAGTAATGTGAAGCAGTATATAAGTCTAAGTGCTATTGCTATAACCCTTCAAACTGAAGTGGAAAAAGGCTCAGTTATGTATCCAGCCATTTTTCTGCATTGGATATGTCTTCTGCATCTGCTCAAGGCTTTGCAAAGTGTGGAGTTGAACCCATGCTGTGGTTCCAGTGGGTTAAGAGAATTGGCATTCCCTTTGGCCAACAGATGGAAGTAGAGATGCAGGTAGAAAACAGAAAGTTGGCTTCTACCATAACTCAATAGCCTTGCAGCTTTTTTCTTTTGGAAAAAGAATAGTCATAGGTTGCTTGTTTTTGAAAAAAATTAAGAAACGCTGGTCTAATTATTCCTTCCAACACAATGATTTCTGGGAATATTATTTCCCCTCAGTAAAAAATGTTAGGCTTGTGACCTAGCAGTGCTAAAGCATGCAAATGCCAGTAGATAAATAAGTACCATTCCAATGGGAAGCTTACTGCGTTCTGTATTTTCATGACCGCCACTTCATGACACAAACATCTCTCAAACAACTCAGGCTCCCTCTGCTGAGAATGGGTGATGAGCACCAACCCCTTGAGTCAGTCACACCTAGACAAAGGAAACCTTTAAACCTTTTTTTTCTGTTCATAAATGACTCTCATTAACCATGTTGTTTTCTTATTGCCTATTGCAGATTTTAGGCCTCTTGAGAAGAAGATCTGTGAGGCACCACACATTGTGAGCTCTACAAAGATATAGGATGCCATGTCCAAATGTTTTATGCAATCTGGATTGTGATTTCATCAACTTCAGTTCTCTGAAGCCTCCTCAATTTTGTTGATCAATAGCAGACACCCCACCCCCACCAGGGGATTCCATGTGTTCAGCTGTGCCCAAGGGCCTCCAGAATTAATGGGAGTCTGAATCAGGTAATAGCTAACTTGCTGATGTACTGTTCTTATTAACCATTCTGTGATTAACAGGGTCATTATTTCAGTTGAACTTTAGCCTTTTGCCTGGAGTTGAAAAAGAGGAGTGGGCCAAAAGAACCACCAGTGAAAGTAGACTCAGCTGTTGCCAAAAAAAGGGGGGGCAGCATTTCTGGTCTGTATCTTGTATCCCTGTTGCATCAGCATAAGGACTGCATGTAATATTTCAAAGCATTTCCTTCCATCTTGCTAATGGCTGTAGTGCAAGAAGGAAGAAGAAGGTAGATAGTTTTTCAAGCACATTTTTAAACAAGTTCCCCTTACACATGGAACATCCTTATAAATCAATTTTAAAAAGGCGTATGGATTTATGAAATCTGACGATCTAAGAAATATTTCAAAATGTGATGCTAAAGTATAAGGCAAAATTTCACACTTGGGATTACTGTAGGCAATACGGTATTCTGAGGAATATTGATCAGCAATGCAAGAATGTAGGAGCAACTTTTTGCTTACTGAAATTATACATGGAACAGAGAGCTTGTTTGAGAACCAGGGAAGATAAAAATATCATTTCCATTCTGGAATTTGTCCTATTTTAAGAGAGGCGATCAAAAGGTAAACAGTACTAATGTATGATTGGACCTTAATACCAAGCATGATCAGATCTGGTTGTGCAATGTGGAAACTCCAGAATGACGGAAAGGACAGGTCTAATTTAAGTTCTCCAGTTCAAGCTTCTTTCATATGTAAAGGGGACTATGTAAGAGCATCACCCCAGTGAAATCACCTGACTGACCAAACAAGGAAACAGGAGGTTAAGCAAGGCAGCATTTTTCCTTATATATCAATGCTAGAATAGAATAATAACTTTATTGTCACTTTGAGTGTACACTAATTGGCATACATTAAAATGAAATTTTGTTGCATTCAACTCTCAAATGGTCACCACCTCTGATATACACTACATAAATATGATAAAAATGAATAAATAAATACAGAATACTTCTATTCTTCTGTACTTAATTTCTAATTCCAGAGCTGCATGAGTTAACCAACGATGCAGTTACCATGAAAAACAGACTCAACTTTTTGTTTCATTGCACCTTGCTCTAAGTGAGTCACTTAATTTGCCAGCAAGAATTCAACCAAGGGGACTGTGAACACTTTGGCACTTGGCTCAGAAGGGAGATTTTTGAGTAGCAACTAGCATGCTGTTGAGCAATAAAACTTCAAGGATATCTGAAAAGATGTTGACATGGTTAAGCTAAGCTTGTAGTAAGAAAAGATAATAATTGTGAGGGAGTTCAGAAAGAGCCTGAGCCTATTGCAGGAATGATTAATCTATATTTAGTGATAACCTAAAATGCAAACTCCAGTTAAAACAGCTGGCTGACCTTCATAATAATAATGCAATACAATATAATGCATTCAATACATCCAAATGAAATATGCCCTGAACTTTCTCCATTAACCAGCTTAATTGTGCCTTTTTCTACTTAAGAGTTCAACATTTATATTATGCTTGTTAAACTATGCTGTTTAAGACCAAATTGAACAGGATGCTGAAACAGAGTAAGGAACAGATCTTCAAATCTTGCTGCTCTTCTAACCAGGAATCAGTGGATTATTGTTCTCTTTCCATATCTAAAATTTATCCTGATAACAAATAATTGTTTCTTGAAACCGTTCCTTAATGGCTCTATGTTTGCCAGTTATTGTCCACCAAATAATTGGAAGACAAGACTTGTTGAGGAAATTCATAGCTGTCTTCACATCCAGAGAGCAAAGTGGCATACAAAGATCAGGAGAAAGGCTTCTAAAAAAGGATGCAAATGTTCTAAGCTTTCATTGAATTCCATACAAAAGAGAAAAGCAAGATGGTGCTTATTCATATAGAGTAGAGTAGAGTAGAGTAGAATAGAGTAGAGTAGAGTAGAATAGAATAGAATAGAATAGAATAGAATAGAATAGAATAGAATAGAATAGAATAGAATAGAATAACTGAGTTGGACGGGACCTTGGAGGTCCTCAAGTCCAACCCCCTGCTCAGGCAGGAAATCCTATACCACTTCAGACAAATGGTTGTCCAAACTTCTTTAAAACTTCCAGTGTTGGAGCATTCACAATTTCTGGAGGCAAGTCATTCCACTGATTAACTGTGCTAACTGTCAGGAAATTTCTCCTTAGTAACTCCTAGGTTACTTCTCTCCTTAATTAGGTCCCATCCAAAGCTTCTTGTTCTGCCTTCAGGTACAGTTAAATTTAATGACAGTTAAATGGAATAGACTATGCACACTCCAGCTAACACATAGAAGGTCAGATTCAAGATTCTAGAAGGTATTGCCTGGGAAAAATACTAAAATGAAACCAACAAGAAAAATGTAAACTCAGGGAAAGGAAGGGGGCAGCTGTTCATGTGAAAATAAATAAGTAAGTAAGGACCATTTTTGGAAACAGATTGTTCAGTTTGACGGACTTTGGTCGGATCTGATCAACAAAGCATGTCTTGAATCCTTATTGGTAAATGTTTCTGCCTTTGCACACAATGATTTGAGATAAAGGCAAACTAGTAATAGTGGGTGGGGGAGAGAGAAAATTATTCTATGCTTTGGTACGGATTTGGTTCAAGAATAATCCAGTATAAAAAAGCTTTTTTATCTGATACAGGAAATCTCTGATTTATTGAGACATTTTATATAGTATTTCTGTAATATCAACCATTTCCATTTAGCCATTAAAAAAAAATTCATATAAAATATAAATGTATAAGATGAGGGAGGACTTAATGAAAATAAAAGAATTAGAAGCAAAACCCAGTGGCAATGAAATCAGAGTAGGCATAATCCTGAAACGGCATATAAATGTGTGTATATAATGTTCTTTGATTTTCTAGTATTTCTCCAAACACCTATTCCAAACATATTTAATCATATAATATTGCTTGCTTTATTACTCAACCCAATTCTTTTTAAAGAATCTCTTCGGGCTATATGTTAATTAAATAGGATAGCTGCTTAGCTTTCATCCCAAATCTAAATTTCTTAGCCCCAAACCAACATTGCAGTTGTTACTCATTAACCCTTTTTTCCCTGGAGAAAAGTCCTTATGACACAGAGAAGCATTCCATCACTTGGGTTCTCCCAACTCAGCAGTCTTGATCGAACTTCTGAGACACCTATCTTTTTAGTTCTGCTGTTTGGTGAACATCTAAAAAGTTCGGCTTTTAAATTCCCCCCATCCCCTTTCTTTTTTTTAGCGCTCTTTAGCAGAGGACTTTCCGTTCTGCAAATCTTCCTTCTGAGGTTCACCAAAAGCCAGTTATAATGGTAAGAATATTTGTTTTAATGGTGGGAGAAACTACATTTGGAATGATAAAGGAGTTGGGTTGAGGAGCCAGAGGAAAGATAACTTCATCGGAAATTATATTGATGGCACTGAACTGACAGGGGACAAATGGTGATTTTATAGTATTTGAAAAATGAGGTTTTTGTCTTATCTTACTTATTTTATCACCATCTCGGAAGCAGACTACTTCATGGTGCACCATACTCTGCCCAGAAGCAATAAGGTTCTATTCATTCCTCCACCTGCTTAAAACATCTTCAGCATGGTTTGTTTGAAACCTTGGACAACCACCTACTCAGATACAACATGGATTAGAATTCTTTTAATACTGGAGTACCAAGAGCCCACCCTCTAGGTAGAATATATATATATATTCTTTTAATACTGGAGTACCAAGAGCCCACCCTCTAGGAGTTTGTGTACCCCATATAGTTTGTGTACCCCAAAGCAAAGCTAGTCCCTTGTATTAGCTCTTTCTGAGAATCTGCATCTGAAAATAACTGGCTTGTATGTAATCTTTTCTTTGGAAATATCCCCACTAACCAGAAAGGGAAAGAACCCATAAGTAAATTACTTTAAGGGATTTTTTTAAAAAATGGGAAGCAGAGGACAAATGTTTAAGAAAATTAATAAACTGAGCACTAGAAAACCTGATGGGAAGCAAAAATAGAATTCACCTTCTCATAAACTGCTGTGAGAATGGTTAGCAAGTTTCCTGGGGCAAACATTTTCTGCCATTAGAATTCCAATTACCATGACACAAAAAAGGCTTGGAATTTAAATATTTGTGAACTATGTTTGCTATGGATGCAACAGCTCGGCGGTTGGGAATGTGTCCTGATTTGTCACTGCCTTCTTCCAATATGTGTTTTTTAACTTCCTAATCTGGCCTATAGGTCTAGATTTCCTGGTGTCTCCTATTTAAGTACAGTATTAGGCCTACATACTGCCACCATCCAAAAGCAAACAGTTATTGATCATGAGAGATTACAATTGGAACCTCCAACTTCCAAATCAAATGCTGGAATATCAGTGGACTTTCATTTCACCAGAGGAACACAGAATCCTTTAAAGGGGCAGTTCAGATACCAAAAGTCATCCGTGTGCAGAAAGGCTCTGCTCCTAAGCTCTTCGGAGTCAGACAAAACACTATCCAATTCTTTGTCACATAAACTGATTGTTAGAGAATTTCTCGCCCCTGAAGTTTTGGCTCTGGTTTTTCAAGTCCTTTTTTAAAACTGAGACTGACATTTGAGTAGTGATCAAGGGCCCATCCTCCAGAAAGTGAATGAGACAAATAAATAAATAAAACCAGAGTAGGCAGGACCAAGACAGCAATTAAACTTGATTTAATTAAATTTAAATGCTAAATTAAAAAGAAATTAATTCAATAAATGAATATGATTCCTCCTCTCAATTTTAAAAGAATTTTTTCTCTTCTATCCTATTAAGAATATTAATTTGGCATTCACTTTTGTAAAAAGTCAGTAAGCAGTGGGACATTCAAATCTGCTGAGGATATCAAATAGTCCTGCCAAAATGGTCTCCGTCTAGGTTGTTTGTTCATCATGGAGATGGTACAAGTATTTGAATTTGCCCAAACTTTAGGATCAGCATCAGAGGCTAATTTGGTCCATCTTTAAGGTCAGTTAGATCAATGTTTCTCAACCTCAACAGCTTTAAGATGTGTGGACTTTAACTTTCAGAATTCCCCAGCTAGTATTCTTTCATAATGTAGGGGCTACATTCAACTGTTTCAAAAGTCTTGTAATTTTTTTGGGAGTAGACTGTCTCAATACTTGATGTGTTAGTTGGAAGAGTTACATTTTAGAATCTGTGAATTGTCTTATTGTATCTCCTTTTGTGTGTGTAGTTTACCATTTTTAAGTGGAGCTGATCCAGCAAGTTAATTACAAGCAAAGTAATCATCCATGTTTTTTATTTAAAAAAAAAATCCTCCCAGAAGGGAACAAATAAAACTGGCAGTTTTCATGAAACCTTCTACAATTCTCAAATGGATGGGCTTCCGCTATGTGTTTTGGGGCACTAGGTACATGGTGAAGGTGGAGTCAGATTCCAGAACTGGGCTAGAACTTATGGTTCCTCTCCAGAAATGTATTTCCAGCCAACATCAGTTGATGAGATCAGAGAGGTAAGCAAGGAACATCCAGCCAGGTGTTCTATTATTTTGATGTTCTCTATAACCTATTGTTCTCTATCTGTTCTCTGTATTCTTTACTTGTCCTCTAATATTCTTTATATCCCATTGTTCTCTACATATAACAATATGACCTATTGTTCTCTATCCCTAGTGTGCCAGCTGAACCTAATGGGAATTTTTATATGCCCTAGAAAAAGTATTGAATTGCTTATTGTATTGCTTAAGAGCCATGGTGGCCCAGTGGTTAGAATGCAGTACTGCAGGCTAACTCTGCATTCCACTGCCATTCAATCCTAACCGGCTCAAGGTTGACTCAGCGTTGCATCCTTCCAAGGTCGGTAAAATGAAGACCCAGATTGTTGGGGGGGGGGAGAGAGAATATGCTGACTCTGTAACTGCTTAGAGAGAGCTGTAAAGCACTATGAAGTGGCATATAAGTTTAAGCACTACTCCTATTGCTTTCTCTAAATGTGCAAATGTGTGATTAACATTTTTGCAGATCTTGGCTCTGGCCAGGCAGAAAAGCAAGAAAGTGAAAATGGTTGGTGGTGGACACTCCCCATCAGACATTGCCTGCACAGAGGATTTCATGATCCAGATGGGAAGGATGAATAAGATCCTTGAGGTAAAAGGACTGTGGCCACTGGGTCAGAGTGATGATTCTTTTTGCTTGGCTTCAGAATTCTAAAGGCTTCCTTTCTTTTATGAAAAAGGCAGCCAAACCAACAAGGCTAAAGACTGCTAGGAATGTGTAAGTGGCTCCTAGATGTTGGTAATGGAGTGGAGAGTAGTCCTGGCTAGGTTCACATATAGTTTGCTTTAATTACTGTAAGGCTGATCATCAAAAGATAAAGTAAGCTAAAATTCTAATTTCATGTTAATCTATAAATCATGTTTAAAGATTACAATGTTAATTCTCTCAATGAGTTTTTTTTGCTTCAACTTTTGACTCTATATTTAAAACTCCTTGTGCCCACTTTGAAAATAATTCCAAAGAAACAAGCACAGGACCCCTTTACAACTTAATACAGCATGAATATTTTTAAAAACTTCTATACAGGCTTGAAAAAGATGCTCCTGCTTTAGAATCAAATATTTAGTGCAATACTTGTGAGAAGTCTGATGGATTTCTTCCAAATTATGGTTGGCCCATGGACAGGCACAATAGGTCCTGAGTGAATATTTCCTGCAGGATTGCTTCTTTGATTAACACAACAATATATTGTCTCTTGCAGGTGGATAAAGAGAAGAAGCAAGTGACAGTAGAGGCAGGGATTTTACTCTCTCATCTGAATGTGGAGCTGAGCAAACATGGCTTAGCTTTACCTATGTAAGTAAACCGTCACTGAGATGGTAGGCATCTTGCTCAGATAGTTGTGATGCATGTAAGACCAAACATTATCACTAGTCTATAAATGTGGCCAGATGTGTGATGGAATTCTCAGTGGCAAACTGGATCAAACCAACAGAAACTAAGATGATTAAAAGCCTGGAGACAAAAACATATGAAGAACGGTTGCAGGATTTGGGTTTGGCTAGTTTAAAGAAAAGAAGGACTAGGGGGGACACGATAGCAGTATTCCAGTATCTGAGAGGTTGCCACAAAGAAGAGGGCTTCAACTTATTTTCCAAAGCACCAGAGGGCAGGAGAAGAAACAATGGATGGAAAGTAATCAAGGAGAGAAACAACCTGGAATTAAGGAGAAAGTTTCTAACAGTGAGGACAATTAACCATTGGGACAGCTTGCTGTCAGAAGTTGTGGGTGCTTCATCACTGAGGGTTTTTAAGAAGAGACTGGACAGGCACTTGTCTGAAATAGTGCACAGTTTCCTGCTTGAGCAGGGGCTTGAACTAGAAAACCTCAAAGGTCCCTTCCAGCTCTATTCTGATTCTGAAGTAGACATTGAAAGGGCGAAAGGATCTTTTTAGAATGCTCCATCTAGTAAAGGTCTCTAGGGCCAGGTTTCAACCCATTGCCCTTTTTCAGAGTGGCAAATGAATTCTTTTAAAGCAAACTGGAAAATGAAGTGGGCTTATGGGAGCATATACAAATGCACTCATGTGTGGTGACAACAAGAACTTTAATCACAGAAGGACTTAATAAGACCGGATTTTTTTTTTCACAGCCAAGGTTATCCAAGAGTAATTACCAATGCATGGGCATCCAGAACTATTTTGGTTTTTTCCCCCCAAATGGGATGTGGATGAAAATGAGAGACGAATGTTCCTGGATTTTAGAGGAAGCATGGAAGGATTCCTAGAATGGAGATGGTTCCTCTGCCAATTGAGCACACACAGGAACAAGATTTCAGATTCACAAGGGTCAGAAATCCATGCACCCCTGACTATAACCTTGCCAAGATATAACAAATCCAAGGAATCACTCCAAGATCAAAAATACAAATCTGTATCCAATATCCCTTCATAGTCAGTATCCTATTTCTATGGTTTGATAGGCTGTGACATATGTTCAATACTCACTGGGGCATGTTTTGAAGTCAGAGCAGGTGAAGTTAATTAGCTCTTTTGTATGAATGTCACATTTGTTAATAGCATCTTCCCAACAGTTATCTTTGGAATGGATCCCAGTTAAATCTCTTCCTTTTATGTCTTTTGGGGCCCAGTTTAGGAGCTGTGTCAGATGTGGCAGCTGGTGGAGTCATTGGAACTGGCACTCACAACACTGGCTTCAGTCATGGCATCTTGGCCACTCAGGTAAGACGCCCAGTGGGTTGTAGTTGCAGGGTGTAAAAATTTCCTAGTCATTATGTCATAGCAGCAAGTTATTAGAATGCTAATTATGTCAACTTTTATTCCCCGGTGGGGGAAAATAAATGAGAATAATGCAGAATTACATTGAAGTCCTTTGTATGCAAGGCCCCACAGCAGAGCAGTTACTCAAAAGGCAATTCTTTCTTAGAGTTCAGTAGCCTAGTGGGTCCTTGGATGGGATATCCCAGAGCTATGGATTAAATTGGGAAGCAGAAAAACATCCTGGAGAAATATACTAGCAAACTACTTCTATATTATTGCCCCAAATGCTACAAACATATGTCCATGAGGTCACTGATTTGAGTTAGAAGAGAATTTCCCTTAACCATTAGGAATCTGGCAAATAGTAATGTAGTGTTCACACAGTGTACTTGCTGCCCCCTCCCACCTCACCTCTCACTCTAGATAACCTTGGAAGGAATTATTAGTGCCCAGAACTTTTCCTTCATGTTCCAAAGCTGTGATAGACTTTCCTAAGACTTTGCTAACATACTAGGTCTCTGATCTGGATCCAGACCATCTTTGACTTCCAGTTCAGAAGAAGTGCAAGAATCTTCCCAGTCTGGCAACTCATAAAGAGCAACTCACATGGACATTTGATTCAAAATGTGTGATGATAGGGTGTAGGCAATTAATTTATAGGAAAGTCCCTATAAAGTCAGTAATGTGACAAGAGGAAAGAAAATATACCAGATGGTAGTTTGACAGAAAGTAAGATCTTTAAAAGCTTTTCCTCGACTGAGATGACCAAAAAAATGCATTAAAACAATAAGGCTTTTAAAAAGCTATTTGTCTTGCTTCTGAATGCTTGCAGTGAATGTTTGTATATCTAAATAGGCACAGAACTGACATATGTGTGGCACTTCACAGATCTGCCCTCATATGAATCAAAATAAACCAATAACATACAGAAGAAGGCAGACTCAGCCAAGGACATCTCAGCATTGTTTCTGTTGAAAAACAATAAAAATAAGTGTGGAGCAAAAGGGCTGCCTCCTGAACCCCAGCTGTCAATTGTCTGTGAGGTTTGAGAGCTCAGTTTAGATCAGGGGTCTTCAAACTTGGCCCTTTTATGACTTATGGACTTCAACTCCCAGAATTCCTCAGCCAGCGTGCTCCAGTTCAATTTATACCTAGCATAATTACAGCAGAGTTACTCTGAGTTTCTTTCTCAGATACCCTCTCCTGGACTTGGGAGGCTTGTCAAGGGCCCAGATTCCTCCTGTAATTGATGCAGTCCCTTTACATTCCCAGGGTCTGTTAGCCATTTCATCATATCAAGGGATGTTTAAGAAATAAATAACCAGCCACAAAAGTAACGGAGCAGTCAGAGACTGGACAGCCATTTGTCTGAAATGGTATAGAGTTTCCTGCCTGATCAGGGGGTTGGACTAGATGACCTCCAAGGTCCCTTCCAACTATTATTATTATTATTATTATTATTATTATTATTATTATTATTATTATTATTATTATTATTATTTTCAGCAACCCTTTTCTATTTCTTTTTCTCTGGGTCTTTCTCTCACACACATACCAAATTTGAAGGTAAAAGTGCAAGGTTTGGGACTAGGAAATCACATGTAATCTATGGGCAGCAATCTGTCTATTCTTTGCAAGAATGCAAATAAAATGTTTTACTAAATCAGTGCAAATGTTTAATTACATCACTATTGCTGGCACTGATTGGCATCAATTTTCCAAAGTCTTCCAAATAAGTATCGTCTCCTACATGACCCAGTTTTAGCTTGAGGTAGCCTTACCCTGCAACAGGGTAGTAGGAAAGAGAAAGGGAAAGTCTACTTTTTGGGATCCAGGTGGCATGGAGCAGATTAAATTCCACCATGAAGAAGCTAAGCTACAGGTCCTGCTTGGGGATATTTAAGGAGATGCATTTCTCTCTTGTCCAGATTTGCTTAATGGCCATACAATTCATTAAATAACTATAGGAATTTGCTTAACAACTTTTGCAAAGAAGGTCATAAAATCAGGGGTGACCCATCTTAACAACTGCCTTGCTTAGCAGCGGAAATTCTGATCCTAATTGTGGCCATAAGTCAAGGACTATCTGTACTTGTAAAAGTGCATACAAACAAAGAGCATCCATATAAAAGCTCATTTGCATTAATTTGTGAATATTGTTATGACATTGCTGAATAGGACCATCTTTGTTGCCAATCTTATATATATATATAGTGGTGAATTGGGGTGAGGGACCCTTACATGGAAGTCATAGCTTTTATATTCCTTTCTCCAATTATCCGTAGCCCATTAATAGCAATTTGTGGCTACCTGTAAAACAAATGGCTCTCCCTGGTACAGACATGGGAGCTAGCTAGATTACCTGCCTTTCAATGTGGCTAATAATTTTTATCCCGCAAAAATCTGTGAATTGTAAGACATGACAAGGGAAGGCTATTAAAAAAAGAAAGAGAGGGAAGGCTAAGAAGAGAGGGCGGGTAATCAATTGGGAGACAAAAGAGATGACAAAATGGCCTTTTGAGAACCAAAAAGACATAAAATGTACGAGCAGCTGACAGTAATGTTTCTGTCAGAAAAACAAAGGGGAAAATCTTAGGAAATGGGGAGAAAGTGGGACAAAGGTCAATAAATTATATGCCTAAAAGACAGCTTGTGCTATGAGGGGTTGAGGAAGGAAGACATATTTGAGAAATCTTGGCTCTATGTCTCTTTCTGCCTCTGAGATCATTTTCATGCCTGAAAACTAGAAGAAAACTTCCTGAGGAAGTTTTACAATGGCAGGATTTTTCTTCTGATGCAAGTGCTTATAAATATGTCCATGTCAACATACAGAAGACCTCCCAGAACCAGCTAGGAGTGTGACATTTGAACATGTGAACAAAAGTAAATGTGCAATGGGAATATTTAGGTGACCAGATGCAAAAGAGCACAGGGCTCCTATAACTTTAGCAGTGATCCCGGCTCAGAATCAGGAATTTTTGCAGCTGCAATGAAAAGGAACAAGGTAATTTCCCAAAAAGAATCTCAAAGTGCAGAGTGAAGAAGGCAGAATGCAAATTTCAGTTGGAAAATAGCAATATCAGCACAAGTAACACAACACATATCAAGTCAAAGTAACCTAACTTTCAAATATCCATGGATGCATCTTGAGATTAGGAAGCAGGGCATGATATAAGCATATAAGGCATGATTTGGAGAAAGTAGATGGCATTTAGCACTTAGGCTCATGTACTGCTCCATAATATTTTACAGCACTTTCTGATAGTTTACAAATGTCAACCTATTGCCCCCATCAGTCTGATTCCTCATTTTACCCATCTGAGAAGGATGGGAGGCAGAGTAACCTTGATCTGGTCAGGACTGAACTCCAGACTGTGGGCAGAGTTAGCCTGTAATAATGTATTCTAACCACTGCGCCACCTGGCTCAATATCATAACATAATGTTGGAAGATTAATGGTAGGAGATTCAGGACAAAAAACTGGAAATTCATCACATTATAAATTAGATTATAGCATCCACTGCCATTGGTCACAGTTTGTGCTCAGTCATTGCTTGTTTAATCACAGTTATTTAAACTAGCTATATTTACCTAGTTCACACAGCATACTAAGTTTAAATGTTAGCTTATAACAAGTGTGGCAGGGTGCAAATGGCAAAAGTAAGCATTTGTTTAGCATTATCATCATAATCATCATCATAATAGTAAAGTTGGAAGGGACCTTGGAAGTCATCTAGTCCAACCCCCTGCTCAGGCAGGAAACCCTATACCATTTCTGACAAATGGCTGTCCAGTCTCTTCTTAAAAACTTCCAGTGTTGGAGCATTCACAGCTTCTGGAGGCAGGTTGTTCCACTGATTAATTGTTCTCACTGTCAGGAAGTTTCTCCTTAGTTCTAGGTTGCTTCTCTCCTTGATTAGTTTCCACCTGTTGCTTCTTGTCCTGCCTTCAGGCACTTTGGAAAATAGCTTGATTCCCTCTTCTTTGTGGCAGCCCCTGAGATATTGGAACACTGCTATCATGTCCCCCCTCGTCCTTCTCTTCGTTAAACTAGACATACCCAATTCCAGCAACCGTTCCTTATATGTTTTACCCTCCAGTCCCCTAATCATCTTTATTGCTCTTCACTGTACTCTTTCTAGAGTCTCAACATCTTTTTTACATCGTGGTGACTAAAACTGGATGCAGTATTCCAAGTGTGGCCTTACCAAGGCATTAAAAATGGTATTAACACTTCAAGTGATCTTGATTCTATCCCTCTGTTAATGCAGCCTAGCACTTTGTTGGCCTTTTTGGCAGCTGCAGCACACTGCTGGCTCATATTTAGGTGATTGTCTACTAGGACTCCAAGGTCCCTCTCACAGTTACTACTATTGAGCAAGGTGCCACCTATGCTGTACTTGTGCATTAGGTTTTTCTTGCCTAAATGTAGAACCTTGCTTTTTTCACCATTGAATTTCATTTTGTTAGATAGTGCCCAGTGTTCAAGTCTGTCCAGATTCTCCTGTATCCTAAGCCTGTCTTCTGGAGTGTTGGCTATTCTTGCCAGCTTGGTGTCGTCTGCAAATTTGATGAGTTCCCCATCTATCCCTTCATCCAAATCGTTGATGAAGATGTTGAAGAGCACTGGGCCCAGAACAGAGCCCTGGGGCACCCCACTACACACTTCCCTCCATGTAGATGCTGTTCCATTGAGGACCACTCGCTGAGTATGGCCGGTCAGCCAGCTACGGATCCATCTGGTGGTGATTCTGTCTAACCCACATTTTTCTATCTTATCTGTTCTGCCTGTGTGTGCATATATACATGAGAGAAAGACAGGAGAGGTGAAGCAGCCCTTAAGTTCACAGTAGTATGTAGCCCAAAGCCAGTAGACTGCTGAGTGACATAGAACTGTGCAGAGAGCAGACGTTTAAAGCAATAATATTGGCTCATATTGTGGCCTCTCTTGCTTCCTAGAACGGAAGTCCATCTTTGTTATTGTATATAACCAAAGCCGTAAATGGCTGCCTAGGATAGCAGCAAAGTCTCCGCTGCAAAGTTTTCAGAATGATAGGCAGGTTTGTTTCAACTGATTTCAGTGTGATTTCCCTAGAGGTTGTTTTCTCCTCTGAACCACTGTGACCTCAGAATATTGCCTAGAGATTGAAAAAAAAGACCTAGCACAGCAGCACCATGCAAAAGGCCTCAGACTCTTAATTTTGTCTATTTCCTGCCCCTTGTTTTTTCTTTCCCCTGGGAAGTTATTTTCAGCAAGTGAGGTTGTAGGGAAGGCAAAACAGAGGATTGATGAAATTTACTTTGTAGAGCCATTGCAGAGCCCTTGGTGACCCAGCCTGAAATTCAGCCCACTGGTGCCCTCTGCTGGAGAAAGTTTCCTGAGAGAAAAAACTGGGCTAGGTTGGCAAAATGGATGGCTATCCTTTCATCATGCACTGTGAAGAATTGGCGTCTCGAAAGACATTGTCCATCAGTTACTTACATGTCTTCTAACATCTTCCAGCTATGAGACTCATCCAGCTTTAGAAGATACTAGTTATAAATCATTTTAGGGATGGTACCTTATGATCTTGTCTTTCTAGCAACTCTAAACTCAATGAAACTGTAAAGCCAATGATGCAACAGGGCAAAAGAATAATGACATTCCCCATATCCTTACAGAGGATCAAAGGTCCTGTCTCAGATCTGCAGATGTTTATATTGATGAAGCAAATGTTCCTGAACCAGAGCAAAACCTGAAACCAGGAGCATCCGTGCTGGGGCCAAAACAAGCCAAGCGGATGGCTATGACTGTGCAATTAAAGCTCTGGCCTCTTTTGCATATTTTGCACATACAATGTGTATAAAAATTGATAGGACTTGCAGTCCTGCAGCCAAGGCCACTACCTGGGCCTTTTTTTACTGCCTCCTGAGGATGCCTCTGTTTGAATCAATACTTGAAAAATCTCATTGGAAACAAAACATCAAATGGATATTAAAACTGAATCATCAGTTCAAAGTAAATCTTTCTGGTGCTTGTTAGATACTTTTAATTAGGAGTTAAAATTAGCCAGTTATGAATGATGGAATTTTCTTCTCTCTTTTCTCAAGAATATAACAATATGAGTCTTCAGCATTGTTTGTGTTTCAAATTCTGTTGAGCACCATTCATTTTTTTTCTTTGCTTCTTTTTATTTCTTAGATTAATCATATGAGTGATCTGACCCAGTTAGGGGTCTTACGGTAAATGAAGCTGATAATATTTTTTAATAGCCAATCAGATGTTGCTGAACCGAAGATAAGAAAGTAGACATTTTATAAACAGACATACAAAATAATTCTATTTTATAACACCATTTTATAAATAGACATACAAAATAATTCTGACACAAGAAGTCACAAAATAGCTGACAACAATTTTGGCTAACTTTTGCCTGCCTTCTTATGGGGTTATTTTATGGTTCAGTGTATCATGAGACGCCAGTAAATAGGTTTGTTCAATTAAAATTGTTCAGATAACTGTGAGTATGCATGGCATGCAAGCACAACTATTGTTGAAAATATCAGCAGTTTGGATTTTGCTGTAATAATCAACTTAGCCTGAAGTTTATTTATTTATTTATGAGACTTATATACCTCTTTAAGTGCAAGCACTCTCTAAGCGGTGTACACCAGTAAGCAATGTATATATATTTACATTGCCCCCAACAATCTGGGTCCTCATTTTACCTACCCCGGAAGGATGGAAGGCTGAGTCAACCTTGAGCCGGTGAGATTTGAACTGCTGACCTGCTGAACACAGTCAGCTAAAGTGGCCTGTTGAACTGTAATGACTGTAATGTGGCATCCTATTTACCATATCTCCAAAGTGCCCTCATGATAATCAATATGGAGGCTGGTGACATACAAATAAGCAAGATTTTTTTTAACTGAATGAAATAGCATTAAGCAATGATGCACATGAATTCCAGCAATTTAAAATCTCCCTGATTTATCTGTGAGAAATAGTTACATGAAAAACTCACAGATGAATGTCTTTTCTGAAATCTGTGCACTGAATCAAGTCAGATATATGAATCCCAAGAACCTACAGCTTGCTTTGTCCATTCCTTTTATTGCTCCTGTATCCTAAATGCAGTTTGCTCTTAAAAAATGGAATGGAATAGAATAGAATAGAATAGAATAGAATAGAATAGAATAGAATAGAATAGAATAGAATAGAATAGAATAGAATAATAACCACCGCCAAATATTTAAGACAAATCCCCAGAAATATTATACTCTGATCTTGTCCTTCTGGTTGACATGGTCCTGCCCACTTTGCACCACTGTCTGCACATTATATCTTATATAACATTACATTGTCTCAAACTCAACGCAAAATTTCCCTTCTTTGGTTTATACAATGACTATGTCCATACAGCACACTGGGCTAGACTAAAGTGTGATTGGAATGTTTGTAGTTCAACATTGTCTTAGCATGTTGTGTGAACCAAGCTACCCAGCATGACTTCTTCTGGTAGTATAAAGGTTGGTTCTGAAACTGATAAAGATTCAGGAGTTAGTTGTGTGAACAGACAGTCCTCCTTGTTATAAGTAAAAGATCTGCCTCATCCATGGATCATAGGAAGGCTGTTAAAAAAGAAATCAAAACACTTCCAGTATAGCAATGTAGAGATGGATTTTTGATTCACAGAAAAAAGGCTTCTATTGCTGGAATTTATCTAACCTTATCCTGTCCATCTCAATGAATCTTGCTAAAATGACTTTTGTGAAACATAGGCTTCGGAAGAATCCCTTTTCGTTTGGGGAAGCAGCAAAGGGCCTGTTATCTAAGGGCTTGATTTACACGTGATTATTTAATTTTACTTTTTAATGTTTGAAGCTTTTGATGTTGTGCTGTTTTGGGTGTTGATATTATTTATGGGTTTTATTTGTCATATTTTAAAAGATTTATTTTATTCTGAGGTTATTGGATTTTATTGATAATATCATTGTTTTAAGTTCTTAACTGCCACAGGGTGGTTTGCTTGGAGTGTGCAATATCCACATGATAAATCATTCAATACGATAAATCAAGAGGATAAATCATTTGATCAAGTGAAAGGATAATATGGTTGGTTTGGGTACAGCATGTAATGAAAGCAGAGATGCTTTGTTTTCTTAGCCTGATTTAGTAAACCATAACCCATATTATAGATAATCATCATTCAGTAACTGTCTCATTTAGCAACCATTGGCAGTTACAACAGTGATAAAAAAGTAATTCTACGACCAATCATATTTTCAACTTTGCAGGTCTGTAAAGCAAAGTAAAGATAAAGTAAGATCATAAACACAGTGACAGTTTCACTTTATGATTGCTTCTTTTAATGGCTGAGTTGCCAGTACCAACTGCAATCACCAAAATGTTGATCTTAGGTCTTTTAAAAAAGCTATCTCAGTATGTTGCATATATGTAATTATTAAATCTAGCCTGGTTAAATTTGATATGTGAATACAAACTATACATTACCATTGTAATTCATGGTCCTGGGTCTACCATCTGGGCAGGTTGACAGATATTGTTTCTTTCATGATGGATGCATGCAAGCAAATTACAGTAAAGCAGAACTCTCTGTACTGTACTGTGATGGGTGGGCTGATTACTAGATTCAACCAGATCCTTTGCTTTTCCCCTGGCAGGTGGTGGCCATGACACTGTTGACAGCTTCAGGGGAAATCCTGGAGTGCTCTGAAACTGTGAATCCTGAACTTTTCCGAGCAGCATGTGTACATCTGGGTTGTTTGGGCATCATTCTCACAGTCACCTTCCAATGTGTAACAGAATTCTACTTGCAAGAAACCATCTTCCCTTCTACACTCAAGGAGGTAAGCTCAGATGCTGCATTTGGGAAGGACAATTAAAGACCATTTTGAGAGGCACGTGATGTGCCTGCATGGCCAAAATGCCATTTGATATTTCAATGTCTCAGAAAAATCAAAGCTGCTAGAAAATGCAGCGGTAATTAGTTAAGAAAGTATTCTTTATGCACAGCAGTCTCAACTGATCTAACTTGTTAGGAAATCTTCTAAGCAGAGAATCCTAAGTAGGAAGATTAAGTTTATTGTCAGGGAATTATCAGGTCTTTGGAAATTATTTCATAGTATCTAAAATGTGTGTGTGTGCATTCCCCATGTGTGCCAAAGATTTTTATCTCTTCTTTTTCCACTGATAGGAAAGAAAAATGTATATTCGACATATTTATATTAGGAAAATTCCACACTCCCATGTTATCTTCCATAAAACAAATTTCTGACAGACTTTGGTTACAGTACAAATGTACCCTTCTAAGAATGCTTTATTTTGTATCAAGATTCTTGTGTTGTTTGCTTCTAAGATAAATGGGAGCTGTTCACTCTCCATTTATTTATTCAACCAATATACTGAATATATATTAAGGGAAGATAGATTGGAAGAACATGAACATGGATTTAAAATTGGAGGAAGAAACATCAATAACTTGCACTACGCTGATGACACTAAACATGAAGCCCAAAATGCAAGCTCTAGTAATAAAAGTTAAGGAGCACAGTGAAAAATGGGGCTAAAATTAAATATAAAGAAGACCAAACTAATGACAACAGGTAGAATATCTATCCTTATCAACAACACTTAGCACTTACATGCCACTTCATAGTGCTTTACAGCTCTCTCTAAGCAGTTTACAGTGTCAGTGTATTGCCCCCAACAATCTGAGTCCTCATTTTACTAACCTTGGAAGGATGGAAGGCTGAGTCAACTTTGAGCTGGTCAGGATCGAACTCCTGGCAGTGAGCAGAGTCAGCCTGCAATTCAATACTTAGAATTGACAATGGAGATATCAGAGTATTGGATAGCTTCTGCCTTTCAGGATTAACCATCAACAGTAAAAGAAAAAATAGTCAAGAAATAAGCCACAGACTAGCACTTGGCAGAGCAACAATGAAGGCCTTGATAAAGATATTTAAATGCTATGATGTATCTATAACTACAAAGGTCAGTATCATGTTAAGCATGGTATTCCTGTAACAATTTATGGAAGCAAACATTGGAATTTGAAGAAGAATTTGAATATTGATGCTTATTGGAGGGGACTCCTGAGAATATTGTGGAATAGAATAGCCAAGAAAACCAACAAATAGGTCATTAAACAAATTGACCCAGAATTCTCACTTGAGGTAGAAATGACCAGGCTCAAATTATCCTACTCTGGTCTCTCTGTCTCTGTGACCTACAAATAACTTACAGCAGCCTTTTGTAGGCAGATGGGCTGCTTTCCAAATTCCCAGCCCATATTGTCAAAAGGGACTCTGCTGTCCCAATCCATCTGGAGGGGGACAGCAGGGAAAGGTTCAGATGAGAACAATTTGCCTCATAACTTTGCTCAATTTGTGCCACAATTTTCCTTGGAGGAGAAATGACAACTTTTAAACATCTTTAGTTTAAAAGGTGAGGTGTGATGTGCAAAATTATTCGGGGAGTAGAGAAAATAAATAGATATTTTTTTCTTTTTAAAGTGAAATTGTCCAATTCATCTGACTAGTGGAAAGTTGTCTTAGATACAGCACACAGGAATTTCCTAAGCTGGCTTTCAAGGACACTTAGTCCAGTATAGGGAATAAGTTTATCCAAGGATGATGCTGTTACTATTACAGACTGCCTAGTGTTCATGCAGTTTTCATTACTTAAATTTTATTGGCAGGGTGATTATCATGTTTTAATCCATATTTGACCCAGACAACTTGTGTTTGTGGACAATTGATGAATGATGATAATAAAGATAATGAAAATATGTAGAAATAGCTAGGAAGAGCAGGAAGGTGGCCTAGAGGTGAAGACCTCACTTGGAAGGTTGAGAGTTCAATCCCAGATAGTGACAGATGTTTCTCTATTAGGGTGCATAGCTGCTGTGAACTCCGCTTAGACATAAGGAAGAGCATCTGGCCAGTAAATGCTTAGCTCCATTCAGTCGCCCACCTCCATCCCAATAAAACGGATTACAGGATCATAAAAAGGGGAAAAAGGTAGGATGAGCCCTCTGAATACCAAGCACAGATGACCGACTGCAAGAAAAGTCTACTACACTCATATCCACTGTTAAGGATGACTTAATAGGTCTTTGATGCAACCATCAAGCCTAGATTTTCTCATATACTTTTTTTCAGGAAATACAGAGACCCATGAGTGGGCAGCAGTTACTGAAACTGGCGGCATATAAGAAATAGGGGTGAATGGGCCAATTTTTCAAACAATTGAATTTTCTCTCTTCTCATTGACTTTTTTGTTGTTGTTGTAGCTTTGAAAGACTTAATGCCTTACAAACATCTACATCTCTCTATCTCTATAACCATACCTACAGCTACAGTTACATCTATCTATCTATCTATCTATCATCTATCTAATTTAGATACTACCCATCTCACTCTTGGAAGATCTATTATTCCCATAACTCACAGCCAGCCCAGTCCATGTTAGATGTTTGGGAACCACAGTATTGTCTAATAAATCTGGCAAGCACAAAGCATTTGAAAGATGGTCCATGTTAGTGCTTAACTAAATGAATGTATAATGGATTAATCCAATTGCAATTAATTACAATAGTGGAATTAAACCTTCAGAACAACTGAATCTCTGAATACCTGGTACTGGCAAAGGAAGGGCCATTAATAAGGGAGACTTGTCAGCTTCCTATTCTGATTATAGGCTTCCAGAGGCACTAGGCTGGATACTGGAAACAGAATGCTAAGAAGACTTTCTAATTCACCAAGGTCAAGTGGGATAAGAAGCAGCACTTCTTATTTTAAAAGAGGAAGGGCTGAATGCAGATGTCCAAAAGACATAAATCTGAACCTATAATTTTATGAATGACATGGATCAAGCATTATGTCACTGGGAAATACTGACCTTTGATGCAGAAGGTAGTGGTTTCACATTTACATGTAATACCTGAATCAGAGTGGTCTCTTTCTTTTCTCTTCTTTGATTGGTTTTCAGCAATTCCATAAATATACTTGAATATTACATTGTTTATCCTCAAAGCTTTTCCTGTTCCCTGAAGCAGCTGGAGAGAGCAAAATTAAGAGAAATATTCCCCCTCCCCAACTTTTTTTCCTTTTCTTTGTGCCATGATCTTCTTTGGCACATGTATATCTCATTTTTCTGATTTTGCACAGATTAGGTTGTACAAACAGATGCTATTTTTATATGAATTGTTGAGCTTCATTGGCTGCTCACCTTCTTTGTTTGTCTCCATGGACCATTCTTGTCCAATATATTTTACTCCTTTAGTTCCTGCATGTAACTTGTGCTTCTTAGTTCCCTTGGCCTCATATGCATAGGTGAAAACATAACGGCAAACCAAATTCCTTGGCTGCAGAAAGGAACTGCTGTGCCAAATCTGCTATGAATCATATTCTGAAGTATGCAGATGACACAGCAGTGGTGGGTCTTATCTGGGATGACAATGAAGATGCTTATAGGGAAGAGGTGAAGGCTCTGTTGGACTGGTGCAATAAAAGAAACCTGGTTCTAAATGTTGATAAAATAAAGGAGATCGTTGTAGATTTTAGAAAGAGCCGGCATAATCATATTCCACTCAGTATCAAGGATGCAGCTGTAGAGGTGGTCAACAGTATTAAGTATCTGGGGGTACAGATAACTAACAATCTGAATTGGTCTCTCCACATGTCATCCTTAGTGAAGCGTGCAAACCAGCATCTGCATTTCCTACATCGGATGAGGAGAGCACATCTTTCTCCTTCTGTCCTGGCCACTTATTACAGAGGCACAATTGAAAGCATTTTAACAAACAGTATCACTGCCTGGTTTAGTGGCAGCAATGCCTCAGATAGAAAGTCCATGCAGAGAATGGTAAAGACAGTCGAGAAGATCGTAGGAAGCTCAGTCTCTGGTATTCAGGATGCTGCTTGTAAATGCTATGTGCTTAGAGCTCAAAGCATTGTTAGAGACCCCACACAACCACTTTACAGTCTGTTTCTGTTGCTCCCCTCTGGGAGGAGGTTTCGAAGTATTTCTAGCAGGACTACCCAATTCTGTAATAGCTTTGTTCCCTATGCCATCTGTCTGGTAAACTCGCAAGATTCATTTTTCTCGCCATGCACATGTATACATAACCCGAAATAGACTGTTGTTTCTCTGTGTCATATAATATATGTGGGTATATATGCATAATTCTGTATTTATTTATTTATTTATTTATTTTTGTCATATTTATGTAGTGTATATTGGAGGTGGTGACCCTTTGAGAGCTGTATGCAATGAAATTCCATTTTAATGTATGCCAATTAGTGTACATTCTATTCTATTTATTCTGTTGAGAAAACTCAACCTATTCTTTGGCAATGATTGGCAGTCAAAGAAGATGGCAGGTGTAAAAAGTTTGAGAGAGGCTGATCTAACGTGGTCCTCAACTGTGTCAGTGTCGCTGCCAGTTAATTTATTTATTAGATTTTTACCCCATCTTTATTACCTTATAGGTAACATATATAACACTCCTTCGTCCTATTTTCCCCATAACAATAACCCTGTAATCTGGGTTGGGCTGACAGAGAATGACTAGCCCAAGGTTACCCAGGCAGCTTTCAGGTCTAAGGTGGGATTAGAGCTCACAATCTCCTGCTTTCTAGGCCAGCACTTTAATCACTATACCAAATTGACTATCTGGTTTATTAATTCTGCAGTCTTGGCTCCCATCTCCAGAGCAAAGGTGTAAGCAAAGGAACCTTCAAGCTGCCAAGGTTAAAAAATACTGCTTTATTCAGGGCAGGAATCCCAGTTAAACGTCCCCAGAAGATAACTGTCCAGCCAATGAAAGGGATGACAGCCATTTTCACTGTTGAACTATCTTTGCTGTTAGGAAGAGTATAAACTGTTTGTGTCCTTTTCTTGCAGCAAATTAATAGGATGAAAAAAAAATCATCCTTTTGCAGAGAAGAGCAGTGCTAGTAAAATATTGGATTAAAAGTAGAGAAACCCAGGTTAACCTCACCAAGGAAGCTCTTAGGGATGGCAGGGGGCTGGTCATTATTGCTCAACCCAATCTACCTATTTCACACAGCTGTTGTGGTGAGTAAAAATGGAGGAGAGTATGATGCATGCCTCCTTGAGGATCGCAGGGGTGTCAAACTGCTGGCCCTGGTTTCATTGCTGGCAATGCAAAAAGAGTTGCGATGCATTGCGACACGTCACGTGATGTGATGATTTGACACCCATGATCTAGAGCATGGTGTCAAACTCATGATGTCACGTGATGTGTTGCGACATATCGCAACTTTTTTCCCATTGCCGGCAATGGGGTGGGCGTGATTTTGGCGTGATAAATCTGGCCGGCAGTTTGACACCCATGATCTAGACGAAGTGTGAGAAATAGTACATTCATAATTTTACTCTTGAACATGAATTATTTAGCATGTCACACCAGTGGCCCACCAAACTAGAAGCCTGAGCAATATCACCCAATTTAAAGAGGTATCCTTTCAGCTCTCAATTTGGACGTCTTGTAGGTTCTTGACAACCTAGAAAATCACCTGAAGAAATCTGAGTATTTCCGCTTCCTTTGGTTCCCTCACAGTGAAAATGTGAGCATCATCTACCAAGATCATACCAACAAGGTGAGTTCATTCTATCATGATGAAAGTAATTTACCATTAACTTTATTTGAGACAAAAAATTAGGGAGGCAGAGATTAAGAACATTCCAGTTGCTATGGGGTGACCTGGGTCTTACTCATTTCAACAGGACTTCCAACAGAGGGTACCTGTTATCTTTTTTTCCTTATTCAACCTCCCTTTTAGGTAAATCATAACTGTCATCACTTTACAGATCAAGAAGTTACATCTAATCTCAACACAAATAGGACTTTACAATGCTAATCCCTGTCAACTGTTCCCAGACCATCTCAAAGCTCCCAGTTGAGAGAGGCTAGTCTATCCAGTAAAATTAAATGATTGAAGCACTGGACTTGGATCAGAGAGACCCAACCATGAAATTCACTGTGTGAGTTTGGATCGATCACTCAGTCTCTCTAACCAAAGTACTTCACACCTCACAAGGTGGTGGATGATGGCATAAATTGAGGGCAGGACCCCATATAAGCCCCTATATGAGCTCTGAAAAATAAAAGATGGGATATCAGTGCAATCAATCAATTCCATGTCGGTATATACTGAGGTTTATGATGAACTTAGCAATAGGTGGTTCTCACAATACCATGGGCTTAAAAGTCATATCCCCAGCCTTCTGAAAAGTTCATAAAAATCCAATACTCTTGCTTTTGCAGCCTCCCTCTTCCTCAGCAAACTGGTTTTGGGATTATGCCATTGGATATTATCTGTTGGAGTTCTTTCTTTGGATCAGGTTAGTTTCTACATCTCTGCAACACAGTGAAATTTTATTGCCTGATGGATGGAAGGACTTCATTTGTCTTGTTCATATCTCAAAATGTTCTGCTTCCAAGGAGGTTTTCTGTACAGGTTAACTTGGGTTGGGTTGCTTTAGTTGTGACTCAAGAATTTATTCACCCCTTCTCTAAGACTTCAAAAATGAATTAAAATATATCAACCTGGGACAGAATATTTGATATTCTGATTAATTTTTACTCCTGGAAGTCAAGGGATTTCATCCCACACTATTAATCAAGCAAAATTAAACATAGACAGACACATGCAGAATCTACTACTACTGTTGTAAATCTCACTCTTTATTCTAGTAGTGTGATAGCTGAACTTAGGCTTTCCTCTGGTGGGCAGAAGATGAAAGCACCTTTGTGAGGTTGCTGAATTGATAGAGAAAAGAAATTGCTTCACCCACTTACAGTGGCGATGAGTGCACCATTGGGAGACTTGAAAGAAGAGGGTTAGGGATGGGTTGTCATGGAGAAAAATCTATGTGGTTGCTTAGGAGTTGAAAGTAACTTGATGGCACATCATCCATCCATCCATCCATCAGCTGTTGAAAAGTAAAATCTCATTTGCATGGTGTTCACAAATTGAGACAGTATTCTTAGCAACTATACTAAAGTGGTTTGCCGTTTCTTTTTTATTTATTTATTTATTTTAATTTTCAGGTTAGACCATAGCCCAGACATTTCCTGGTGGTTTCTCATCAAATCAAATGAGAATTGGTTTTGCATAGGTTTTCAAGATCAGCCAAGTTTGGCTAGAGATTTCTCCATAATTGTGCTATTCTATTGAAATCAAGGCCCAAATAACTATGAAGAGTGATAGCAAGGTTTCTTTGCCTGCTAGAATGCACCCAGGGAAATAATGAATAACAAAGTTGATTACAGGCCCAAGTCAAACCTCTCCAGTAATTTATTTATAGAAAGCTGTTTAGTCTCTGATATTTCTAGCCTTGTACTTAACCAAGAAAGAGACCATGGAAGAAATGCCAACAGTTCTAGTCATATGTTGCCACTCCCAGATGGCTTCCTTTTCATCCTTTTTGTAAGCTACAAAAAGACTCCACACAGTGCTAGTCAATAATTTCTGTGACACGAACAGCTTGCTCAAATGCAACAATAGTGAAGGCTTTTATTGCCTATCCAGCAAAAGTCTTGTACTACAAAGCTCTCTTTGATGACTTCCAGCATTGACTCCCCACCACCACTGCCTCAGCTGCTTCTGCAAAGTAGGAATGAGGGAAACAGAATTTCAGCAGCTCAAGATATTTTTCAGTATAGCCCAGGAATGTTTGACTAGGGGCACTCAACCTGGCCATGGCATCAGGAAATTATGGGCAAAGCAATTGCATCATATCTGGATTATATCAGATCAGAGAAGGGTGGTCACAGAGTTGTAATCAAAGATTTGGAAAGTGCCAAACTGGGAAAGATTTTTGTTCCTGACTGCCAGGAGAGGAATTATTCCCCATGCTGTCTGAGGAATTCTGGGAGTTGAAGTCCACACATCTTAAGATTGCCAAGCTTGAGAATCAATCCTGCAGCTATATCATCTGAGGGTTTTAGCAGAGCAGGTGTTCCAGCACTGAGCTAGTCCTTCTCAGCTTATTCTTTCTCCTTCACCTTCAGCACATTCCTGCCCTTCTTGGTAGCTTGGATCAATCGCTTCTTCTTTTGGTTCCTCTTCACTGGCAAAGTGGAAAATGTGAATTTGAGCTACAAAATCTTCAACTATGAATGTCGATTCAAGCAGCATGTGCAAGATTGGGCCATTCCCATGTAAGTCAAATGGGTCTCTCTAGATTCCACAATATCTGGAGTATATTTGATATTTAACATGCACACCTCTACCATCAAAAAAGTTAAATCTATTTCACTGTGTGTTCATGATCCTGTTCTCCCTGAATTATTTGAGACTGAGAGTCAGTTTGATGTAGTGGTTAAGATGCTGGTCTAGAAAGGAGACTGTAAGTTCTAGGATATTATTAGGCATGAAAGCCATCTGAGTGACTTTGGGCCAGTCAGTCTCTCACAGACCAACCCAGTACACGGGGGTTATTATTGGGAAAATAGGAATATTGGTATGTTCACTGCATTGAATTGATAATGCAGGATTCTATATATATATTGTTGAATATACATATAGGACAATGTAGGAATACACACAGAGACACAGAGTTGAATATACATCTAGAATAAAATATGTAATAATAACAGCTCCACAGTACAATGAATTTAAAGGTTGAAGAAGAAAAGGAAACAGGTCTCTGAGATCAGGGAAGCCCATCATACAAGGAAAAAGTCACCCAACCAAAGTAGGCCGGATGATGTCCAAAGTATTCAAAGAATAAGAAACAGAAAACAAGTCAAATAAAATTTATCATGCCCCTTGCTAAAGAGTTATCCTCAGCTGATAAAAAGATCATTAAAGGACCCATCCCAGCAACTGTGATGAGAGGACATCAGGATCCACTCTTTCTGGCCCTTGTCATTTAGATCTTGACTCAGAGGCTCAGTCCGTTCCATGTGTAACATCAGAATTCAGACTGTTTGCTGAAGCAAGATCTTGCCGTAAAGCTTATCTGACATGATGATCACTATGATCACCTTTGAATTCAGAGTATATTTATTACTATACCTTTGCCCGTTGAATGTATAGTCTTGTAATTGCAAATTGGTTCCATTCTGGTAACATTTTCGAATACAGAAGATCATCTGTAGAGTTATTATTTTATTATTTTTATTTTTTATTATTTTTATTTCTTTTATATTGTGTTTTTATGTCCTGTAAGCCACCTTGAGTCGCCATGTGTGAATAGGCAGCAATATAAATTTTCTAAACAAGCAAACAAACAAACAAACAAACAAATAAATACTGGGGAATTTAAGTCTCTTCCTCATACTCCCTCCCCCATCTTGTGTTTAATGTATCCTTCAGCAATATCTGTTGGCCTAACAACTTCTGGATTTCTTCTCCAAGGTCATCTCTATGGTTCCTACAACTCATGAGAAGGCATGGGTAGTGATGGAAAGATATCTCCATTCTAAAATACTGTATGATTTGACCAGTGAGTCTTTTTTTTTTTTTTTTTTTGGTAGTGAAAAAACAAAAGATGCTCTTCTGGAGCTAAAGGGGATATTGGAGACCAACCCCAAAATGGTAGCCCACTATCCAGTAGAAGTGCGCTTCACCCGGGGGGATGACCTCCTCCTGAGCCCTTGTTTCCAGAGGAATAGCTGTTACATCAACATTATTATGTACAGGTGAGAAGGGGACAGGCATAACTGGAGAAGGCGAGCTGGGTGACTGGAGGCATTGTTTCTTTCAAGGCCAATGAAAACTAAACTGAAGCTTAATTAACCCTAGGTCAAAAAGGCAGAGCTTAAAACATGAAAGATTAGTAGATTGAAAAGGGATGAATGAATCCTGTTTTGGCTCCTCATGATTTCTATACCTTCCATTCAACTTTAAAGGCAGTCTCTAGCAGAGCACCTCTGTTTTCTTTCCCAGAATCTCCCATCTATGATATTAGTCTGGCACAGAGAGAGCTTCTGAAGAAACAAGGGTAGTTGCCTTCCTACTAATAGCCATTGTTTTATTTCCAGAAGCTTCCTCCCTAGGATGCTCAAGGTGGTCCATAGGATGTTCTTTGGGGGAGGGAATGGCAACCACCAGAAAAGCACCCTGAAGAACCAGCACTCTGGCAGTGAGTTTACACTTCACCAGCATAAATCAATATAATAACATGACCTCTGCTACCCTCGCTATTATTATTATTTTAAAGCTGAGTTTCAGCTACAAAAGAAGTAGTGGTACATTCTGACCCAACACTTGTCAATGACATTCAATATGGTCACTCTCGGTAACACATATCAGTTGTCTGGAACAATGCTTTTCAGATGACTATCTGGACTGGTGGTGCTTGTTGGTGAGATGAACATTTACTGGTCAATTTATGCAGCACTCCTCCAGAAGTGCTGGAGGAACGGGTTTCTATTCCTCAACACCCACTTTCCTTCCCTACAAAGAGTCATTTTAGAACAGCCTTCCCTTTCAACAATTTACTGAAAATGTAACTACCAGAATTCCTGGCCCATCAGGGATTTCATAGAGCTGAAGTTCAAACATATCTGGAAGGGCTCAGGCTAGAGATCATTCTACAAGCTACTGCACATATGCTGATTCAGAAAGTTAGACTGAAACTTTTTTGTGGTAGAAGATTGGAAGCTCTTCAAGAAGTCCCAGCCCCTACAATGATCTCATCATGCCTCTACTACTACTGAAGATATCTTCTGCATTTGCAATCATGCTTGCAGCAATCCAGCAGCATTACCACGTTACAAAATGTGCATGACCTCTCTCCTCACCACTAATTTTGAACCACTATTCCCCCCCCCCATTTCACAGATAGCTGAAAGCAAAGTCACCCAGTGTTTATGGCATGTGCACTTTCTGAGCTAACAACCCTCCCCCTCATGCTCAGCTTTGTGAGTTAAAAGAAAAGAAAAAACAAAGATTGTTTAACCATGCGGGCTTGCAGAATCTTGACTTGTTGGAAAAAAGCCAGGTTAAAACAAAAGTCATTCCCTCCCTTACTGCTGAAATAGCACTAAGCTATTGGGTACTGTAAATCAAACAAATGAGCTGAAATTGCTCCTTGTGAGCTAAGCACCAGGCTAAATGTATCTGAAATCCCCATGATGAAGGCAGTATGAAGAATTCACATTTAAGGTGCCTTCAGGATGACTTCCAAATGGGGGTGATGGTGGTGGTCGTGATGTGGCAAAGCAGAAGCTTCCCTCTGTAATGAGCCAGTCAAATGTGTTCTTTAAGGGAGAGTCATTCAGTCCCTGTTCTCACTTTCTGCTTCTTCCTCTTTCTCAAGGCCTTATGGGAAAGATGTTCCACGCCTTAACTACTGGCTTGCCTATGAAGGTGTCATGAAGAAGTTTGGAGGGAGACCACACTGGGCAAAGGTATTAGGTTAAATTCTTTTCTTCTAGTAAACACAGGCACTTTTTCCCTTGCAGAGTTAGATCATTTTTGCACATAAAGAACACACACACACACACACACACAAATAGCAATAGCACTTAGACATATACTGCTTCACAGTGCTTTACAGCCCAGAGTCAGCATATTGCCCCCAACATTCTGGGTCCTCATTTTACTGACCTTGGAGGATGAAAAGCTGAGTCAACCTTGAGCCGGTGAGACTCGAACTGCTGGCAGTTGGCAGTTAGCAGAATTAGCCTGCAGTACTGCATTCTATTGTACCACTATGGTGCAGTCATTTATCAATTAGAGAGACAGCCTGATCTGATACGACTATTTCCTATGTGCTATCCAAAATTGGGTACCATACTAAGATTGACTGTTTGCTCCATAATTGTTCTTCTTAAGTGCTGGCCTTGAACCCAACTGTGTCACAGGGCTTTGTCAGACTTCCCACCAGATACAGCAATAAATCTCTACTACGTAGGGCAGTGGTTCTCAACCTGTGGGTCGGGACCCCATTTGGGGTCGAATGACCATTTCACGGGGGTCGCCAAACAAGGCTGTCCGCCATTTTTTTCCCCTTTTCTTTGGCCACGCCCCTGGCACCCGGTGATGTATAAGTGGTTGGGGGTCACCACAACATGGGAACTGTATTATGGGGTCGCGGCATTAGAAAGGTTGAGAACCACTGATGTAGGGATTCATCCATACATTTAGTAGTGATCTCACGACAAAACTTTCATATGTTCAACTCTAAGGGTCTCCACAGATGGATGTCAAAAAATCTGCAAAATGGCAAGTGTGTTATGATTGAAGCCTCACCTTGTTTGTATATACATGAAAAACAAGTGGAGCTTTAATCATAGTAGCACACTCACCATCCTACAGTTTTCAAAACAGCGTCCAAGTGGACGCCCCTGCTGAACCCAGCTTAGAATAACTGCTTTATTGCAGAAGAAGTCGTATACATGAAGACACAGAATTCAGCAGCTCCAGGATTTAAATCCCAAACCCTTTTTTCTACCTTTTTAAAGTTGGTACAGTTCTAATAATTCTTTTGTCAGCCTTGAGATAAGAAGACTAAGGCACCTGCTCAGTGTCATGTAACAATTTTGTTTGGCTCTAGCATTCTTGGTTCCTACCACAATAGCTTCAGCTCTTACAGGTTTGGAGTTTTTGACTATAATTAAAAATAAAATGAATATGAAAATTAGTTGATCTAGGTCCAAAAAAAGAAAATTGCTCTGAAATTTCAAGGCAATACAATTTCAAGAGACCTATTCTCTTGCACAAGCTAGGCTAAAATGCAATTTTTCTTTAAATAAAAAGGTGGCAGGAAGACTACAATATCTCTATGATTTTCCAACCCTTGCATTGCATGCACTAAAACTGTTAGTGACAGAGACAAATCTAAAGTGAGACTTGAAATAAGTGAAAATGCTGTCTGGCATTGCAAGATCAAAGTCCCACCCATTTTTCCCATGCTGTACTGCATGCTACCACCTTGACATTTTTTCACTGTCTCTCATATGAACATCCCTGATGTCTTTGAGAACTTCTGCCTCTTGGCTTATCTTAGAAGGATGTAGATTTAGATTTAGATCAAGAAAAACATTCTATTCATAAGAGCTGTACAGCAATAGAATAGACCGCCAGGGGAGATGGTGGATTCTCCCACCGGTTTGAAGGTGTTTGAAGAGGTCAAATGCCCATTTCTTGAAAATGCCAGATTAGCGGATCCTGCACTGTAGAGCAGACTATCTTCCATCTCTTAAATTATATTGTTCTATTATTTCTCATATGTATGTATTCAGTGTGTCCAACTGAAAACTATACAAATCCACAACTCTTATCTTGCTTTAAAATATTCAAACAAATATATAAACTTTGAAAGCAAGTACTGAACTGCAGATAGCAATCTTTCTATTTCCTAAGAATGCCTCTGGGATTTATTTCCAACAGTATGTTGGAAATATAAATTATAGTTCAGATTATGAGATCTTGTTATGCTTTAAAATATTTTACCCCAAAAAAATCAGGCAGGGCAGAAATTTAGCAGATGAGGTATTGGTAGATCCTCTAAGTGTCCCTAGGAGTTATATTAGAAACTGAGAGATTACAACCAATTCAGGCTAAGTACTTTAAGCAGACTAAAGTAAGACAGACAGATTGATAGATGTATATATAGAGAGACTGATATACTTTACAGTATCATCCATCTGTAGTTACTATCAGGAATTATTGAAGGATGCTTACCAAAAGTTTTGGGTTACAACTTGCAACATCCATAGCCGATATAATCACATCGAGAGGGCAACAGGTGAATTATTTCTGGGTAGATGTTGTGATCCTATGGTTGTTGACACCATTTTCAAGACCAATATCATAAAATGTATTTTCTGTCACCAGGCCCATACATGTACCCGGAAGGATTTTGAGAAGATGTACCCAGATTTTCAGAAGTTCTGTTGTATTCGTGAGAAACTAGACCCCAGAGGAATGTTTCTGAATAATTACCTGGAGAGAGTCTTCTATTGAGGGATACAATAGAGAAGGTGGTCATGACATGGACAAGCCCCTTACTAAGGATTCTCCGTGGTTATTCTAGTTGGATGGATAAACATTTATTTGCTAGGATCTGATGCCAAACCAAGCTGCTTTTAGATTGCCCAGAAGTCCATTTAAATGTGTTGGGGAAATAGAGAAAAAAGTAACAAAAAGGGGAACATTTTTGCATCAATTAAAATACAATCCACTGTTCCCCATTTTCTTAAGAGAGATACAATAGTATGACAATAATTGCCTTTTCCCAATTCTTTATTCCCAAATTATTTTGTGACCCTCTGAGTGATTCCATATTGCTGATGCTTCCATTCCATTCCCCAATTCTATTATCAGCCTTCTCCTTTCAGAAGTCAACCATGTTATCCCTATTACACTAGCCAAATTCTGTATGGTTGCAATGAAAAGGAGGCAACAAGTCAGACAAAAGTCTCTGAACATATTTTATTTCATATGCTTTATTCTTTTGGGTTTAGAAGGTATTCCATATTGGTATTTTGGTTTAGCTGATCTTTGATAAAGGATTGTTGCTATTATTTCATAGGTAAAGGAAGCATCCCCCTTATCCACATGCATGATTTATTAGAACATGGAACTGTATGTATATATTCAGATTTCTATTCTAAAATAAAATCCAGATGGGCCCACAATCAAAATGAAAAGTGATCCACCTGTTTATTAGATGGCATTACTCTCCTTTCTGTCTTTCTGAGGTTACTCCTCAAGACTATCTTTTTTTTTCTTTGTTCTTACATTTTTCAGTTTTGGAACTCTGACTCCTCCTCTCCAGTCTCTCCCTAATTTAAGCATTTTGATAAAAATGTGGGAAAGGATTTGCAGGAATGATGTAAATTTCCTTAATGATACTTTAAATGTGCACTATAAATAGAATAGGGTTGGTGGTAGAGTTTTGAATAGTAGATGATGGTGGAGTAGACTGAGAACTATATGCCAGTGAATAGGACTAGAATTGGTAGAGAAGCTCAGAATTTGTACATTCTTCTCTTCCAATCTACCACTAACCACGTGCCCATTGCTACTACTCTGTATGCACAAACCTTCACCACATTGCCAGGCTCCACAGTGTGAACCTGGAGGTCACTTCAAGAAGTTGATTGCACTCTCTTAACACAAAAGTGCAATCCTTTTTTATACACACCCTAGTTTAAATGCAGCATTTGTTTTTCCTATCTTTTTGCTTTACTTTTCTCCAGCTGGGCTCTAGGTAGCAGATGGCTGTTGGCATAATCAGCATTTCTATTCAGGGAAATCCTAGCCCTCACTGCATACCATGGAAAGAAGAGAGTTAATCCATGTGGCAAAGTCCCCTACAGACAGAGGTGGGGAGCTGACACATGAGTAACAGCAAACAAACATTGGACTGCAAGGATGTAGAAAACCTGCTGCAGACTCTTAAGCATTCAAGGTCAAGGGCTGAAAACAAAAAGCCCTTCTTTAGCAGTCCAGACAAAGCATATAAGAGAAAAATCCTCAAATATAAAATATTCAAATTAAGTCAGAGAAATGGCAGAGGCAGCAGTAGTTAGAAGCCTGATATCCTCCTTTACACCAGCAGACTCACTGGGCCTCCCAGCCTCAGCAAACAGACAAGTGACAATTCTCTACATGTGAAGATTCTGACACCTTCCTTTATTCCCGTAAGGAATAGAGCAGGGGTCTTCAAACTTGGCAACTTTAAGACTTGTGGACTTCTACTCCCAGAATTCTGGGAGTTGAAGTCCACAAGTCTTAAAGTTGCCAAGTTTGAAGACCCCTGGAATAGAGGAACCAGCTCTATATAGTGCCTGACAAATCAGCCAGGTCTCAACAAGGCAGCATAGACAGGTGATGAATTGGTTTTTTATAGTTCTTGATAAGGGAACCCCCAGCAATTCCTCTTCAGTCTTCTCTTTATCATTGTGCTCTGGTATCTGCCATTGTCCTTAACCTTCTTTCCAACCCTCACATCTGCCCTTTTGGCAGAACAGCCTGTGACCGTAGCCAGCCCTGAGCTTGCAGATACTTACAATCAGGAGCTGTGACTTACTTACTAGGAATCTGATGTTTTAACTTTCAACCAAAGGCCCGCTGAAGATGTCACCTAGCCTGGTGATGAAACATTTGGAAGCTAAACAGCAAGCTCGGAGAACAAACCACCCCCTATCTACCACTCAAGCTACAAATATTTTCTATCATTTCTAATCTGCTTTTTCCCTTCACAACTCATTTTCCCACTTTCTGCTGTCTTCATGTAAACAGTTCTCCCTCCACCAAATAACTGGCAGACTATGGATATCATGGTTTTTATGATGTGTGAAATCAGGTGACCCTCTCTCCATGCTCTCCAAACCACCTCATCGGTACTAGTAGAACTTGCTGGCACATTTGAGGCAAGTGTGTAATAATGGAATTTGCAGGAGAATTGGAATGAAGTGGCAACATTCATTGAACATCTACTTTGGCCCTACAGAAGGTATCCAAGTTATGCACATTGCCTGCAAAGTTCCCATACTGTTTACTAAGGGAAACCATTTTTTTTAATCTAAGGTTCTCCAAGTTCTATCAGAGGCTACAGAAACAAAGTAAGACCATATCATCTTTCCAAAATATAAAGGTCAATATAATGCAAAGTGCAACATTTGGTTCTGCCTTGCACTAAACTGAATTGTTACTTTTGGATTTCTTTTAATTGAGCCAACTCAGCTGCCTGAAAACTTTTCTGGAACTGCCTATAATCTAGTGAAGGGTGGTTCATAAGAAATGTTTTATCAATATTTGCTTTCTATTCTGTTATCACTTTGTCAACATTTGATTCATTTGAATGAGCAAACTTCTTAATCCTCAAAATGTACACTACTTTATTTACTCTACCCCAATGAATGTAAACTGGACTCTTAACAGTTCATTCTTGAAGGTGTTCAATCACATGGGAACAAAATTTTCCAAACTAAATATAAACAGTAGTTCCCCAACAGTTCCAAAATGTGAATGTAGGAGTAGTCAAGGCTTTCCCATAGAACCTCAAAGGCTGGATTTTGCCATAGTAATATTTAGGAGAAAGCACCTTGCAAACTAAACTTCTCCTGCTGTATTTGACCTTTCTGAAAATAGGATATTTATTTATATATATCTCACCTTTAAGGTGGCGAACATATCCAACACTCCTGCGTCCTCCTATTTTCCTCACAACCACCCTGTGAGGTGGGTTGGGCTGAGAGAGACTAGCCCAAAGTTACCCAGCCAACTTTCATAGCTAAGGTAGAACTTGAACTCGTGGTCTCCTGCTTTCTAGCCTGGTGCCTTAATCACTAGACCAAACTGGCTCTATTGGTGTTCTTCTGATGGCTACATTGGTTCCCCTTTCCATGATGCCTCTTCCCCTTCTGTGGAACAGCAGGCTGCTTATAAAATTGCAGGCACCCATTTGGCCTCCCTCCCTCCCACATGAGTTTTTCCTCCGGCATCAGAATAGAAGAGTTGCCAATAAAACTACATCTTTGAAACAGCCGGGGACGGAAAATGGAGGAGATGTATGTTTTAGAAGCTCTGCAACCACCAGAAAACAGAGAAAAGTGCCAAATAAATGGAGGTGTTTTTCTTTCAAAAGGAGTGGATGGTCCAAAGGAAAAAGAAGTATAGACGCACAGCAAAGCACAATGTAGAAAAGTGCGTATTCTACATGCTAGCCATTAACAGGGAAAGAAAAAGCAGAAGAAATCCCAGAGAAGAATTAAGCCAGAATGTAAAAAAAAAAAAAAAAAAAAACCATTGCTAGTAGTATTATAGAGACTAAGGGTAATTGAATAGCAATATAGTAGAATATAGTGATTATAATAAGTATTTAATTTGTTTAATAGTATTTAATAAAAATAATAGGATTAGAATATAATATAGGATGGAGAAAAAAAAAGAAAACAGTGTTAGGCCTGTCCCAGCTTTGACATTCAGGAAAGAAAGATCCTTGACTCCATTTGTTGCGAAAGGTATACTTTTACTAAAGCCAAGTGATTACAATATAAGAAAAGCCAAATCTGAAGATTCCCACACAAAGCTGTTTTTCCCTTTCCCCGGGCCCTCCCCTTGGTCATCTTGCTATTGTCCAATGAAGTTCAAATTGGTTGTTCGGATAACAGTTCTACATTTGGTGCCTCTTTGATCAGCATTTGCACTCCGTTACCATGCCGGTGTCCTTGGATCATTCAACCGTTCCCATGCCAGTGTCCTTGGATCATTCAACCGTTGTCTCTGGTTGGCATTTCTGGTTCCTGTCATTCCCCCTCCCAGTATCCTCCTTTCGCCTCCCACCCACTACATTTTATGGCAGGCTGCCATCAAAAGGAAGCAAGGCTGAAGCAGTATGATAGCAGATCTGACCCTCACATATAGACACATATATTTCACATTTCACTTTTATATTTTGTTTCTCCCCCCCCCCCAAATAAAACATCTCCCAACCCTTCTAGGGAGAATACAAAGAAAAAAATTATCTGTCCAGGGTCCAGGGCTTTCGTGGCTCTTTTGAGTCTGGGTCAGTCTATTTGGGTATAGTTTTTTGTTTTTTAAAAAATGTGACAAGCTAATGCCTTCTTCCCATTACATATTGTGGTTTTTTTTAAAAAAAAAAATCAAGTAATGTTTTTGTAGCTTGGTTATAGAACAGATGCTGATAGGTACTACATGCTAAATTACATTAAACAATCATCATCATAACCATCATTGGTGAATTGGTACATTATATTCCTGGTCTTATATTTGACCGTCCCCAATTTACGTCCAAGTTAACTAGTATGTTCCAGTGCTCTGTGAACATTGTCATATTACAGAATGGCTTTTAAAACAGCATCAACAAAGCAAGATATGTCTCCTTCCAAGGAGTTTTCAACCTCATGTTCATAATGGCAGACTTGAAAAGGTGATAATTATTTATTTAATATACATCATGCCTTTCTCCTTATATACATTAAATACTCATCTCATATAAGCATTTGTTCATGATAGACAGAAAGAAAAGATGTCGAAATGGATGTGAAAATTACATTTGGCCCAGGTCATGATAGTTATTTAGCTATTATTACTTAGTATGATTCAACCATATACACCAATTTTTAATATTCCCCCATTTTTCAACTTGTTTAATTCTACATTCAGATGCATTGTTTTAGTTTCTAAGTGCCTTCGTCTGCAATTATTTACCTAATTATCTGTAAATTTCACTGAGTACACAAATAAATCTATGCAGAATTGAGCTTTTGTAATCCCATAACATTCACCCTCATAATGTTCCTATGAAATACATTAAGACAATTTGCATTCCACAGCTGAGAAATTAAGGCTGGGAAATAATCCAAGGACACATGACAAGTTCCTGGCTTCACAATTTTTTAAAACCAAGATATCCGTTAGTTGATTCACTGTGGAAATGGAGTCATGATAAATCTGTCAACTATCTACTTGATTCTTAATCTTTGTCCAAACACCAACTTTGAGAAAGAGACATTTTGCTTGACATTTTCTTTTTGGAGACTAAGTCAGTAGTGATGCTGAGGTTCTCTTTTCTTCAGCTTCTTCCTCTGCATCAGATACATAGCTGGATGATGGAACTTCCCAGGGCTGACTTTCAAACAGTGGTGATGCTGGAAGAGGATGGGAGATTAAATAATTAAGCTTAGTACTAAGAAAAGAAAATTCCTATTTTTATCCTATACATTGCATTTAAGAACATGCTATCAGACCTATGTAGTCAACCATCCTGTTTCCTGCAAGGATCAACCAATTTAGGAAGCCATCAAGTGGAATGCAAAACTAAGCAAATTCTCTTCTTTCATCTACAGTAGCAGTCTCCAACCTTTCTGGCTTTGCGGACCAGTGGGGGGGGGGGAGAGAGGGGATGGCTCCACATGAGCAGCAGGTGAGTGTGCACAGCTCCATTTGTGCAAGCTGTAGACATGCATGCACAGTACTAGCACGTGTGCCCTCGCCCGCCACTTCCACAGTCCTATTCTGAACGGGCCGCAGCCTGGTGGTGGGCCATGGCCTGGGGGTTGGGGACACCTGATCTACAGCATTCATATTTAAGAGAGATCCAAATGGGGTCTCCCTAAAGTTCAAATCAAGACACAAACATTAGAGCAGACAGCACCTCTATTTTCTCTTCAACCCTCTCTCCTTTTCAACCATCCACCCCATATTTATTTTAAAAGGATAACAGTTTACTGACTTGGTGAGCTTCTGCTAGTTCGGGTAAAGGCTTTCTTTCCTTTCTCACTCAGTTTTGGGATTGGCCTTCGAGCAGGCGCAGGACGTATTTCAGCATTCCACTGAGCACTCTGAGCAAACATTTTAGCTGTTGATTTAGTCAGAGGATAGCTGTTTGGCTGATGCAGAGCCCAGCTTGGGCGAACTGCCACTTCTGCCTGTGAGTCAAGTTCGGCTGAGAGGGACATCTAGGAAACAAAGCAGATGAACATGAAATTTGGAACAAAAGCAAGTAATGACATTTCTGGTAAACATGAGAATGAAGCTTTGACTTCCATGGTGTTAGCGATAAAACTGAAAAAGATAGATGAACTTCAAGAGGTACCTTGCACTGAGCCTAGATTTGGCTGTGGATTGTCAAGTATTTTCTGCTAAGGAATGTAGATGAGTGTATGGCATAGTAAATAAGGCTAACTGCTAAAATGCTCTTGGGGTTAGTAAACTTTGGAGCATAAAGAGCCATAGTTATACCAAAATGTCCTTCAAAAAGTTAATATGGAATCCTGAAAATCACAGCTTTTATGATCCTGGGCCTCACTGTCTATAAGGACATAGTCATCCATTCCTAAACACAGTAATAGCAAAACCATGAAATGCATGTTGTAATATCACAATGCAAGCTCTGTCTTTTTGTTCTTGTAAGTTACATACAATGTCCAGAATTTGTGTTATGATGTTCATTTCATCATTTGCTTCCCCTTGACCCTACAGATAGAAACCCCTGGTGAACCGGAGGGCCCTGAAGGTATGTTTAGTTTTAAAGGAGTTAAACATGAGAAAGTAAAGCTAGCAATAGAAAGCTATAGTTTCAGCTGCATTACCTAGCATTTTCCTATGTCCGGATGGGGCAGGAGCCAAGCTGCTGGATCTCCATAATTCCTCAAGCCCTCTTACAATACCCACCTTTCCCCGAACTATTTGCCCCATAGTTAATAGGAAGGGAGGATAGATAAAAAGGCAAGAGAAAGAAAGAATGAGAGGAAACAATTATCTTAGTTGCTGCTTATATATATATTCTAGATGTTTGTATATACCTATATTTTGGGGGGTGTTTTTACTCTTTATTGTTTTTAATTATTTTGTAATTTTAGAACTGTAAGCTGCCCAGGGTCACGTGATTGAGTTGGGTGGCCATTGAAATTGAATGAATGAATAAATGAATGAATGAATGAATGAATGAATGAAGCTCTTGTTGTGAGGTTTAATGAAGCTATAAAGAATCTTTTAATAGTCTTACACATAAACTACAAATACCTGAAAAAAATAGGTGAGAATTTTTCCCCATAAGATAAAAGCAATATGATTACAACATGAGAGGAAGAATGAAGAATCTTGGAATGGTGTTTTACAGAAGTTTAGATAAACTCTAGATTCATGTAGGAGATAGTAAATTTTTTGACTTTTGGCTTTAATGATATAAATCCAGTTTATTCTAATCAGTTCAAGATCAAGATTTGAATAGATTATAGCACCTATAACAGATATATTGGTATAGGCTAGAAAGCTAAGTGGGGTTAGAACTAGTTTTCACCTGAAAGACAAACCATCAAGGACTACTAGGTTTAAAAATTAGAAGAGGAAATAAAAAAATAATAATCCTGGAAAACAATAATAAACCACTTTAATTTTAATTTTTTTAGTTTTTGCATTTTTAGAATAAGCAGCCATAATTCTTTATGTCCACAGATCTCTGGCTATGACTGTGTTTTGGCTTTGGGTTCATGTTTCCCCTAATTGTTCATTTATTATTTATTTTTCTATAACAGTAATAATGATGAACAAGTGTTACAAATAATACCAACTTCAGAAATGCAGCTATCTCCTTTCTTTGAATCAAAGAACAATCTGGAATAAAAACATCTATTAAACTATTAAAACTTACCTCTAACTCTACAACATTATAACTTTAAATTAAAGTTTTGGAAGTCTCTAACTTATCCCTAATGTCCTGGTGTGCCTGTGGATTCTTTTCAAGCCCTTGTTCACTCTCCCTACCAGGAGCAAATAAACAGATCACTGAAGCTCTGTCTTAATTTATTGTGCTGTCTGAATTGGGATCCTTGGCTTGCTTCTCCCCATATAAAGAAACAAAAATCAAGCGATGGCTCACAGCACTAGAGTTTTAGTTCACATGTCATAAAAAGATCATGAAATAAATGTCCATATTCTGTTCATCTGTCCCTCCTGGCAGGAAAACATATGATCCAAATGTTCATTCATCTGTCTCATTCATGCTATGACAGAATTGTTTCACCTATGGTTGCGTTGGTCTCTTGCAGTACTACTGGTTCAAACAAGCAGGGGGATTAGACAGAAAATGCTATTGTCAAAACTTTGGGTGTTCAAGATATTTGTAGGTTATAAAATTTATCTATGCAGCCTGCATGTCACCCATCATGATGAAAACTTGACAGTCACTGATTCTTTGCAAGAATCCTACTTTGAGACATCCGCAGAAAGCCATTCATCTTTGTATGACAGAGCATTCTGTCATGGCCTGTGATTTCAGACCCAAAATTTGAAGTCATACTTTGCAGATACTATTTATTAACCCCAAAGATAGCTAGTACTTAGTGATGCAAAACAAAAAAGCACATTAATCAACAAGACTTATGATTTCCAATCAGAAGGAGACATACTTTAGGATTGCAGCCTTAATTTATTTGTTTAATATCTTCTCTAGCACTTATTATAAAGAGATTGTGGCAGATAAAGCTTGCCTGGTGACAGTGTTTAACTCTGGAAAGGCTAATAGCAGCATTTTCCATTTCTGTGGCATTTGGCTGAAAAGACTACAGTTAGAGACAATATGTGAATGACAGAGATTAATTTGCAAAATGATTGGCAGGTAGCAATTGAAAGAGCAGAAGATGGGCATGCTAGAGCTTAAAGTGTCAAAGATACTGATACTGCATGACAGGATAGGATGGCTGGCAGAATGGGAACCTGCTCCTGTCTCGCTGCCCACAGAAACAGAGGTAGCACGTAATGAATAATGGAAAGCAAATGCTCCAACGGGCTTCAATATACCTGATTCCCACAGTCCTGGGTTCTTGATAATTCAGTATTAGGATGCTAAAGGAGGAGGAGGTAAAATATGTTAATTTACAAAGCCTTGTTAAGTCTTCTCAGAGCAAGGAAAAAGATAGACACCTGAAGGTGTCTTTTGGAATCCAATGTTTTGAAGCATTGTTTTAAAAGTTTAATCTTTTATCCTCACATATTGAGGATTTCATTCCAGCATTAAATCAAAAATAATTACTGAATTACTTATTAATTACTTAATCAATAATTAACCATATTACTTTTCAAATATGTACAAATGACAAAATCATTATAATGGATGGCTCAACAAAATTCTAAACATATCTACACTGGCGTTATTCCGTAGTGGACAATGTCGCTTGGAAGTATATAGGTGTCCATATTTTCAGATTTAACAGTAGGTTATAAAAGGCCACATTAATAAGGATAACAATAATAGTAGAAGCAATGATGATAAGCCAGGAAGGGTGAAGATCTATTTTGGAAATACTTTTCCACGGAATTCAAGATTAAATCTTTAATAGAACAAAGATGAAATTTTTCAATTGTCTCGCCTTAGAATGATTTTGAAATATCTCATTGGTTCCAATATCTTCAAATACGTAACATAATTCAAAGCAATTACTATGGTAAATCAAGATGGAACATTCAGAAACCTGATCAAAAAGTAACAACCTCAAAATTCATAAGCCCTTTTGGACTTATTTAGAAAGTGTTACTGGAATATGATTATGACACTGAACAAGTCAAAAACTGAATGATTAAATGGATGCAGTACCTAACAGAAAGGATGAGGGTGTAATGCCCAGAGGTACCTCACAGACCAGAGGGCTGGGACTCAAGCTCTTCTCGTCAACACTGACTGGACTCAAACACAGAGAAAGGAAGACATTACCTCAGCACTATCCTCCCACTGCAGGCAGACCAAAACAATACTTGGAAATTACCGTAATCAAGGAGAGAACCAATCTAGAACTAAGGAGAAATTTCCTGACAGTTAGAACAATTAACCAGTGGAACAACTTGCCTCCTTGTCTGAAATAGTATAGGGTTTTCTTCCTGAGCAGGGGGTTGGACTAGAAGACCTCAAAGATCCCTTCCAACTCTTCTATTCTATTCTATTCTATTCTATTCTACTCTACACTACTCTACATTACTCTATTCTATTCTATTCTATGGCTGATGATTCTGAAAGAGATCAGTAAGAATCTTGGTCATAGTTCCACTAAAAGTCATTTAACAAAGACAACTATTGCTATTCCTCTACTATGCCTGGGCCTGAAATCTGACTGAAAGCTGTCCAGATAATCAGTTTACTCCAGGACCCTTTGTAGTCACAATCCACAACTTTCTCAACAAACTTCACTAAAATGGAAAGGTTAGAGATTGAATAAAAATTCTGTACAGAGCTCTAGAGGAAGTGGTACATCACTGCCCCCTTCAAGATTGCACATGGTCTGTGAAACCATGACTACAGCATGGACCCAATCATCTATCACCTTTCAGTCAGTGTATACCAATCAAGAGGAACAGAGATCTAAAAAAAAAAAAGGTAGAAGGTTAGCATCTGAGGATACTGTCCACTTCCTCAGGATTTATAAGTTCAAATCTGTCTCACTTAACCACACAAGACCTTGCTTCTGTCATCTCAAAAGGACTGTCCAATCAGAATCCAGCTCTGAGTCATTTTATCTACTAGATACCTTACAGAGATGCTGTGTAGATGATTCTGCTACTTATCCCGCCCCGAACAAGGGTCACTTTAAATGGGGCTGGCAGAGAGCAATCTGTGCAGTAAGAGCATAAAAATGGCAATGTTTTGTTTTCTCTTATCACCACAATGTAATCCCAGCATGGGCTCTTACGTATGTTAAGTAGGACTTTATCTTTCTCCAACAGCACTCTATGCAACTCTTTTCTGTTTCATCTCCTGGAACAACTCAGAAACCAAAATGCACCCCAGGACTCAGAGTTAGTGAGACAAAACATAGGAGCAATCCAGTAAAAGGCCCTCATTACGTAGCTCATTTGGAGGAGGGGGACATTTAGCATCTAATACTCTGTTACTGTGAGATAAATACTAACAGGGGAAGGGGGATGCTGAACATCCGTATGGTAGTCCCAAAGGTGCTTTTCAAAAGGCAGCTAGTCTGTCTTGTTTTCTTCCTTGAAAATGTTTCACTTCTCATCCTTTCCATTCTGAAATCCTTCCATTCCCCACCATTCAGCCAGAACTGAAGAAGCTTCTTGGATGAGAAGTGAAACGTTTTCAAGAAAAAAAAAACCAAGAAAGTCCAGTTGTCTTTTGAAAAGACCTTTGAGGAAACCATGACCTGGATGATTGAGAATTTCCATACACATCCATCCCTTAGGGCTTTAGTACAAGGAATTTTAACATAAGTTGAAATCAGATTCTCTTGAATACTGTCCAAATATGCATAAAATTAAATAAGGCAATCTATCTATTAGGAGATCTTTTGTCAGTGCGCTGCTGTTCCCATCCTAGCAAAGTATCATTAATGAAGGGGGGAAAAAATCACAAAACTTAATTACACTGTCCAGTAGAACATATAATTTTATTCATGGCTTTACTCTGCACACTTATATTCTCTCTATTGCCTATGTCTTTAAAAGCTGATTCCTAAAGATACCTCCTGTGAGTCCTACCCTGCAAAAAATATTTTGTCCGAAAAGGGCCTGTCTTGCCAGCAGTGATAACAATTGATATGCAAAGATTAAATAGCAGCTTTGAGGTCTGATGGTTAAATTGTAGGCTGCTACACTCAAACAGCAATAAAATGCAGTGGGGCACAAATAAAGGGGTTTTGGGAAAGCTGCCAATAGCCGAGGCTTACACAGTCAACCAATCACAATACTTGCCAGAGATTTTGCTTTTCTGAGTTTGTATGTTCCACTGCCTGGTTTCCTCTTTTTCTGAAAGGCTGACTGACTGAGGTCTGGGGTAAGACCTCCTCCTTTTCTTCTCCTGCAAGAGTAGAAAAAATGGATATATTAAATAAAGCTACGATGGCTTCTTAAGACAGACAAGATGGGGGAGATGTATTTGTGGATCAAGTGATACCAGGACCTGCAGTGAGACTGGTTAGAACAAAAAGCATTAGCTCTGAAATGAGCCTGATCTCAATGAAATTGAGAAAGCAGGCCCACAGCTGAACTGCACGAGGGCTTAAGAGCAGATATGCAGATGGTTCAGGATTCTGGAGTTTCTAGAATTTTAAAAATCAGTTTGAAATCCAAAACCTGGAGTTGGCTTGTTTTGAAAGTGCTGCTAGAAGTTGGCTGCAAAATGATTTCGGATTTTGCTCATTCTGATCTGAAAATAGCAAACAATTAAAATATCAGAAAATCTTGGCGACACCTTTGGGGTATTCGAGGCCTTGCTGCATCATAGATTCTTAGCAACGTTCATTGTCAGAGACATGAAGATAGATCTAGCACAATGGGATTATACTCAGTGCTTGGAGTTGCTCTAAGCATATCTGAAGACAACCACGCAACTCTTCTATGACTTTTTCAGAATTCTGGTGTAGCCCAGGCTTAGCTAAAACATCTGAGCATCACAAGAACCTCTGCTCGTATTTTACTGACAGAAATTAGAGTCCAACTAGGGTGGGCCATTAATCTTGAAAGGAGATACATGATGAAATAGTGAATAAAAGGTTTGGCTTTTGAAGATAAACCGGAGAATCCTTTCACCAGATCCTGCTGGTGTAGATGGCAATGTAGCATCAAACATAACATTAGTTTTGATGCCAGAGAAAAACAGACATTGATGAAAATTACTGTAGGAGAAAGGTGTCTTACGCCTGCCTTGCCTGCTCAATGGGATCAAAGTTATCCAAATAGTTGAAACGGATGATATCTGTTGGATGCTTATCTGATGAACGCCAAGGCGGGAGCTCTCTCTTCTCTTTGTTTATCTTCCTTCTTAACAGAGATGCTGATTCGAGGACTGACAACAAAGACTGCTTTATTTCTGGGACATCTTTTGTTATTGGCTGAACATCAGCCACCACAAAACCATTTTTGGGTGGGGTCTAAAGAAAGTAACAAATAAGCAAAGTAAACCAAAAGCTGTTATAGATATTCCATATTACTCTGAGTCTCTCCCCTAATGTCGCCCATAGTATCTCTATTTATTGCTTGAAAAGAGTAGTGCACTGGTAGAAGTGCACTGGATCACCATAATTCACAGTCTCTCTGAATCTGTTACAGATCCTGAAGGCACAAAAGAATTGGACAAAATGGCTCTGTTTATTTAGTTTATCTTGAACAATCCAAGATTCTCCCTTCTTAACTAGAAATGAAAACAAAACATTTTCCCTTATATTTTGTTGTCAGGTACCAATATTCTGATGCACATTCATTCTGATTGTGTAAATTTTCTTTAGAGGTCATGACCAGCTATGACAAATATATTCATGTGAAATTGTTTTTAGGTTTTAAAACAAAACAAGTCAATGACCATCATTATACCTTGTAGCAATAAATTTCACCCATTCTTTACAAATTAAATGTGCCCAGAATCTCTGGCCATTGTATTTAAATGGATGATTTCAAAATATGTACTAGAAATATAACTGAGTTGTATTAAAGCTGTTCCAGCTTTTTCAACATCATCTGAGAACAGTTTTTTCCCAACACAATATAAATTTGTTGGGGAATACAGATGGACCTGTCTCTATGCAAACAATGTGCTCTATCATCAAAGCATAGACCTTCCTTTAACATTAACGTTACTATGCCTTTATATATGTAAATGCTCTGAAGCATCAGCTCAGATATCCACACATGATTTTTTGGGAGATTATACACTTTGTGAGAGAGTTCAGAATTTCAGAACAGCATCTAGTACAATCTTATAAAACTGTTCTACTTCAATATGAAATTAATGTTTCACATGTTTACTAAAACAACTTGCATATGGAAATTTCAAACATCTAATATATAATACAAACATTCAGATTTATTACCCAAAATACACATCTCCCAAAGGTTCCACAAATACCTTAGGTCTGGTGACTCGAAATTCTTCTACCTTCTTAATATAGTGTTTCTTCCAGATTCCTTGCTCAAATGGAGTTGGAGAGAAGCTGATATGCCATCCAAACCGCAGACATTTTGGCATCCAGAGTTGATCAAGCTGGGTTAAGTAGTTCCAGTGCCAATTTACCTGAAAATGCCAAAAAGACCTTTACTGTGTTTCAAAGGAGTATATCATAGCAAAAACCTATGAGCTATGAAGCATAAACTCCAAAAACAAGCACATTTTGGCCATTTTAAAACACAATACTCTTTTAATTCAAATTGATTTATTTATTTATTTATGAGACTTATATACCACTTTAAGTGCAAGCACTCTCTAAGCGGTGTACACCAGTAAGCAATGTATATATATATTTTACATTGCCCCCAACAATCTGGGTCCTCATTTTACCTACCCCGGAAGGATGGAAGGCTGAGTCAACCTTGAGCCGGTGAGATTTGAACCGCTGACCTGCTGAACACAGTCAGCTAAAGTGGCCTGCAGTACTGCACTCTAACTGCTGCACCACCTCCTAATTCTAAGGAAGTGTTTATTTGAATATATATTATTTGATACAACCTAGACTCTGGACTTTTGAAGTATATGTCAGTGTTAATTTCATAATTGCATATCTTCAGATTTGCAGTACGTGGTTAGATGTATTTCTTGCAAATATTTTGGTCAATGCTGCTTTAAGAAGACTCTTATAGAATAACTGCATCAATAAGAAAAAATAATTATTAAGTATGTTATTAAGTTGCTCTGATTTACATATAAAGCTGTCTAGCACTGCATTAAGCCATTAAGCCATTTCACAAGCAATGATCTCCAGGGTTTTTCCCAGCCTTCATCATTCAATCTCTTTTAAAAGAGAGCCTGAAATCTTCTGTACATAAAGCAGGTGTTTTATAAGGGAGTTAAGAGTTCTCCTAGTCACCGATAAAGGCTACTTTACAACCCAATCTGATCCACTGTACATATATTAAACTGCAATTGGCATGATCCTAAGCTAGCACAATTAGCAGTCATTCTAGCCAACCATTACTAGAATTGTATCCATCCAAAGATCTTAAGGATAGGGAAGACTATAATTCTAGCCCATTATTGTTTATCCTGACATAAAATGGGTCTCCAAGGTCACAAGTGAAACACATATTTTGAGAATCTTTTAACTGGACTTGCCAGAAACTAGATGCACAAAGTTTAGAACCTAAATTAGATATGCTGATGAGCCTGAACAATGAGTTGGAAATTCATCAATGCCACTGGTACTCTAAACTGATCTTGCAATTATGTTCAAGTGTTGTAAAATTGCTAGCTGGAAAAGACTCAGATAATTAATCTACTTCCCATGTCCCCATCAAGACATATAGGAGTTGACCAGTTTTAGTGTGAAAACCTACACAAAAGAAATTCATTAGAACTTCCTTACTCAGCTCATTCTGTTGACCAAGAGCTTTTCCAATAGAAAATATTTCCTAAACTATAATCAATATCTATTAAGTAGGACATTTCTTTGTGCCTCTTATGAAGCAGCATAGGTAACTATTGTTTTGCCTCAGCTCCTTTAAAAATGTGAAATCTGTTAACATAATTCCCTTAGCCTTCCCTTCTCTAGGCTAAACCTACCCAGTGAGTTCAGCTTTGTATCTCTCCGATGCATCCTTTCCAACATGCTGAGTTTTACCTGGGCACATCGGGAGAGACTCCGGGGATCCAGGAAAGAAAAGATGTACAAAGTTAACACTCGGGGAAGCTGGGTGGAGAAATCCAACGCTTCAATTGGCACTTGATCCTGCAGCAGTTTGAAACAGAATTTCAGTTGTGAAAGGGAGCAGTGCTCCAAGAAGTCTGTCAGGACTCTTCGCCTTTGACTGTCAGTCCACTTGTCAAACTGTAGGGAAAGAACTGAGTTGTTATTTTCATGAGTTCTGGGAGAATCATTTACAAATGACTTTCCCTCATTATAGTTTACAAGCAATAAGCTGCAAAGCTAGTTACGAACTTAAGCTAATTCCAAAAGTGAAAGAGCTCTCTGCACCTTTCCTTGTTGCAAAGGACATGAATGTCTGTCAATAATTCATTCAGGCCACATTCTGCCTCTAGTAGGATTATCTAGGTACTTATGGACAGTTCATAAGCATAATAAAAACAGGATTCATTTTGCTTTGTCCTCAACACTGGATACCATTCAAAAGTAGACTGCACTTTTTATTAAAATCAACAACACAGAATCATAAGAGTTGAAAGGAACTGTCAAGTTCCTAAAGCATTTCCCACAAATGATTGTCCAGCCTTTGCTAGAAAACATATAACTAAAGAAAGCCCATCATTTCCTCCATAATTGGTTCCACTTTCAAACGGCTCTTACTAGTAAAATATTCTTAATGTTTAATCAAAATATGCCTTCCTATAACAAGAGCATTATTCTGCATTCTGTCTTTAGATGAAGAACAGGAAACATGTATAAGATACCCCTTCAGATACAGATTCATCTATGATAACTTTCCTCAATCACTTTGTTTGTAATATATTTGATGTATGCTATTGTAAGCTGCTAAAGTAATGTATGGGAGGTTATGCAAAAAGGAAGGAAGGAAGGAAGGAAGGAAGGAAGGAAGGAAGGAAGGAAGGAAGGAAGGAAGGAAGGAAGGAAGGAAGGAAGGAAGGATATTGAGAGATACAAAAGTTTTCTAGTGGATCACTGGCCACCTAGTTCAAACTCTGTTCCTAAGAGAAGAAAGTCAGGTGCTACTGAGAATTTCACAGAAGTGGCATGATAAAAACACTGTTATATACTGAGTACACACTGGGGAACATATTTGTTTGAAGACCTAGAATACATTGTTTATGTATAGTATAAGGGATAAATGACCTCTGAATCATCCTTCCCAAATGAATGTTCTTCAGACAATTCCTATAATTGAGGAATTATAGAACTATGGAAGTAAAAATCTTTTGCACTGTGAGTGTACCATTTCGGAAATACTCTTAAATAAATGTTATGCTCTTTTTAAAACAATTCATACACTATGTTCTATGGTAAAAAAAAATACTGATTGTAAGGGTTTTGGAGTATGTTTACATTTCCCAATATCATCTAGTTATTGTACAATAAATATTGAAGCCTATGAGATTGACAGAGCAATTGAAATAAAAGATTATTACCCATTTCCTCAACAAGTTTCTTCTTTCTTCAAATACCTATAAAGAAATAAAACTAATTTTAAAATTACTTTTTGTAAGACTCAATAAGAAATGACTCATTACATTATCAGAAACAATTAAGTAAATGAAGCTGTCAGAAGAATATGATAAAAGAGGCAATTCTAATTTAAGAAATAATCAGAATCCTGTCTGCATCAGAAGACTTGTACAATACAATTTTTGGTGTTTTTGTGTTTGAGTTTACACAAGTTCCACTTTTCTTGTTAAATACTTTAAAAAATGATATCTCAAATCCATCTTATCCAGCCTCCTGGACCTAGAGTCCATCAAGTCCATCACCCCTAGCTAATCAGATGGCAATCCAATGCCCACAATTAGGGTATAATGATAGCAAGTCTCCCACATGGAATCTTCAGCAGCAACTAACATTTAAAGATGCATCAATATGGACAAAGGGATACCATTCTATTACATGGCTATTTATAGACTGTGAATCTGCCTAAACTTTGTATATAGGCAATATACATTTAAAATGTATAAAATCAATTTGAAGTTTATACAATATTGTAGTAATTAGAATTTCCAGTATGTCCTCAGTGGACAAAATGGTTTTATAAGTCCAGAAAAATGAAGAGGGAGAAATGAAACATGGAAAAATGTGGTTAAGGTATGTTCAATCGTGCCTGGTAAGAAACTTAGATGGAACAGAGAATCTCCTCACCTACAGATTTATTTATTCATTTATTCAATTTGTATGACTTCCCATCTCACCTAAGGATGTCTGGGAGGTTCACAACAGGTAAAAACAACATCTTAAAAAACAAGTTAAAAACTAATATGCAAACATTTAAAACTACCAGTAACCACTTTTAAACAAGATTAGTTTCATTAGAGTTAGAAGTGGTCAATATTGTGAAAAGTGTTTTCCTAGAGCTTGCTGGAAGAGATAACAAACAAAAATCCAGCTATTGAGAGTTCAAAACTCTTTTCAAAGTTTGACATACCTACCATTGTATATAGAAAATAGATTAACTAGGTAGTTATTTAAATTTTGTTAACAATTAAAACACAAATTTAAAAACACAGATAGCAGCATCTACTTGATCTTGCCTGATTTCATAGAGCTAAACAGAGCTAGACATGGTTAGCAGGTGGATGAGAGACCATCAGGAAATCCTACAGCTATAAGCTAAATTAGGAAATTAAAAAAATACAGCAAGTCAGCTAACACAATTAGTACCAGCGACTTGGTTGTTAAGAGAAGTGATTGCTAAGTGAAACTATGATTGTGCTTATGATCTTACTTTAGCTTTTCTTTGATCTTTGCTTTTCTTTTCTTAGACAAGCAAAGGTCATAAATGCAAGGATTGGCTGCCAAGCTACTTTTTCATCACTATCATAATTGCTAACAGTCACTGTACAAGGCAGCCATTAAAGAGAACTGCTCTTATGATGGAAATTGGGACTGGATTGCTAAGCACTGTGATCAAAAAGTATAACATCACATGAGCACATTATTTAGTGATGTGAATCTTGGGACCTCCTGGTTGCTTTTGTAACCCCAAGATACACAGGAAGGCACAGGAGTCCCAGGTAATGAGTGCAGGCATGCTACAGGGGCTGGAGACCTTGGGCAAAGCCAGTCCTGGCCAAAAGTGAATTGAAAGAGGGCTGACATAGGCTGTGTAGGGGTGGGGAGGGGGTGCTGTGGTGGTAAACAATGAGGGATGTCTATGGAGATTCTCAGTCGTCATGGTTGTCCCTAAGGTGCTTTTTCAAGAGGCAATTGGACTTTCTTATTTTTCTTAGAAGACATTTCTCTTCTCATTTAAGAAGCTGAAGAAGGGAGTGTCTTGCAAATTTTCCTGCTGGTTTCCTTACTGAGTTTGCTTGTAGGAAGATAGCAGTGAAGGTTGCAAATGATGATCATCTGACTGCGGCTCTCTGCAATGTTGTGAGGTTGCCAGGCAATGACAATTTATAGTCTCAACGTATGTGAAGAAAATCAAGTTTGGAAAGTCTGAAGTATTGCTATAATGTAATCTACCTGAGTTCTATCTAGGGCAATGCTCCAAGCAGAATAGGAGCTTATTAGAATCACACAAGAATGATCTTGATACTGTTGTTGCATAACATGCTGGAGGCCCGCATACTTTTTAAGAAAATGGGCAAGGACACAAATGATTCATAATTTATAAAGTTCCTAAAACTTACCTTATCATTCATGAGCTGATGATTCAGTGGTGTCCAGGTGCTCATCTTTGTTTGCATCTTGGCACTATTCAGGTTTTTGGGAGGTGCAAATGCCATATCTTTTTACATAGAAAAGGAGCCAAAATAATTAAAATGCCAATAATGATATTTGAAGTATTTGGCAAATGTAGATTTCAGTTGCACATCATAAATTTCATAATGATAAAAGTTGGTCAAAGTGAGAGATGCTAGACCCTTATTTGTTGGAGGTGTTTAGCCACAGGCTAGATAGCCATCTGCAGAGGATGCTGTAATATATAATTCCTGCATTGGACAGGGCATAAGACTAGATGATCTCTAAGTTACTTTCTAGCTCAATGATTATAAATGAGCATCCTCAGTCTGGTACTCCTTAGATGTTGGAATTATAGTTGCCAGAATTCTAAGTTAGCATGTTGGTTGGGAATTCTGGAAGTTGCAGTCAGAAGTACAACATAACTAAAAGTTGGTAAGTTGGGCAAGGTTGAGCCAAATGGATATGCAACAATGATCTGTGTCTTAATTATAATCACAATTCTACTGTTGCAATGAACTTAACGTACGTCTAATCTGTTGTAATGTTCAGTTAGTTTCAAATACATCATGCTATTAATGTTAATGGCTTATGTTGAAAAACTTGCATGGTACCAGTTGTTTTCTTTGGCAGTTTAAGAAACTGGTATGTTATATGTATATAGTTTAGCCTGGATCCAATCCAGAATCACAGGCTCTGTAGTTCCTGATGGTTTGCTGCAATGGGTTTCAGCCTATGGACCATAAACCATTAATGAAAGTGAGGATATTTTAAGTGTATTAATTATTATGTATGACACAAATATTTATTTAAATGGCCCAAATTACCCAAGAAAACCAAAGTTCATATCTGGCACTGTTAAGAAAGCTACTGGATAGGACTCTTGGCTCATCTAGTCCGGCAGTCTGTTCTCACAGTAGCCAACCAACTGCACAAAGAAGCCTACTAGAACCGCAGCAGATGGGGGGGTCTTGTCTTCTCCTGGCTAAACATATCCCAACATTTCTAACTATTCCTCCTAAGTTTTTTCCTTATAGGACATCATTCTACTTGTTCTCCTCAGGTCATTGAGCAGGGGGTTAGACTAGATGACCTCCAAGGTCCCTTCCAACTTTACTACTATTTCTTCTATTTCTTCTCATTCCCACCTACAAGTATTTCTGCCACACTACTCTAAAACCCATATTTTGGAAACACAAGATAATGATATTTACTACAACATCAAAATCATAACAGAACTGGACTGTGATTCCTAGAAACATAAAAATATCCATGTTACAAATTGTAATCAAACTAGTTATAATTAAGCTGGAATGTTATGTTTTTATTAGATAGCCTTGGTATTTGCTTGTGTTCTAGTCATTTATAGTAGGATTGTGCAAAATCTTAGAAAGAGGTGAATTGCAACACACACTTTTTTTCAAATTATGAAAGCAGCCACATCTTTCTCCTGGCTAGTATGACTGCTTCATGTAAGGCTGTTTTAACAATTCAAAAATGTACTTCTATATGTTGTGATGTATCTATTTTGAAGGATTAGCAATCAGGGAATGGAACAACAAGATATCTACAGTATTTTTAGCTGTGTCACTTTACAATACCAAATGACTGGAATTTGAAGTCCAATAAAATCATAGAAAGGCAAAGAGCCAAGGTAAGCTATATACAGACATAATTGAATTATATTTAAGAAAGATTAATTATTGTAATGCTTGTATCATATTAATTAAAGTCATTGGAATGGGGTTTTTTTACACTGTGCTAATCCCGGTTTAACTCAGCAGAAATGCTAAACTGGGGCTTCCAAGACACACAGGCTTTAAAAGTCTGCATTTTTCAGTGGTTGAATAAATCAATTTATTTAATTTAAGATGGTACAATCCATCAATTAATATGTAATCATGGGATTGATTCGATCTCTTTTTCATAGATATTGTTTTTTATGACAGAGGTCCCCAACCTTTCCAGTCTGGCGGCCCATAGGGAAAGGGAGGAGCAGGCAAATTTGCATGCGCACCTGCACGCATGCACAAAAGGTCACATGCACTGTGGCAGCACTAATGCCTGTGTGCATGCACAAAGCCATGTGTACCATGGTAGCGCAAGCGCCCACACGCATGCGCAACCGGAGCCACGGACCTCCATGGCAGTGGTGGCCCTAGTGCCTGTGCACATGCTCAAAGGGGCCACTAGAACCTGTGCGATGTTGGGGGCAGCAATAGCGCCTGTGCGCATTGGCAAACGGGGCCGCTAGCACTCACATAGCGGCTAGCCCCCTCTCAACAGGGCTAGTGTGAGCGGGGGGAGTATGCATACACAAGCATGCACTCGCCAGCCATTCCTGCACCCAGGTGGCCAACAGGTCATGGACTGGTACTGGGCCACGGCCCATAGGTTGGGGACCCCTGGTCTATGATTTCAAAATACAGGGAAGAAAAATATCATGAGAAAAAACATAGGATACAGTATGTAAACTAAAACAGGGGAATTGCCCTTGCATGTGAGAAAAGCAATTTTACCTACAGGTATATAAAGACTGAAACTAAGAAAAGAGGGAGGACAGAATGGCTTCAAGAGAAGATTTTCTTCAGCAATGATCTTGGCCCGTTCTACTGCAACCTTTTCAATTTCCTCACTCCTGCCATTAGTGGGTAGCCATAAACTTTAAACAATCAAATATTTTATTTTCTCCATAAAAATCTATTAAGAAAATAAAAAAAAAATAGAATTCAAATACGAGCCTTCTAGCTGGGAGAAACCGGAGTTCACTATAAGCTATATTATAATGGTAACTGGAGAGCATACATTTTTTTACAGCAGGTGAAATCAAGAATGTAAGAAAAACATTGAAACTTATTTAATTTTATCCCACCTTGTGCATACTATACATAAACATGATTTAAACAGACTTCCATTCCAAATTTGATCTATAATTTTTTTCCCTTATGTTCAGTCGTGTTTGATTTTTCAGAGACTACCTGCACAAGTTCTTGCAGTTTTCTTGGCAAGGTTTTTCAGAATTGGTTTGCCATTGCCTCTTTTCTAAGGTTCAAAGACAGAGGCTGGCCCAAATTTACCCAGTAGGACTTTTGCCTAAGGCAGAATTAAAACTCAGTCTCCCAGTTTCTAGCCTGATGCCTTAACCACTACACCAAATGTCTCTCGCATAATAAATACAACTGGTAATTCTATATTTTAAGGTATTACTCTAATCTTTCAATCTTCATGTCATTTCATGAAACCTTGTAAACCATTCAATAATTTTTTCTTGATCCAGAAATTAAGAATTTAATTACAAAAAATTGTAATGATTTACAGTATAAGGAAATGTGGATTTAATCTTTCACATTTCCAGTGAGAGTAGAACTTTGTTTTTTTTATAAAAATCAATAGCTTTATAGAAAGCTAAAGAAAGTTTTTTAATAGAAAGAAAAATAGCTTAAATTCAATTCACTTCTGGGCTTAACTTCAGAATTATTGTTTGATTGTGGAAATATATGCAAATATGAAGATCTTTTTTTAAAACAGCACTTAATTTTCCTATATATTTTGCAGAATATATATGGAATGAAAGGTACTGATTCCTTCATTAATGGAAAATATATATTGAGGGAGGACCTTATGTTTAAAACACCTGATCAATTTGTTTTCTGAGCATCCATTAATATAACTGTTAGTCTTTTTTGTACTGCTGATTTTTCTTTAGTGAGATTATTTGAAGTTATAAGCTTATGTTATTTAAGCTTTCAGAACCTAATGTGGGAAAGCTAAAGATGGCTGTATATAATATTAATATGAATAAATGAAGCAGAACCCTTCCCTGCCCCTTCAAATCTTCTCCAACAGGTTCCTCAACCCAACAGAGCAGTCTGAAGCATGTTTGAGAGAAATCGATTCCACTAGTAGATGTCACAGACAAATATGCTCTCTCTTATGGGGTACCCAAAGTATTACAAATCTCTTAATCTAGACAAAAGTTCTCTCTTTTGAGAGGTAATGATTTTGGCTTTGAAACTGAAGATTGGGCTCTTGCCCAATTCATGTAGCATCACGTGAGGCCTACCTGATGCCAGTTTTCTATTGGCAATAAAAGTGGCCTTGAAAGTTGACAGCAGGAATGTTCTGGTCCTGGGTTTCTGACCTCTGGTGTCAGGCCTCTGAAAACAAGTAAAAACAAGTTTAAAAGGATCTATTAATTTGGATATATTGTAATTATTTGTTGAAGATGGTATCTGTATTTATTGTTCCCCGTCTGTAGGGATTCCAACAAAGAAAAAATGAGGTCTACATCGTATTGCAATCATATACTCGATGTCAACAATGACATACTAGCATAATTAACAATAGTAAAAATAGCATTTTAATATAAGAAATTACTACTGTAGATTAGAAACATAATTCTTCAAATATAAGATGAAAAACATTTTCTAGATGACTTCATTTAGATTACTTCCAAATAAAGAAAAATGTACTTTTTGCTCTAAAAATATTGTTTGTGTTCTTAACTAATTGGGAGATGTAATAAAATAAATAATTAATTTATTTGAAACTCTATGCTTTCAATCTTTTGTTACTCGATGCATATTGTACTGAATTTAAATTTGGGGGAGTGTTGGATAGTTTGCATATATGAGTTTATATATATATATATATATATATATATATATATATATATATATATATTATGTTTTCTGAGGTTTTCGCGGGTGTTTGTATGTAGGTCTTTGGTTGTTCGGGTTTTCTCCCGCGTAAAATTGGAAGTGTCTTGGCGACGTTTCGACGAAGTCCCATTCGTCATCTTCAGGCTGGTGTTTTCAGCTTCGTGCTTTGAGCAGCAATGTGTGGTCTTAGCTGTTTCTTCCTTTTAACTGCCAGTGGGGGTATGAACTGATTGGGTGGGAGCTTGGCTGTGTTCTGATTGGGTGGAGGTGTGTTCTGATTGGTTAGGGGCTTGGCTGTGCTCTGATTGGCTGGGGGGTTGGCTGTGCTCTGATTGGCTGGGGGGTTGGCTGTGCTATGATTGGTTGAGGGAGTGTTCTGTTTGGTTGTGCTCAGGTTAGTCTGAGTTGCAGAGGGGTTTAAGATTTTGGGCTGCTTTGCTATTTTTTGGCTTCAGGGGGTGGGGAGATTCTTTTTATACACCTTGCCTACATATATATATATGCGCATACTCCCCCCTTCTCATTTAGCCCTTTGCTCTGATGATGTTAACAGGTTGTTAACGAAAGCTCAGCAATTAATAATAATAATAATAATAATAATAATAATAATAATAAAGCCTTTTACCTTACATCCCAGAGCTCTTTATTTTTTATCTGACTGACTTTAAATGTCCATACCTGGGATTCCAATATTCAAAATTATCAAATATATATATGTATGTATGTATGTATGTATAAAATTCCTCCCCAGTTTTGTTTTACACTAAAAAAATGGAGGATATACTGTAATGTACAGAGTCTTTTCTCAATGTTTGTAAATGATATATGGATAATGCTTCTATTTAAAATAACCTGATATTATTAATAAAGAAGGTTTCTTTTAAATAGTGATTACCCTAACACCTATTTATTTACCTAAATTTCTGTGTTTCAGAAATAATTATCCCACTCTCCATTTTCTAGTCCATCTTTTCTTTGAGGAGCTCAGAGCAACAGATTTCAATTCATCTACCCACTGACACTGTCAAATGGATAAGGATGTAAGGTAGAGGCTTTCCAGGATCACAACTCTTGAACCTGAGGTTCTAATGATAATTACTTCAATAACTCATATTTTCTTGCAGCATGTCCAAAGCAGCTTACAAAGAGAAAAGTTAAGTAATTATATAAATAATTTTTTATACATATTTCTCCAACATAAAAACAGGCATTGTAATAATCACCTTTTAAATATAGGCTATAATTTAAACCAAAGCAAAAAAAAAATGCAGCAGCATTGAATTAAAAATTGTATCACCTATGTCAAAATGTGTAGAGAAAACTGTGTGTCTGTGGGGTCCTTGGGGCTCTGCAAGAAAAGTTTGTTTCATTACCAAATGAAGCAACATGACTTACCCCATAAGGCCCCCACAGGTCAACTCCGAGCTAGAAATATTCTCTTCTATCAGCACCACAATTTGGATAACTGGCTTGCCACCATACAAGCTCTCACCTGTTCTATTTGAATCTTCAACGCTTCAGCGTCGCCATTAACGATGGCGAGGGCGATAGGGCCATTAAGGATGAGGTTGTCTTCTTCCACAACTCCCCCACCATTCACACTCCACCATGGCCTAGTCTCTTGTACAGTACTTCTTCCTCTACCGCCGCCTGCGAGTTGATTCTGTTCGTCATGGAAACCGTTGCCTAGTTGCAGAGGCCCATCCGAAGCACAGTGTCCTCCCCCCCTTCTTTTGTTCTACCTAGTAACCAAGCGAGAGTCACGGCAGTGATCGGGATTTCATTGGCTACTTTTTTCTCTTCTTTCTTCGTGTTTCTCCCCCCCTCCCCCACCAGCATTCAAGACTCGTGAGGGGGCGGGGCAGAGTGTGAGGAGAAAAGGCGCGGCGGTGGCCGTTGAGGAAGTTGTTCGCCAGCATATTGTACTCGATGGACCTGGAGTGGCGGAGGTACCTGAAGGAGGAGAAGGAAAAGGAGCCGGAGGCAGGTACAGTAAACGGTGGCGGAGAAAAGGGACGGGAGTCTTTTATTCTCTTCCTCGTTCCTCAGCCGGTAGAAAAGGAGGAGTCCTTAATTTTCTTCCAAAAAGGAAGTATGAACGCTCTTCTTTCTTTTTCTTTTGTGTGGAGACCAGTTTCTCTCGCCCCATAGTAGCTGCCCCCCACCCCCAGCTCGGCCATTTGTGTTGGACTACACTGCCTAACATCCTCGGTCTCAGCAACTAAGGGTAGGCTGCCTTCTCTTGCTCGCTCCTTAGGACAATAAAAACGCGATTCAGCCTTGCTGAAGGAGAGGAGGTTGGAGAAGAAGGCTGCAGGTATCTCTTTCTCTGCCGCTCTCCCGTCCTCTGGCCCCTTCTCTATCTCTCCCATATTCTCTCATATCTTCAGGTCAAAGTGGGCTTGGCACTGAAAGACGAGACAAATTAAGTACATATCTGATTATGCTCTATCTTTGTAGATGTGGAAAGAAAGGGGGAGGATTAATGGAGGCTTTCTGTCTTTGTTTTCCCCATTTTTCGCCCTCTCCCAAGATATAAGAGAGCAGATATATACATCATGAAATAATAATTGCTTATGTGACCATTAATTTTCTTAAAGCTTTTTACATCTGACTGAACCTAACCTAGACCTCCATAGTGACTGTCAAGCAAATAAGGCAAAATGTGTGAAATAAGATTTTTAAAGTGATATTTAATTAAAGGTCAAATCTTTTAATGTAACTGAGCTTGCCTGTACTGAACCTCATTCTGGTGGAGAGCAATTAAAGAAAACACAATCTTTTTGATTTACTACCTTGCATCTCGTATGTAGGCACTGAAATAAGGAGGAATGTATACTGAATTATTTTCACCGAGGATGTGTTTTGCAGGAGCTAGAAGTAATCCTGGGTCAGAGTTGATTTAGAATAACCTTTTTAGATGGAAACTAACTTTCCATTGAGAAATTGATATTCCAAATCATCAATAGTGCATAATCTATAGTACACAAAGAAAAACAATGAGTGCAACAACAAATGTGAAAATCTCTTTGCTTTACTCTTTCTCTAGAAGAAAGACAGGTGATAAATACATAAAGAAACTCCTTTTGTGGATTGCCTTTCAGTCTTATAGATGCTGGAAAAGAAATTGTAGAAAGGATCCTGATTCCACAAAACAATTTTCCTATTCTTATGATATCTTAATACTGCAGAGATGCTTCCTTCATTGTCGCCACCATAATTCTAGCAGCAAATATATTTTACTTAACCACTTTTGTCCTGCTTTAATTTCCATCCAGTAATGATAGAAGCAATTGTGAGCTTCATAGGAAAACTAAAATATTAAATATGCAAAGAAAATATTAAATATGCAAAGAAAATGAGATTAGTGTTTTAATGCAGAAGGAGAAATTTTATTAGTTAAAATTTTACTGAGTGCCATACAAGGCATTGAGTACTAAGTAACATGTATGGGAAAGTTTTTCATTTCAGTAGATGGTAGCATAGAGAGTAAGTTTCCTTTTTTAATTTATGAGATAATTCTTTGGAAGATATTATAGAATAATCCTATAAACAAAGATTATTTAATGTGAATTCCAATAATGCAATGAGAGATTCCCAAATCACTACTTCATAAACTTTTAGCAGTTGTGGACTCCTAAATAAATATTTGAAATTAAAGATTTCAATTAAAAATTTTCTTTATTTTTATTTGCAAAACTAAGAGCAATTTTTAATGAATAAGATCATGATTATAGTTGCATTTGTGTATGCTTCCCTGCCCTCCCTGTTTAAAAGCTATTTTAAGCTAAATTTTCAACCAAAAAAATCTCCAAACTATGTATTCTTTTTCACTTTTAGATTATTTTGTATATCCTAGGCCATAATATTAATTTTTGGCACAAACATGATGGAATGATCTTCTGTAGAAATTTCTAAGATGATAGGGGCAAGTTGATCTCCACTCTATGTCCTTTATTAAGATACTTATCTATATATTTTTTATTTGCATTTTTCTTTTTGAATTACTTATGCGAGATCACAGTTGCAGTTAGCATCCACTTACAGACTCACAGTCAGTAACTTGGGATCTGTTTTCTGTTGTCAGTTTGTGAATTCTGGTGTATTGCTATTTTTATCACCTGTAGGCTTCAATGAACTTTTTTTCAGCCACTGATTCATTTTCATGAATTAGCTGAACTTGCAGGGAATCTAGGAGGTGGGCACTGAAGTGATTAGTAGACTTTGGTTTAAGCTCCTGTCTAGCACTGAGGATGGTGGGAAGCTGTAGCTGACCTGGTAGACTTCTGCAAATCATAGATTATTTGACAAGATCAGGATATGGGAATCTGAACTAATTTTTTTAGTGCTTTTAGAGATTATGCTCTATTTTGTGCATCTGCTTTCTTTTAGAAACAAGACAGTAGCCATAAGAATAGTACAAACCTGAATAACAGAGTTGGAAGATACCTTGAAGGTCTTCTAGTCAAACAAGGAGCCGAGGTGGCACAGCAGTTAGAGTGCAGTACTGCAGGCCACTTTAGCTGACTGTGTTGAGCAGGTCAGCGGTTCAAATCTCACCGGCTCAGGGTTGACTCAGCCTTCCATCCTTCTGGGGTAGGTAAAATGAGGACCCAGATTGTTGGGGGCAATGTAAATATATATATACATTGCTTACTGGTGTACACCGCTTAGAGAGTGCTTGCATTTAAAGCGGTATATAAGTCTCATAAATAAATAAAACCCCCTGCTCAAGCAGGAGACACTATACCATTTCAGACAAATGGCTGCCCAATCTCTTCTTAAAAGCCTCCAATGGTGAAGCACCCACGACTTCTGGAGGCAAACTGTTCCCCGATTAATTGTTCTCACCCTTGGGAAATTTCTCCTTTGTTCTATTTTGGATTTCTCCTTGATAAGTTTTCATCCATTACTTCTTGTCCTGTCTTCAGGTGCTTTGGAGCCTCTTACATATTGGAAGACTGCTATCATGTCATCCCTAGCCCTTCTTTTCACTAGCCTAGATATGCCCAGTTCCTTCAACTGTTCTTCATGTTTTAGTCTCCAGTCTCTCAATCATCTTGGTTGCTCTTCTCTGCACTTTTCTAGAGTCTCAATATCTTTTATGTATTATGGTGACCAAAACTAGACACAATATTCCAAGTATGATCTTAACCAAAGTACTATATATGATCAACACTTCATGTGATCCTGATTCTATCCCTCTTGTTGATACAGCTTAGGATCCATTAGTTGGCAATTAAGGAATCTGATTTTTCTTTCCTACTTATGTCACTAGATTGTTCTTTCACACTTAAATTTCAGAACTAGTAGTTTGCTGTTGAAACATTAAAAATTGTACCACTAACCTTAGAGTACAGCTTTGTCTAGGTTCCAGAGGTACATTATTATTGTCATTAGTGATTATATGAATCATTTCATTAACATGCAGAAATATTGAGGTTTTTTTCCTGAGTTACATGATCCTTACTATCATATATAATCTGAGTTGTTATGTGCATGACTGTTGTATATGAAGTAAAATGTGAGTGGCAGCACAATTTAAATAATTGTGATGAGATTAAAAAGCTGGTAGTGCTGTTGGAAATTGAAGTAGCAATGTTTTATATTAGCTGGCAGTTCATATACTTTATTGGGCAGGGTTGTTGTTGGCTTCCTATAAGCTTTGGGGGTCTCTTTTTTTTACTGTTATCACCTGTTTCTAATTTGATTTATTTGCTTTTGAAGTGTAAACAGATTTGGAGATGAGCAGAATCTAAGTTATGTAAATGTAAATACATAAATGAATATTTCTTAGTTGTATATTTTTGAAGATTGTATATGCTGAATCTCAGTAAAGCCTGATAGTTTGATTTAGTTGCCAGAGACCCTGTAGGAGATATCACCAAAATGTTTAATATAACAAAATATGAACATTATTAAATGGTCTGGAAATTATATTAACTCTGATTAAATGGAAAAAATACCTTATATTTTTATCTTGATCCTATATACTTTTTGGCATATAGCCATAGATATCTTGAGTGATGAAATATGTTCACCCTGATGCTGTGTACTTGTGTCATGGTACAGGACCTAAGTAAAAAAGTGTTTCAGTTGATTTGCATCATGATGATGTGACACATGTTTTATCATTTGTTCACACTTGTTCTTTTGGAAGTCTGTATATCAATTCCCAAGATGTAATCTTAAAACCAAATGCAGTGGCCATACATAACAAAAACAGTTTTGTTACAGAAAAATAAATATAAATAATAGTAAATTACAGAAAATGTATTCTAAGATGTAATCTTAAAACCAAATGCAGTGGCCATACATAACAAAAACAGTTTTGTTACAGAAAAATAAATATAAATAATAGTAAATTACAGAAAATGTATTCTAACATTTGTGGCTTAAATGCCCCAAGTGGTATTAAATATGTTTACAAAATAATGAAGTTTTAATAGCAAATTAAAATTTGCATCTGCCCCTTTTAATTACTGAGATTGAGACTCAGCATACTGTTATACAGTTGATATTTACATTTTTGGTAAACTCATTCAATGAATCCAAGCTCTGCAAGCTGAGATAACATGTGCTCCATTGATGCATTCACACAATTTCACAGTAACCATGAGATAAATCGTAAAACAAAGTTCAGGAATATTCCTTTATCCCAGTGTTTTCCAAACTTGACAATTTTAAGGCATGAGGACTTCAACTCCCAGAATTCCACAGCCAGCAACGCTGGCTGTGGAATTCTGGGAGTTGAAGTCCACATGCCTTAAAATTGTCAAGTTTGGGAAACACTGCTTTATCCCATTGCTTTGCAAATCTGTGTACACTACAAGCTGTATGATTGTTTGAAGAGAAATGCATCTGTATCAGGCTCTAAGTGTTTTAATTAAATAAAAGAATTTGAGTAGTTCTCCAACTATGTATGATTAACCGATTAACCTAAAATTGGTTCTGATATCGCTGTTTTACTAACATGACAGCTTATTCTTCTAAATACTAAACCTTCATTTTGTTTGCAAATAATAATATTAAAGATTCTAACTACCAGCAAGAATGAGTCCTTACATTTAAAGAGCACCTGTCGTTTCAGATCCATCATGGCAGCGCCTGTTAGCGGGCATCCACTCACCTGCTGCCCGCCACGTCCCTCACCTTGTTGTGTCACTGCTGCATCACCAGCCGTCCCATTAAAGTGAATGGGACTGTCAGTGTCAATAGCAGGTCAGAAGAGGAGCCATTGTGGGACAGAGATGACAGTTGCTCTTTAAAAAGTATAATTTAAATTAAGTTGATTTAACCCTTTTTACTAATGATTTAAATCATTTTAAATCGTGATTTAAATTGACTTGATTTTAATCAAATCCACCCTGACCTTTACGATATATAAATACTAGTTTTCTGTTTAAACAGTACTGATTATGCTTGGACATGAACCTGCATCTGAAAATAATCATTGTTTTTTTATTGCTGTAGTTAAAGCATTATAGTTTTTTAAAATATTTATCTTTATGTGATTATGTATGGAACTTGTATACTTTAAAATAAGAAAATTAGAAATTAATATGCAGGTCATATGTCAGTGATGGCGAACCTTTTAGAGACTGAGTGCCCAAACTGCAACCCAAAACCTACATATGCATCGTCAAGTGCCAGGTGGGTGTGGTCCATTGGCTGGGTATGGCCCATTGGGTGGGCATGGCCAATTGGGTGGGCGTGGCTGCGGTGGTAACAGCTGACTGGGTGGGACTAAAAAGTTCAATCAATCAATTCCAACTTTGCAAGATCTTTTTTTTCCCCGTGAGAAGTTGAAATTGACTGATTGAACCTTTTTTTTTTTTTTTTTTTTGCACACCGCAGTGAAAAGGTTTTATAAAACCCAGCTGAAGGCCTAGGACTGGGGCGAGGGTTCTGAGTGCTGCCTCTGGCACCCGTGCCATAGGTTCACCACCACTGTCCTATGTCCTGAATCTTCTATTAATAAATTATTTTGGATGATCATTAATTCTAATCATGTGCAGGGCCCAATATGAAAAAAAGATGTTCTAGTTTACTTCCAAAGTATATTAAAGAGAGAAGACTCGTATATATTGATTATATTTTCTCAGTGAATCTGAAATAAACTTCTTGCTTTAATGGTAAATTATTAGTGGGAAAAAATTATTTATCAAATTAAAGTACTGAACATTTTACTCTCAAATTTTAGTTTTCCTGCCAGATAAATATAGCAGATAACTATATTTATTTTTGCCATAACATTTTATAAACTTATAATTCCCTGTTGATTTATCAAATGAAAAAATTACTATTAAGCATGACAAAATTACCATAGTACATTTAATATTTATACTGAAGGGACATTTTAACATCGAGGATTAAATTTCAGGGGAACATCATCCTATCTCCAAAGTGTTATGTAAGAAAAGTGTAAATATAAGAACTAGCATTTAATCTGGCATCTGGTTTCCTGTAGTGACCTACTAGATAGTTTTTGAAAATTCAGCAAAACTTGGGAAGAAAAGTATCCTTTGCTTCTTAAGCAGTTTTTCATTTGAAATATCATATTAGAATTTGCAGAAAGTAGATAGAATTTTTATTTTCTTTCTGTATTAGGATTCCTATAATAAAGCTGAATTATGAGGGATTCAGGGCAGGTAAGTATTATCTCATATTATATTAAATTATATTATGGAATATAATGCCACATGATAGAGATAGTTTATATAACCAAATACTACATTTTCATCATTTAGTTATGTTTCATGTTTCCCCTGTCTTCAAAATCCTATGTTTAGTACTTTCATTATGTTTCTTCCACTTTTAGATTTGCTTTCAAAAGAGGAAATTATTATGTGTGAGAAATCTACAGATTAATCTAGACAGGGGAAAGATTAAACATAACTAAATGATGAGAATGTGGTATTTGGTTATATGAAGCTATCTTTGTCATGTTTTGTAAAATTCATGCTGATTTGTTCTAACCTGCAAATTCTGCTGGAATTGAATTATTCAATTGGCATATTACTTGATCTTCTCTGCAATAGCCATGGCTCTATTTCAGTTGTTCTATAATAGCCTCTGCAATTCCTTTACTCTCCAGGTTGTACTTCACACACAGATTAGTTTTGATTTTCTTATTATAGGTAGTCCTTGAGTTATGACCATAATGAAGCCTGCCCTTCACTGTCATAACTTGTGATGGTCATAAAATGGGTCAGTCGTATGACCGATCCAATTTTATGACCTTTTTTCTGTGGTCATTAATCAAATCATTGCACTTCTTAAGCAAATGCCATAGTAGTTAAGCAAACCAATGGTTTGTTATGGATGCAATTTGCCAAAAGTAGAAGTAAGTGTTAGTTTTTGGCAAAATCATAATAAAACTTGGTCACATGACCATGGGATACTGCAAAGGGTTGTAAATGGTGCCCAGTTGCTGAGCACCCTAAGTGCAGTCACATGACCATGGGGGGGCCAACCATCAGAACTTTGAATCCAGGTCATAAATATCCCCTAGGACAGGGGTTCCCAACCCCTGGTTGGGGGACCAGTACCGGGCCGTGGCATGCCAGCAACCAGGCCGCACAAACAAGCAAAGCCCCATCCACGGGATACAGGCAGCATACAAAACCATGCCTCTCCAGTCCATGGAAAAACCTCTCTCCATGTAACCGGTCCCTGTCCCCAAAAGATTGGAGACCTCTGCCCTAGGATAAGCAATCAGTTGTAAGTTAAGGACTTGCTGTTTTCTAGTTTCCTTGTCTCAAATTCTTCAAATTGCTCAAATCTATGCACATTTTCTTTATCGAGTTCCAAGTGCATTTTCTATTTAGCTGTTCCTTTCTTAATGACTTTATTGCTTCATATTTTAAGCTCAATTCTTCCATTGTTACATTAGATATAGCATACATCAGCTGGTTCATTTGGGTCACAATTTAAACAGCTTCATTAATATTTTTAGTGTGTTAGCTAAGCTCTTCTTGTTAATTTGATTCAATTTTGCCAAACCTATTCTTTTGGCTTCTTTCATTTGATCATTGAATTCCCAGCTAGGTCTTGAATAGCTGATAATACAGTATTTGCTGTTCTTTAGCACTTTTTTTCTCCTTGTTCTTCACTGAAGTCAATAGTCTCTTTACTATATATTGTTTGTTGCTCACTCTGCAAATTGGTATTATTCATAGTTCTGAATAAATCTGAATTTGTTTTTAATTGCTTCCAGTTCAATATTGATAAAGAATTTGTGTTTTAGAATTACACATTTTGGTCCATAAATTTCTGCTCATTAATCACTAAATGCAAATGTCTTTTTTTCCAAAGCTGGTACATTCACTTTTGGAATCTGCATTTCAGTGGTTCCGATTGGTAGAAATATTCTATAATGGACTAGTTTTCTTCCTTTGACCAAATCCTTCATTTTTGATTGCCTCCCAGTAGCCTGTCAGCTCCACACCTAGTTGCTTAGCAAGGGGAATTGCGCCTTATAGCACATTTGTCAATGAATACCTAGTAGCCATAGCATCCAATGTGACTTTTGTTAATCTGGGCAACAGTTGATCCAGCATGAAGTTCAATGTATTCTCACGGCATTGAATGGGAAGTGGGTGTTGAAACAGATTTAGTCTGACTGATCAGCTTATATGGTTCATTTGTTCAACATAGCCCTTGACATCACTAAAGCATCCAAGCTCCTCCATCATAATGAAGTACTATTTCTTTGGAGGAGACTTTTATTTATGATTGGTCACATAACCCAATGTTTAGGCTAGAATTGGTATTTTATCGAGTGCTACCAAGGACTTGGAATAGGCAAATGTTTGATAGTGTAAGAGAGATCATTGCACTATTGAACGTAATGCATCTTTCATATATTTGGCATACATCTAATAAGTAATAAAGTATTTTATTTATTGCATTTCTATTTTCTATTTATTTAGATGTACATAGGAACCCCTATTTATTTAGTTGTATCCCACCATTATTTTTACAAATAACTCAATGTGGCAAACATATCGACCACATCTTATTTTCCCCACAACAACAACCCTGTGAGGTGGGTTGAGCTGAGACAGAGCAACAGACCTAAGGTCAGCCATTTGGCTTTCATGGCTAAGGCAGAAGTTGAACTCACAGTCTCTTACTTCTAACCTGGTGCCTTAACCAGTTAGGCACCCATCTGGCTCTTTTATATTGATTATTAAAAAAAAGTTTCTCCTCAGATTGTATAAATCTTTTGCCTTTACATCAATTATATCCCTATGACAACCCTATGAGGTAGATTGGGCTACAAAAGAATGATTGCTCCAAAGCCTACTCTGTGTGCTCCATGGTCAGAACCTGAGCCTATGTCTTTTTAATCTATGTCCAGTATTACTTTGAACTTTAATAATGTATTTATGTTCTTATCCTTAGATTATTGATAGAAGAAAAAAAGCTGTCAACATGAAGTCTGATTGGGAATGTGGTTAGTCAATAAGTTATGATGATACAATACAACATACATGATGGTATGGAAGAAAAAAACAAGACGAAGTATCTTAGTGTTTTGGAAATAAAAATATTCTATTGGACAATGCTAAAATCTATTAGTGTGAAGAGTTATTCAGTCTCTGAAGAACCTTAAGATAAAAAGTTGAAATATCCAGCAATGGCTGATAAATAATTTGGAGACCCTCATGACTGTTGCAAAAGAATGGCTGTAATTTGGATGATCCATTATCTTTGGCTTTTGGCAGTTCTAGCAAGATGTAGTGGTGGCCACAGCCTATTCTCATGTGAACCCATAATCCTAAGGATGTGCCAAGATCTTCCGTACAATACCACATTTATGCCTAACCTTTTGAATCATTATGATCAACAAACAGCAGCTCTAGCAATGGAAGTAAGTATTTACATTCAAAATATGTCAAGATCTTCACTACAGTTGTTCAGAATTATTAACAGAATAACATAAATGTATTTACTACTTTTGTGCTATTTGGGGGGATTTACAAAGCATAAAACCTTCATGAATGGTCATCACATGTGATTATATGTTCTCTGGATCCAGAGAATTTTATTAATATATAAAATCACTTTTTATATTATGAGTGATGAAAAATTTTTAAAATGAAAATATATAACGTGGATCAATGTGGCTGTCATGGATTAGTGCCAACTTTATTTTTTAGTAAACTGCTCATGAGACAATTTTTGTTCTTGAGGAATTATAGAGTTAAAAAAGTATACCCTATGCTTTGGTGGATCACATGCAATTAATGTTGGTAATCTTTACAAAACAAATATTTCTATTCTTGAAAATATATTTGCAACTGGAATGAAGCTGTTTGAAAGGGAATATATTTTCTTTGGGGGCGGGTTCTAATTGAGACTGTAAAGATTCTTCTGGAGATATTAATTTATAAGATGATGAAAGTGCTGATAGGGAAGAATGTAGGGGAAGCATACATGGTGATAGAGACAAAATAAAACATACTGAGCTACACCAAATGGAAAATGAAGAAGATATATCTAGTGCCTCCTACCTTTTTTGTACTTCACTAATCAGATCTGCACTCTTTCCAAGAAGGAAGGAGAAATGGAAGAATCTATTTCATATTTTTTTCTAATATCTTTCTATAGCTGTTATAATGTAGACCAATTCCATAAGCACTCTTTCTACCCAAAGTGAATGGTGTAATCTGTAAGAGGTAAGGCAAGAACTACCTGTTTCCAAACTAAAGAAAATGATTATGTAAACATAACTCATTAACTTGCTAAAGCTATCAAATATCTGCCAAATATATATATATACTTAGAAAGATGACTGGAAGAAGCCTAGATTTTAAATTTTGCAGCATAGATGTATAAAGCCTTTGATTTCTTTGACTTGTAATAGCCAAGGTTTTACTGTTAGCAATATTTCCAAGTACTGCCTAGGCATATTCTGCAAAGTCTAGACAGGAGCTGAATTAAAAATTTAAAGTCTGGAGATCTGTGATTTACTTCTGGCTCTAGGCATGAATCCTGATATAATTTAACTTTAGTAAAATGATGTCTGCCCTCCAGTGCTATTTTCTTTTGCTCTTCCTCCTTTAAATCCCATGTGTACTTTCAGAATCAATTCTGGAAGTTCAAAAGACTCTCTGAAGTAGAATTTAAGAACATTCAATTAACCTGAAATTGTTTTCAGGTGGAAAAATACAGTACTGGAATCTATTTAAAGACTTTTTGGTACTTTGCCTGTAGAAGGCTGATGGCTGTTACTTGTTTGCTCTTATCTTTACATGATACAGGCCTATGTTGTCTGATATGTGGTACCTGGTACCATGAGAATTATTTCATTCAATCAAAATGAGGACACTCAGATGCTTCTGTACATTAATTTTATTGACATAACATAAACATAAGGACAATTTGTTTAAAACGATAGGACTTTTTTGTTCTTTTCCAACATAAAGTGCTAAGAACCCTGGCAGAAAGGCTGGTGTATTTTCAAATTTGTTTTAGGAAGTAGTGCCAACCCCAATATGAATGGGAGATATACAGCTTTACAGACCATTGGTGGATTCCAGTTTTGCAGTGGTTTCATGCAGATCCTCCAAACTTATTTGTGAATCATTGCAGTAATCTGTTGTTTCACCTTTAACAGCCAAATAGATGATTTTCAACCACCTCTGTTTCAGCTCTTCGTTATCTGCTGCAAAACTGTGCACAGACGTAGACTGAGTCAATTTGAAACTGTGAGGGAGATTAGCACTTTTTGGGGGTGTCATCTACTGTGTAGCCCAAAAGTGGAATAGTACCCAAGGCTTTGACATCCTGTGGAGCGCCATATATATATATAAAACAAGGGCTTCGTGTTTAGGTATCACACACCAAGCCTTTTGCCATGTTTTCAATTTTTCCAAGTACTATAGAAAAACTACATACCACACTATTCCCTGACATTTCTGCTGATTCAATCTCCAAGATTCTTCTTTTTTTCTTTTCTTCACTATCAATGCACCCTATTATAATGTGGTAGTAATCTTTACAGACTTTGTTCAGTTTATTGCCATCATACTCAAAATTAGCTTTATAATCAGAATATTTCCAGCAAACCACATGCCCACAAACTCGGCAATGATGTCTCCTCCTTGTTAGTGCATTAAATGGCTCTTTGCATTTCATACACAAAATCACTTCATTGTCTTGGATCCATCTGGGTGCTCTCTTCCCGAACTCAGCAGTAGAAACTTCAGTAGGCATGTCATCATATTCTTTTGCAATTGCATTTCTGAATGTTTCATTTGTTTGCTGAAAAGCATCTATAATACTCTGAAGAGTTTTTATCCATTCTTCTTTGTCTTGTTCAGAGCTGGTCTGCAACTCTAAAGTTCATTCTTTCCCAGACACTTGGAAAGTGTGTGGGTATTCTTCATTGTGGGTTTCTACAATCTTCATACCATCAATGCTTACTCTTGTCCGGACTGTAAATTTAGATCCCACTAAGCTGAATTTTGGTATATAGTATAGCAACATGTTATTGAATAAGAAGAGATATCTTTCATGAGCTGATGTATTGCAAGCAGCAAGCTTAAGTATTTGCCCTTCTTTTATCAGTTCATTTGAAGGGTTGAAAATATCTTCTTCTTCCCCTAACATTTCATACATTTCTAGTAACTTCTTCAAATTTTCCATTTTCCGAATGGCACAGAGTGACTTACAGCTGTGGATATAATTTCCAAGGACTTTTCAGCATCTTTCCAATCGAGAGAATGTGCAGGCAATTTTCTCAAATAATCCTTCAACAGTATCTCATATCTTGGAATTCGTTGTACAGGTTCTAGCATGTGATGCTGCAAAGTCAGATTTCTACAAACTTTCTGTTTCTGAATATCTTGAATAATAGATTTGAAACAAGGAGATCTCTCAGTCCACGTTTTTACCAGCTCCATTGCATTGTCAACATTCTTCACATACAGTACTCTCCATACATCTTGAGAAAAGGAGCCAGTTTCTGCAGAATATCACTGATCCTGGGATTGGTGTCCCATTCTTGCATTCTTTTCTCAAGCTTAGGTAGCAAGAACTGGTTATGGAACTGATTTATGGATAAAATATTGGAAAATATTTTATTAACAACTTCAGCTGGAAAGGATCCCGTTAGCTTCATCCATTAGTTTGCTATAAAAAACCTGATCCAAGAGAGCAAGTCTACTCACATAAGCTCTTTCAATGTGCAAAAGCTCATTGACAATTTTGTAACATTTCTCTTCATTTGTTTCCTTTGTCTGTCTGACTGCCTTGCTCAACCCGCTTCTCTTCCTTATTGGCAATCATCTGTCCAGCTTCTTTTACAGATGGAAATGAATTTGCACTTGAAGCCCAATGATAGCTCTTGATCTTCTGCCCCTTGCAAGCTGCTGTGGTTGGCAATGAGTCCGTACTAGTATTCCCTCTTTCTCCATTTACCAAACTGCTATCAACTGCATCACAGTCATTTTGAACATTTCTGCAGGCACGGTAGGCAGACTCCTTGTCTTGGCAGTCCCACTGATTCTGTACTATTATGCAGTTGGCTGTGTGATTCTGTACATCCTGAGACCAATCTCTACTGTTTCCCTGCTCGTGTAGAGGATGCTGGGTGAGGAATTTTGGCTGAGGTGAAGGCACTGGTCCATACTTTCCTTGAGGTTTACCAACATTTAAAACAGAAGAGTCTTTCTTCAGTTCATTGGAAAAGGATGTGCTGCCTCCTTCAAAATGACTGATGAGATCAGACACTTTACTAGATTTTTCTTTCGAGATACAAGAAGAGATAGGTGTAATTTCCTCCATTCTTGGCTTTGTGGTATACAAAGCTTTAGACTTAAGGGTTTGGTGTGTAATGGATGACTGTGAATTCTGCAAATGTAATGGCTTTGGAGGCACTTGTGGCTTTGAGTTTGAAGCTGGCCACGGAGAATACTTAACTGGATCGTTTCCATTTACTCCTTGAACCACTTCATTGCAGATGCTTGGCTTATACAGCCTAGTTGTACTGTTTAAAGAGCAGGTTGGAGTGACTAAGATCTTTGGACATGTACTGCCACCTGCTGCTGCTGCCACCACTGGTCCCACTCCCCTTGGGAGCTCTGTGGAGGACTGAAGCGAAGCAGTGGCGGGGCTGTGGAAGATGAAGGCTGAGCTGTGCAAGCTGGGGCTGGATTTCCTACGTATGGCCATCCACCTGTAATTGATGCTTTCAGCCCCATTCATCTTGCCTTCTCTCCTCAACAAGCCAACAAGGGGTGTCTGTGTTAAAACTGCCCTTTCCTCGGCCCTTACCCGGAGCGCATCCTACCAGCACTCAGCAACACGCGCTTCGCCGGCTAACAGAGTTCGCCTTAACCCTCCAAGGCTCGCAGCCGCCTCCTTGCCCCGCCTGGCATCAGTCGGCAACAAAGTCTCCTTGCGCTCCGTGTCTCTGCCCCTGAGAGAAAACCCGCATTCCTGGCAGGTGGAGGAAGCAGGATGGGCGCCTCGGAGTCCCTGCCTGCGCCAAAGGTACGCATGTACCTAGTTAGGATTACCTGACCGTCGCGGAAGCTGCACACATGTTCTAAGCGCTCCAAGAGTTCTCACTTTGGAATGGGGGAGGTGGGTCAAAGACGTAGATTATGTAGATTATATAAAATTATAAATGGCATTTTTCTATAAAAATGTCTCCAAAATTCACAATATATAAACAGTAAAATTAAACATTCTGAAATAATGTATTATCATCTACTCTTCTAAGATATGGGGGGAAAATTGACTTTGCAGTATAGAAACTTTGGGGGAAAATTGTGCCTGAAGAATATGTATTTTCCTTCTGTACTTAATCTCATCTTTGTAAAATAAAAATCTTATTCCATCTTAAAAATGAAATATCATTAT